GCGCGGCGCGCCGGCTTTCGACTAAATGCCCCCGACGATGTTTCTCTGCTTTTTTCACCGCTGCACCTGCTTACCCTTTTTCGGTGTTGGTTCGAGGTCTCTGGCTTCTTCTTACTTACCATGACGGCACCGGCAAACGCACCCGGACCGCGGCGCCTCTCGTTAGGACTCTCCTGTATTTGCCTAGCGCGTCGCTGTGCTTCAGATTCCGCCCGCCGGGCCGTCTGTAGGTCTGTGGATAACCGTCTATCCTTCTCCTAATAATAATAATTCACTTTATGGACTAATTAATTTGCTGACTATTCATTAATTAGCCAGCTAGGCTATAAAGCAGTTAATTAATTAGTTAGTCAATTAACAAATTAATTACTTGGTTAATTAACTGACGAAATATATTTTTGAATTTAATAAGTTAAATGATTGGTCGCCAACGCCATCGGTGATGTTGATCAAAGCACGCATCGCTCGAGCTCCTGGCTTCTTACCGCGGATGGCGAAGCCGGTGAGGTACGCGAACGTCAACTACGGAGGGAGACTGTAGCACTCCCCACCTCCCAGCACTCAGCTTCCGTTCCGAGTCCGCTGGCGCTCTACAACATGAAAATTCAGCACGAGGCAGGGCTCTACAAAGTAAAGCCCGACTTCTCCACACCGAGTGCGCCCGATCTGATTTGCCACTCTGGACCTGGAGCTGCGAATACGAGTAGGACCTACGATGTAAACCACGACGCATTCGACTCCGCCGTGCGCTTTGAGATGGACGGCGTCTGTAAAGCGCCCTGAGGCAAGTGCCCCTCTGAGTACGCGGACCGCACTTTAGTTGCGTGGGTGCTCATCGGGGAGCGCAATTGCGAGATGGGGAACGAAGCACGAAATTCCCCCGTCTTCGGATACGGACAGTGGAGCGGTCAAGCGGGGGGGTGCCTACATGGTGACCACATCATTACATCCACCGAACGGCCGTCGACATTTCGTGTTGGGCATGTTTAGCAGGCATTCGTTTGGAGACGGAGGCTGGGGCGTGATTACGGTGCAAGAGGGCGAAACTCCCAACGACGAATGGCAGCACGTCGCAATCAGCTACGATCATGGCGCGTCGACTAATATCGCATACACTGGCGGCAAATTGGCGCAAAGCGGCAAGCCAGACGCGCCCCCAAATACAAAAGTCGGCGAAGGAGGGCCCTTCGTTGTTGGTGGGAGTCCCCTTGTCTGCATCGACAACGCCAACGGCCCCGGGGCGTGTTGCAAAGATAGCCCTGAGACCGGTTGCCTCGAGTATGAAGAGGGTGGCGGCAACTGCGACGCCTTTCTGTTAGGCGACATCGCGCAGGTCGCAGTTTATGACAAAGCGCTGACGGCTGAGCAGGTCTTGTTTCTTGCTACGTCCACGACGACTATCTACGACGAAAAGCACTGCGACGAAAACCACGACCACTTCGTCCGCAAGCGTCTCAGAAAAAAGCGCCGTCGCCTCGTCCACGATGTGCAGCGTGAAAGCGCGCGCGCGAATCATTTGCATTACCCTTTTCACGCTAAGTGCGCTTTTCTCGTCAGCTTTTTCTGCGGGCCTCAGCGTCTAAGAAGGTGAGCCCAGCTTCTTTTTTCTTAGTGCTTGTCCGCGAAAAACGGCACGTCGATCGAACCGACAAAAGACATCAATTGCAAATGTATACGACTCTTTCGGCGTGGCAAATTCATAGGGTTTAGGGTCAGCATCAGTCGAAGCTGTGTCACTATTGGGCGCGCTTTAGGAGAAAGCATGTGCGAGATGATTACTAGACACTCGCATAAGTCCAGCGCTCTGATTACGATTAGTTTGGACCTAATTCAGTAAGAAATAAACGCTGCCCAGGGTGTGATCTTGATTAGAAGCTAAAGTAGACTAGACTACTCTTTGAGTATTTGTGCGGTTTTCCGCCGCCTTCTTCGCCTTTTTCGGGGCTTTTCATGCCTTTGAGTAGTGCGGGCACATCCAGATGCCGGGTCTTTTCGCCCGCCTTAGTGTTCGTATTATTCCTAAGAAATGCAGTCGCCGCCTTCGTGTGATAATGGCACGCAAAGCCAACAGAACTCGGCCTACTTGTTGCTGATGGGCCTAGTCGGTGATCTATATCACCGTAAAGACCGCAAGCGAGAGGATTTGGATTTCTGGCCGTAATTGCTAAGCAGTCACTCAGCGAGCTGCGACGCCTCTTCCAGACAATGGCCTCGGCCTCAGTCGGAGGAGGGAAGCCGTACCGTAAACATCTTCAAAAATATGGCGTGGCCCGACGAGGGGGTCGCCGTGTCTTTCTGCCCGACCCAGCTCTCGCCCACAAAGCGACAGAAAGCCGCTCCCCAAGAGTTGCAAACCAATAAAAGAAATCGATCGGACCCGCGAAAAGCCAGCGCACAGGCCTTAAGCTCTCAACAAATTCAAGCAGTCGCCTCAAGTTGGCATCTGGTCGCCCTCGACCTAAGTTTATTACGGAGTCTAGTACTGTACTCAAAGCAGTTACTTATGTTTATATATACCGGTCTAGTCGTAGTCCTTCATCGTTATCACTTTGCTTCTTGCATGTAGATGTTTGCGCTGAAAACGAACAGGGGCGGGAAAATCGGACTAAGTCCCACTCCCAAACGCAAGAACGGTAGGCGGTGCTAGTTGACGCGGCATATTTTTTTTTGCATCTTCCAAGGACATCATATCGCTAATGAGCTGCTGCAGCAAGAGTATGAGACTGCTACAATTTATTACGTTCCCGTACTTCTGATCCTTCGAAGAAGTTTTTTGTGTTACAGCGTGAAGACGTAGAGAAATTGAGGCTGCCAAAAGATGAGCAAAATGAGGACACTTAAAGAGTAGAGTAATGGTAGTTGACTGGAGTTTCTTGATTTCTCACCCTTCTCATTCTGCGCACTTAGGCCCTTTCTCCTGCTCTAAGCGCTCCCACCCAAAGGACCTCTGAGCGCTGAGGGTGAAAGCCTTGGCGAAGCTTAGGCCTACTGCTGAAAGCATTGCGCTCGGCTTCAGGCGCTGGCCGTCGGCGTGATTGAATAGAACAGCAAAAGCGTGCTCTAGTAGTGTACTGGTTTGAGTGTAGGCCACTAATTCTGTACAAGAGTCGAACGCAGCCCGTAGAAAGTAAAGGGCTCCCAGTGGTGGCAGCTTTGGCGACGCATAGACGATCGCGACACGATCGCGATCCCTAGCGCTAGCCCTTTCATATAGTCGATAAACCGAAATAAGCGAGTAACTACTGTCTGAAAATAAGGGAGATATTGAAAGGAGGGGAATGCTGTCAAGACTCTCGCACGTCGGTCAGTAACTCGGTTATTTTGAGTTTTCGAGTAAGTATATGAATTGGTGAAGCCCACTAGCATTACGATGATTGAAGTCAGCTGGTTGAATTTTGTTGTTGCATCGTCATGCGATTGTGAGGTCATCACATTTGTAGTGTCACAGTCGCTTTTCCATAGTGCTGCATAGTATAGAAGTGCGCACTTTTGTCGCTTTTCCATAATGCTGTGCATTTCACTTGTTGTGACGCCATAGGCATAGATATTTTTCCATCGTGCTCGTGCTGTGTACTAGTCTAATATCTTAAAACGCTAAGTGTCAGCGTAAAGCTAAGGTAGGTTCTGCTAGGTGTTCCTTGGCTGTGGAGTCTTCATTTTTTGACAACAATTTTCGGAGAAGCATCCGCAAGTGAAGCTGTCATTACTGTGAGGGAACCATATAATTAACTATCACACCAAAGCCTTTCACGAAGCTAATGCTTGCGGAAGAATTTTTATCCCCACTACTCTAGATGGTCTGCCACCGAAGAAACTGATTTATATTGATATTCAAAATTTTGATTAGGCAGAGCAGTAATGAGCAGCAGACTTTTGAAATGGGGGTGATTTGAGGAGCACACTCGTTCCGAAAACAGTATATATAAGTTAGGCAGTCATCCGTCGCCGTTCTCGGTGTGATGTGCTGATTTGGAGATCGGGATAGATTCGAAGCGAGAAGGCTAAGGCTTTTGATGGGCACAGGCGCTCCTGATCTGTTCACGAGTGCGCAATCAATGGCTGCTTCGCTCTTCGCCGCTCTTCATTGTAGGGCCGCCAGGGGTTCACTAGCTAGAAGGGGCCGAATGCACACGCCCGACCCCCAGCACGGAAGCACCACGCACGCAGCCGTGGACGAATGTCGGCTTTTGTGATTCAACTGGGAGGACTAGCCGACTGGGGAATGCTTCTTCTGTGCCCATTTTTGTGCTCCTTAGTCTATGCCGAGCTGGCGCCAGCCCACTTGCACCTCCTAGAAGCAAGTAAGTATGTACTGTGTGGGGCCACGTACGCGATAGATTCCCATTGCTCATTATCATTTGCCTCCATTCATATTTTCCGAAATCGCGAAGCGCCCCCTCCATGGTGTGTATCGGGCTTATGCCAGGCGCAGCCCCACTCATGCTCTTCACCGGTAGGCCCCGCGCCTGAAGGTAGCACNATTTAATAAGTTAAATGATTGGTCGCCAACGCCATCGGTGATGTTGATCAAAGCACGCATCGCTCGAGCTCCTGGCTTCTTACCGCGGATGGCGAAGCCGGTGAGGTACGCGAACGTCAACTACGGAGGGAGACTGTAGCACTCCCCACCTCCCAGCACTCAGCTTCCGTTCCGAGTCCGCTGGCGCTCTACAACATGAAAATTCAGCACGAGGCAGGGCTCTACAAAGTAAAGCCCGACTTCTCCACACCGAGTGCGCCCGATCTGATTTGCCACTCTGGACCTGGAGCTGCGAATACGAGTAGGACCTACGATGTAAACCACGACGCATTCGACTCCGCCGTGCGCTTTGAGATGGACGGCGTCTGTAAAGCGCCCTGAGGCAAGTGCCCCTCTGAGTACGCGGACCGCACTTTAGTTGCGTGGGTGCTCATCGGGGAGCGCAATTGCGAGATGGGGAACGAAGCACGAAATTCCCCCGTCTTCGGATACGGACAGTGGAGCGGTCAAGCGGGGGGGTGCCTACATGGTGACCACATCATTACATCCACCGAACGGCCGTCGACATTTCGTGTTGGGCATGTTTAGCAGGCATTCGTTTGGAGACGGAGGCTGGGGCGTGATTACGGTGCAAGAGGGCGAAACTCCCAACGACGAATGGCAGCACGTCGCAATCAGCTACGATCATGGCGCGTCGACTAATATCGCATACACTGGCGGCAAATTGGCGCAAAGCGGCAAGCCAGACGCGCCCCCAAATACAAAAGTCGGCGAAGGAGGGCCCTTCGTTGTTGGTGGGAGTCCCCTTGTCTGCATCGACAACGCCAACGGCCCCGGGGCGTGTTGCAAAGATAGCCCTGAGACCGGTTGCCTCGAGTATGAAGAGGGTGGCGGCAACTGCGACGCCTTTCTGTTAGGCGACATCGCGCAGGTCGCAGTTTATGACAAAGCGCTGACGGCTGAGCAGGTCTTGTTTCTTGCTACGTCCACGACGACTATCTACGACGAAAAGCACTGCGACGAAAACCACGACCACTTCGTCCGCAAGCGTCTCAGAAAAAAGCGCCGTCGCCTCGTCCACGATGTGCAGCGTGAAAGCGCGCGCGCGAATCATTTGCATTACCCTTTTCACGCTAAGTGCGCTTTTCTCGTCAGCTTTTTCTGCGGGCCTCAGCGTCTAAGAAGGTGAGCCCAGCTTCTTTTTTCTTAGTGCTTGTCCGCGAAAAACGGCACGTCGATCGAACCGACAAAAGACATCAATTGCAAATGTATACGACTCTTTCGGCGTGGCAAATTCATAGGGTTTAGGGTCAGCATCAGTCGAAGCTGTGTCACTATTGGGCGCGCTTTAGGAGAAAGCATGTGCGAGATGATTACTAGACACTCGCATAAGTCCAGCGCTCTGATTACGATTAGTTTGGACCTAATTCAGTAAGAAATAAACGCTGCCCAGGGTGTGATCTTGATTAGAAGCTAAAGTAGACTAGACTACTCTTTGAGTATTTGTGCGGTTTTCCGCCGCCTTCTTCGCCTTTTTCGGGGCTTTTCATGCCTTTGAGTAGTGCGGGCACATCCAGATGCCGGGTCTTTTCGCCCGCCTTAGTGTTCGTATTATTCCTAAGAAATGCAGTCGCCGCCTTCGTGTGATAATGGCACGCAAAGCCAACAGAACTCGGCCTACTTGTTGCTGATGGGCCTAGTCGGTGATCTATATCACCGTAAAGACCGCAAGCGAGAGGATTTGGATTTCTGGCCGTAATTGCTAAGCAGTCACTCAGCGAGCTGCGACGCCTCTTCCAGACAATGGCCTCGGCCTCAGTCGGAGGAGGGAAGCCGTACCGTAAACATCTTCAAAAATATGGCGTGGCCCGACGAGGGGGTCGCCGTGTCTTTCTGCCCGACCCAGCTCTCGCCCACAAAGCGACAGAAAGCCGCTCCCCAAGAGTTGCAAACCAATAAAAGAAATCGATCGGACCCGCGAAAAGCCAGCGCACAGGCCTTAAGCTCTCAACAAATTCAAGCAGTCGCCTCAAGTTGGCATCTGGTCGCCCTCGACCTAAGTTTATTACGGAGTCTAGTACTGTACTCAAAGCAGTTACTTATGTTTATATATACCGGTCTAGTCGTAGTCCTTCATCGTTATCACTTTGCTTCTTGCATGTAGATGTTTGCGCTGAAAACGAACAGGGGCGGGAAAATCGGACTAAGTCCCACTCCCAAACGCAAGAACGGTAGGCGGTGCTAGTTGACGCGGCATATTTTTTTTTGCATCTTCCAAGGACATCATATCGCTAATGAGCTGCTGCAGCAAGAGTATGAGACTGCTACAATTTATTACGTTCCCGTACTTCTGATCCTTCGAAGAAGTTTTTTGTGTTACAGCGTGAAGACGTAGAGAAATTGAGGCTGCCAAAAGATGAGCAAAATGAGGACACTTAAAGAGTAGAGTAATGGTAGTTGACTGGAGTTTCTTGATTTCTCACCCTTCTCATTCTGCGCACTTAGGCCCTTTCTCCTGCTCTAAGCGCTCCCACCCAAAGGACCTCTGAGCGCTGAGGGTGAAAGCCTTGGCGAAGCTTAGGCCTACTGCTGAAAGCATTGCGCTCGGCTTCAGGCGCTGGCCGTCGGCGTGATTGAATAGAACAGCAAAAGCGTGCTCTAGTAGTGTACTGGTTTGAGTGTAGGCCACTAATTCTGTACAAGAGTCGAACGCAGCCCGTAGAAAGTAAAGGGCTCCCAGTGGTGGCAGCTTTGGCGACGCATAGACGATCGCGACACGATCGCGATCCCTAGCGCTAGCCCTTTCATATAGTCGATAAACCGAAATAAGCGAGTAACTACTGTCTGAAAATAAGGGAGATATTGAAAGGAGGGGAATGCTGTCAAGACTCTCGCACGTCGGTCAGTAACTCGGTTATTTTGAGTTTTCGAGTAAGTATATGAATTGGTGAAGCCCACTAGCATTACGATGATTGAAGTCAGCTGGTTGAATTTTGTTGTTGCATCGTCATGCGATTGTGAGGTCATCACATTTGTAGTGTCACAGTCGCTTTTCCATAGTGCTGCATAGTATAGAAGTGCGCACTTTTGTCGCTTTTCCATAATGCTGTGCATTTCACTTGTTGTGACGCCATAGGCATAGATATTTTTCCATCGTGCTCGTGCTGTGTACTAGTCTAATATCTTAAAACGCTAAGTGTCAGCGTAAAGCTAAGGTAGGTTCTGCTAGGTGTTCCTTGGCTGTGGAGTCTTCATTTTTTGACAACAATTTTCGGAGAAGCATCCGCAAGTGAAGCTGTCATTACTGTGAGGGAACCATATAATTAACTATCACACCAAAGCCTTTCACGAAGCTAATGCTTGCGGAAGAATTTTTATCCCCACTACTCTAGATGGTCTGCCACCGAAGAAACTGATTTATATTGATATTCAAAATTTTGATTAGGCAGAGCAGTAATGAGCAGCAGACTTTTGAAATGGGGGTGATTTGAGGAGCACACTCGTTCCGAAAACAGTATATATAAGTTAGGCAGTCATCCGTCGCCGTTCTCGGTGTGATGTGCTGATTTGGAGATCGGGATAGATTCGAAGCGAGAAGGCTAAGGCTTTTGATGGGCACAGGCGCTCCTGATCTGTTCACGAGTGCGCAATCAATGGCTGCTTCGCTCTTCGCCGCTCTTCATTGTAGGGCCGCCAGGGGTTCACTAGCTAGAAGGGGCCGAATGCACACGCCCGACCCCCAGCACGGAAGCACCACGCACGCAGCCGTGGACGAATGTCGGCTTTTGTGATTCAACTGGGAGGACTAGCCGACTGGGGAATGCTTCTTCTGTGCCCATTTTTGTGCTCCTTAGTCTATGCCGAGCTGGCGCCAGCCCACTTGCACCTCCTAGAAGCAAGTAAGTATGTACTGTGTGGGGCCACGTACGCGATAGATTCCCATTGCTCATTATCATTTGCCTCCATTCATATTTTCCGAAATCGCGAAGCGCCCCCTCCATGGTGTGTATCGGGCTTATGCCAGGCGCAGCCCCACTCATGCTCTTCACCGGTAGGCCCCGCGCCTGAAGGTAGCACGAAGGCCTCCTCAAATTAATAGCGTAGCCCGCGTAAAAATAATGCGCGTGGGGCGCTCCCCTGAACCTCTGAACATATATGGAGCGAAGTGGCCCTCTTATTAATGCAGTCGAGACCTCCGGGAAAGTGTTGCCTTTGGCGGCCTGGGGTAATCCGCTGACACACGACCGGCTGAAGCGTGCGCTCTCGGCCAATCAGCTCAGCGAAAACGTGGCTTGGGCACACATGCTAAAGTGCCCTGATGACATTTACAAGCCGCACAAGATGGCCCTCGCGGTAGGGAGGTAGGGCGACGCCATCAGAAACGCGCGGACGGGTATGCGCCGTTGATCAAAGGTCGTGAGGCTTTCTCGACCGGAAGCGGCTGAGCGTGTGGAGCTGGTTAGGTGCGTTTCTGGTTTTGGTTGCTTTGGGTGTACGAGGCAAACTGGGGTGGCCGTGAGGGCTTCTTTTTTCGTCATGAGAAAAGCTAGGGACACCGGGGACTGCAGCGTGTGTTGATTGAATTTCCAGGAGGTCTTTCAGCTTGTGTCACACAGACACACGCACAAAGCACTCTGCGTCCTTGCCGAAACGGCTGGTAAGATAAGGAACGGGAAGCACCAGTTGCAATATTGCAGGTTCTAGTGGCGAACTTTCGCAGGTCGTTATTGTCGTCACAAGTCGGCGCCTCGTCACTATCGTAGGCGCCTTGGTCGTGCTTCTTCTACAAGCAGGTCGTCACTCGCCGTGTAACTAAGTAATTTTTTCGAAAAGATGAGTGCCACGAAGCGTGCGTGTTTGCTTGCCGTATCGTGATGGAGATGTTTTCGATTAGAAAAAAGACAGCGAGATCCCCGCGCCTTGGCTGCAGTGCAGTACTCAGCTTCTAAAGAATACTACTGCTTCTGCTCTTGCTTTGCAAGAAGAGAAGTAGAAGGAGTTTAGCAGTGTGAAGAGGCATTCTCCACTGTTGTTGCCAAACTTCTGTCCTAGTAGACCTAGTAGGTGTAGCACGAGATCGAGACCCCCCTTGACTAGCATAGCTCGCTTGAGAATTCCAGTTGCGCGTGAGCGCTAGTCGCTCTCGTGTGGGGCAATGCTTTGGATTAATTATCGGCACAAGTGCGGCGACGTGGATGGGGCGACTTCTGAACAAGATGGCTTGGATAGGTAGAAGCCGCCCCGTGGGCAGATCGTCCAGATGAGCGTTGCATAGGGCTCGGCGCTGGGTTTCGCACCGAGCATCCAGGACCACGCCACGGGCATTGCAAGGAGCTATACTCGAGGAGCACGCCCCATCACGCTATAAATTAGCGCCGAGAGCGTCCCCAGGGTAGCGGTAGTTTTTCTTGTCGGAGGTTTTCCTTGGTGATCGCGTCTCCTTTTTGAGCGGTGGTCAGGGGGCTTGACTAGCCTGAGGGCTTTATTGATATTGCTGAGGCTGTGTTATGTTGTAGCTTCGCTTTCGGCGTGCTGGGTATGGGCATGTGACACCAGTGGAGAGACCATCTGGCCTGGATGTGGTTTGGGAGATTGGGTAGTGTTTGATACTAGCAGATGAAAGTCTCCTAGTTCTGCTGAGTGGGGTGGTTTGAGCAGTCAAGAATGGGCCGCGGTGATTTATGATCTTCACGGGCTTCGCCCCGTCGTGTGTGGTAGTTTCTCAAGGCCTACGTGCCACATTTTCGACTTGAGGACGCGACGGCGGAGAGACCTCGTTCCGACATTGTCATGGCTCGTCTGGGTGCTGGTTGGTGCGTGTAGATAAGAGCTTCACTCTGAAGTCTCTGGGTGGTACGGTGACACCAGACGCGAAGAGCCGTCTCCTTTTTTCCTTTTGCAAGACAGGCAAAAAATGTGGTCTCCCCCGCGTGGGAAGCCCGCCGAAACTGGTTGACCTTGGGTCAGGTCGATTACCTGAAGGCGGAGCTCCTAAAGCTTCTACAAACGAGCAGCGGTGGCGTTTTTTTGTTGGTGAAAGTTAGGAAGCCCAGGAGCAATGGCACCCGGCGGAGGCACACAAACGGCAGTCGCCGAAAGGTGTGCTGCCCGTGTGCCCTTTGGAAATTGTGGGTGTAGGCATTCGGGTCTGCTTGTCTTTTGTTTCGGGGTAGGTCGGCGGGAAAGCACAGGCCGCGAAGCGTTTTTGCGTCTGTGTTGCTTTTCTTACCTGTGAGTGGAACATTTAGAAATATGTCACCGCGAACGCGTGAGAGTGAAACTTTGAAGAGACTACAAATACGACTGACGGATGGTTCGTGTCAGTCTAGCGAGCTTGTGCGTTGTGATGTGAGACTGGTGAATACTTCAGGCTGTGTGTTTGTGGCCTCTGACTGGGGTCGACTCCATTTTGGATGTTTGGGGTTCCTCCCTGCGAGGTCTCCAGCTGAAAGTGAGCCTTTCTCTATCATCAATCTACGCAAAGTATAGCACTAGTAGTAGTAGTAGTAGTAGTAGTAGTAGTAGTAGTAGTAGTAGTAGTAGTAGTAGTAGTAGTAGTAGTAGTAGTAGTAGTAGTAGCACTCCGTCGTGTGTAACGGTAAAGGTATGGAATCCCAAACCCAAGCCTCCATGATGCCAACGACAAAAAAAGGTAGCTATGGGTATCAGCGTCACGACATGTTCTGCCATCCGAGGAGTTTGATGCACCTTCCGACAGTTCTTTTGGCTCATGTGAGGCTACCTCAGACACTCTTGCCACGCCCATACCAGGTTTGGCTCAGCGAGATGCCCAATTAAGTACTTCCCAAGCTTCTTCTGCCGCTGCCCCTAGAGCTGAAGGTGGTAGGATTTTTTTTTCGATTTCTCCTCTTGAACAAGCAATTTCATCTTTCTGAAGAATAGACTTCTTCGAGCACGAGTAATTATTTCCTCTATAGTACATTTTGTTTTTGAAGTAGGGCATTTTTTAAAGGAACGAGGACCGCACCACAGGCAGAGCGATCAACGAACATGGCCAGGTGGAAGCTTCCATCTCGCTCGGCCACTAGCGGAGCTCGTCGTTGGTTTTTTTTCTTTGTCTTCTTCTCTTTTCATGAAGTTGTTGCATCGAATTTCGACGAAGATGAAAAGCGCGTCACTCTTCTGCTCATGGACAGCGCCTACATTCCAGTGTGGCCATGCTTATGAAGCCAAAATCTACTCTTGTCATCAGAGAAACATCAAACTTTCCCACTGTCATTCTCTTAAGAAGGAGAAGAGGGACAAGCAAAAGCCAAAAGGTGTCTTAAGGATAAAAATTGATTTTGGAGGCTTCATACTGTTGGTACAGCTTTTACACGACATATAAACCTCCAGCGGGACCTTTTACAGGACCGACGACGTTCTTCTCAGGGGGACATCAGGCCTCATCTTCTAGCAGCAAGACAAACGCGACTGCGTTTCTGCGGATGTCAGCATATACTTCAAGAGAGTCAGAGAATTTTCTTGAACATAGTCATGATGTGACTGCAGGAGATGTAGATGCAAATCGTGGTCTGGTTGATGTACCTCCACGGCTCGTCGTAGTCACGCTGGATGAAAACGCTGACGCATATTTACGTGCCTTCCGGAAGAAGCTTCGACCGGAGACGCAAGCTCGGATAGGCTTGCGTCGCGCCATCTCTGTTACGGGGTGTGGCACTAAAGCACCCTTTTTAGCGCCATCCGTTGTTCTTTCTCTAGTTGAAAAAGATGAACCCACGCAAGGAAGATCGGACAATGACTCTCTTCATTGAGATGATTAAGTACTATATCATTTTTGACTCTCATCCTTATTTTCTTGATGAGTCTTAACCAAGAGGGATTATTAACATGCGAACGCGGTAGCGCATGTCAAGTTCGTCAAGTTCTAACTCTGTCAGTGCTGAAGGCCGACGACAGTATCTGAATGCCACCTCATCAAGTGTTAAGGCTCTCACCAATTGATTCGGCTTCGGCTGCATCCTTGAAAAGTATGCGGGAGCATTTATTCTCGGGCAATGCTCTCCCATACTTTTCAGGGATGCAGCTGAGGGATGAACTGCGGACAGTTCTAAAAGTGGAGCTCCATCATCTGCATCGACGCCGACAGCACATCAAAGCAAGTGGCACTCTGGTGGCAAGATATATTTCCCTAGCGATGACGATCTCGGAAAGCCCAACCACGAGAGTCTTGGCCCTTCCGAAGTGTCGTGGTTCCATGACGTCTCGAAGAAGAACTTCAAAGAGAACGTGGCTTCTCCTGGAAAGGAACAGAATTCGAAGTCCCTCAACGCTAAAAGCCAGAAGATGAAGATGCTGCGGGCGTTAGATGATAGGCGGGCGGCAGCGGTATCTGATACTGATGATCATACTCGGCCTAACTCTGACAGAACGAGAAGGTCCTCGGCGTCACATGGTCATAGGTCAACGACCTCCGAAACGGCCTCGGCAATAGAGGGGTCCTTGCTGGAAGTGGGTCTGGATGGGACGTGGCCTAAACCTTCTTACATGTATGCTTTTTATCCTTCGATTCTGCACCTGATGCGCCGTGGATATACTTAAGGCCTGCTTCGAGGACAGTACTACTAGTTCATCACTTCGTACACTAAGATACTTTGCTTGCTCCTGGTGCTTTTTCAATTAGAAGACTTCGCTCAAGAACAAAAGAGACGCTGATGCTCTGAAATGATAAGTCACACATGATGGCTGTTAGTGGAAAACTTAGGTCAGAGGACTACACCACGCGCTGAACAAGTAAGAATGTTAAAATTCTGCGAATTCCACTTCTAATATATTGTGCTCCACGTCGACGCCGATGCTTTCTTTCGTGGCGATGCATGGCGTCAACTTTTCGATCATCCGGCGGTACAAGACGTCGACATCGTAGCTCCTTCGGCCGACTGTCCGGGACCACCTATTTTGCAATCAGAAGAGCAGAACAAGGACTCTCATTCCGCTATTCTTATTGAAAAAACGATCAGCCATCTTCACATAAATCGCATTATTTCTACAACTAAGCGTACAGCTACAGCTGTAGGTATTTTACGTATTCGATATAGCCCAAAGATGCTGCGCTTTCTCGAGATGATACAGGATAAGCACTTTGAGGGTCATCATGGTATTCCCGAAGACCAGAGAGCGATGAACACGGAACTTCGGGTCCTAGGCTGCCGCAAGGAAGGACTCCGCTCTCGTTCCGGCAGTGCCGCTGGTTTTATTGGCACAGCCGAAGTTTCTCCTGAGCCTGACCACGATGAGCGTAAAGCAGCAAGACCTCAAAGCCTCTCGGAAGATGGGGAAGGGGAAGACCCAGCATATGAAATCGTTCGCTGTGGTGGAGGGAGTAATTATGTCAATAGCCCTAAAGTGGAGGAAGAACTCGACGCATTGAACTCGTCGAAAGAGCAGCAGGAGCACCAGGTTGTAGACGCTGCAGATTTCAATGAGGAAATAAGCGCTGCCTTCGTTCGCTCTGGTGTGTCTCTTGTTAAGGCTCAAAGTGATTCACTTCCAATTTCACAGGAGGGGGCTTTAGCTTTTCTCTGTTGCCACCTCTTTACTTACTAGGCCCCTGAGAAAGTAAGCCTTGGGATTGAATTCATTGGAAATACTTTGCGGCTGAGCTCTAATCGTGGGCAGGTACCCGATAAGGCGGATAAGGTGACCCTTGTCGCGCATGGTAGGGCAGTAAACTTCATCGAAAGGATCTGTGAGGATCCTACCTATCGCGCACTGGTACCTCCCGGCACATAGATATGCAACAAGTATGACAGTAGCACTTCTGTAGGAGCAGTAGTCGACCGAACTCGCCTGATGGCGTGCAGATAGTCTAACTCGGCGGCTGTTTCAATGGGGGAGACAGTGTTCGCTACGGTCTAGGAGCGTGGTCGGGTTGTAGACCAACCGCGCAACCTGACGGAGAAAGATGCGAGGGCTTCCGCGGAAGCGACCCAGATGGGGCGAGCAGTCTCGCAGCTGCTATCCATAAAACCGGGCGGGACCTGCCTAGCGTGCTCGCTAGTGAGTGGGCCCTGCTGGCTCAGCTTCTAGAAGGGCTGGGGGTGTTCTTGCGTAAGAACAGCCCAGGGCAGGCGTGCTCTACTTCGGGGAAGGAAGTGGCTGGACAAATGCGGCCCGGGTCCCTGCGTTTGAGTTCGAGGCGCAGGGCTCTGCTATCGCAACGAGCATAGTGACGCGGCTGCCCTAGTGGGTGACTCTTGGGGTGCTTATGGAGTGACGGCACCAATGAAGCTTGGGGAGATTGCTTGCCACTGGACCCGGCTAGGAATCCAAACCGGAGGCGCAGCGCCTCTTTGAGGGCGGAGATACCAGGTCAGGCGTGTCAGTGCCTGGCGGTATGGCGTTGATGTGGGTGCGAGCCATGTGCAACACAACCGGGCCGCATACTAACGAGGAGGGCGCCGGCGTTTCGTCGTGCAGGACGAGGAGCAGCGAAGGCCTGGCCTGTGGTGTGCAACGGGTCCCAGTCTGTGCCTGGCTGGGTTGTGGCGAGGGTGAGGGGCCTCACCTGCTCGCCTTAGATGCTTGCGACAGTGAAGCCCGTGGTCGAGGTTCGTTGAAAAAACTCTGCTGGCAGGATGGTTTACTAAACTGTGTAGAAGGAACTGCTGCCAGATAGTCAAGGCGGCGGAGCTGTGACCAATTCAACTCGCCACAGCGATCAACGTGCGGGGCGCGTGTGTCTAAGCTGGGGGGTTATCAGTTGACTGCGCTCAAAGCCTTCTGGCGTGGCTGTTTGTCAGCTGTGAGGTTGGTGGAAACAAATTGGGCACCCCGTCAGCTTCTGGGGGCTGTTCTGGGGCTCGATTCGCAGACCAGTGTGAAGCCTGGACTCACGTAGCCCGAAGCAAGGAGCGGGCTGCGCTGTAAAGTAATGCTCGCTGTTTACAATGTTGCTGAGAATGCTTATAAAAAGGCTACTTGCGTAGCGGTTGCACCGTGCAGCAGGGGCCCCTAGAGTTCTCTCCGACTGACCGTGGCACTACTTTGCAGCCTTACCTTGAAAGCCCACAGGCATGCCGGAGCAGAATCCCGACAGAAAGCGCAGGCTTGTGCCTTGCTTTTGAGTTCCTGGGCCTGGAGCTTCCGCATAATTCAGACACAGGCCTCCGGGGGGAGGGGGTGAGGCTTGCGGCTTCGTGGCTGTGGGTTGCTCTTTGACTTTCGCTCGGTAGTCGACTGGCTCCGGCGGTGCGTGTCCGAGCTCGCTCGCCCTTCTCTTGTTGGGCTCGTGGGTGTGTTCGTTGTTTTCTGTTTGGTCGTTGGAGTGGGTTGGGGTAAAGGGATGGGCATGCGGTGGCGCAGTTTGTTGGGTCAGGTGTTCCACCGGAGGACAGGAAGAAGCCCAAACAGCTGCAGCGGATGACATGGAGCAGGCTGGCTTGGTGCTCGGGGAGCACGGGCGGCCGCCTCAGTATGGGCGTGGTGTTCTTACGCGTCCCGCTTTGCTCGTGAGCTTGCTCCTTTCAATCATGCATAAGGCTGGCAGCGAATGGGGCGCAGGGCCGTAGTGTGTATGTGTTTCTATCTTGATAACGGAAAAGGCGCATGGCGGGGATGGGGCTGTCGTGTATGAGAAGCGCCTCGGCCCACTAATGGTGAGGGGCCGTTGGGCTTGGAAACCGCTCACGGCCTCGCAGATGCTGACAAGCTTGCATGCGCAGCTCCCCGCCCTAATGTGGTCCAGCCACTCTAAGTAAGAGCGCCTGGGAAGCCGCGCCAAGCTGGTCCTTTTGGTTCTCTCATCGGGTGAAGGGGTGGAACGAAGTAGAGGCATGCAGCCGAGGGGCGTGGGCTTAGCGCTCGCCGGGGTCAGTCGCATCCACTGGCGTGAAGTGTGGGAGACTTGGTCTGCCCATTAGTGACGGGCGGACTCGTTGCCTGTGTTTGTGTTGTTTCTTTGGTTTTTTGTCAGTAGAGCCAGCCGCCCTCAGTCAGCTTGCTAGGCCTGTGGTCGTTGGGTTTTCCATGTTACACAATGAAGCAGGGGCGAGCCGTGAGCCAAATCAGCTGGGAACCTTGCTGGGAAAGGTGGGCAGCCAAGGAGGTGGCGACCCACCTGAGGTGGGAGATCATATCAGATGAGAAACCAGGCAGGAGACATGGAACCAGTTTGGAAACCAGGCGGGAGTGGGGACGGAGGTGGGGCTGCAGGAGGTTAGGAAGCGGGGAGGAATGCGCGTGACTTGGCCAACTGAGAAGGCAGCCATTTGAGCAACTAACCTGATGGCCCAGGCAGATTGGTCGCCTTCGTGAATTGTTCGACGAACTGGAGGCCGCGCAACCTCTTCGCAATTTCTTAGGGCTAGTTGGGTAATGATTAGCCAGCCAAGTGATTAGCTAAGAACGTGGGCCAGTTAACTTATTAGGCGACAACTGACTAGCTGCTGACTAAGACTATTTACCGAATTGGCTACTGAACTAATAAGCTGGTGACTCGAGTAGTTAAGTAGCAAATCAATTTTTAGTTAATTATCTCATTAGAGTTTGAGTTACTTTATTAACTTCTAAATCTAACTAGCTAGCTACTTCTCTATAGGTGATTAATTCATTCAATTCATTGATGAATTGATTTGCTGACTATTCATTAATTAGCTGCCAGCTACCTAGGTTATAAAGCAGTTAATTGATTAGTTATTCAATTAACAAATTAATTACTTGGTTAATTGTTTGTTTGTTTGTTTGTTTTGATGCGCTCCGGGCGACGCGTACGACCTTCCCGCCGGATTTCTTTGTGCTCTAATTAACTGACTAACTATATTTTTAAATTTGGTGAGTTGAATGATTGGTCGCCATCGATGGGACCGTTTCGTTTTTCGGAAAAACAAATTTCCCACCTGTTTCCCACCTGGTTTCTGAATCAGGTGGGAAATCAGGGGGGAAACCAGATGGGGAGTGGTTTTCCGATGGGTTTCCAAGTAAAAAGTGGCCGAAACCGTTTCGCAGGTGGGGAATCAGGGGGGAAGCCAGGAGGCTGAGGCGCTCGCGAAGTTTTCAACTTTTTTGCGCAAAAAATAACCGTGCTGGAGATAAAACAGACCGGAAATTACTGCGGTGGCCCGGCTCTATCTAATTAATTGATCTGCGATGTGTCTATTGCGTTAATTTGTTTTATAGCCTGGTGCCCTCGAGCGTGTGTTTATTTTCCGCGCGCCTCCGTCGTTCCCCGCCTCATTTCCCACCCCATCCCTCTCCTTCACCCCATTTTTCACCCGATACACTTCCCACCCCATTTCCCACCCCGTTCCCCACCTCATTTGCCACCCGATTTCCCACCCCATTACTTTCCCACCCCAAAACCCCCCACCTCAACACTCACCCCCCACCCCAACACTCCCCAGCTCAACAACACTTCCCACCCCCTTTCCCCGCCCAACCTTTCCCGCCTCATTTCCCACTTTATTTCGCGCCTCCATTCCCACCTTAAATCCCGCCCCATTTCCCACCCCATTTCGTTCCCACCCCATTTCCCACCCCATTTTTTTCCAACCTCATTGCTCAACCCATTTGATTTCCCACCCCATTCCCCACCCCATACATTGATTTCCCCCCTCGTTGTAATTGCCCGCCTCATTTTCCACGCCAAGAATAGAACTTCCTCACCGAGCTCCACGCACGTCCGTGCGTGCCTTGTCTCGTTCGTGTTCTGCTAATGCTCTCTCTTATCTTCTTGCGTGTTGAGCTTGAAGATAGTGCCCGTGGGGTTGGGTGGTAGCTTAACTCTGAAGAAAGCAAGTTCGCCGAAGCTGTGGCCGTTGTCTGGTCATGGGTTAACTAACAGGCAGCCCCTGCCGATGAGGTTAGCCTTAGAACCAACAGAGGGCGCACCAAATAGGCAAGGGTGGAAGCACCCAAGCAGGTGCAGCCCCTAGCTTGGAACTGAGAGAGAAAAGCTGGACAAAAATGAAGAGGGCTTCGCGGCAGAAGCAAGAAGAGCAACTCGCACCAGCTGCTTGGGGTTGATAGACAGCGCAGCAGGGAGGGCGCCCTCTCTGGGTGGGTGGGTTTATCTGCCGGCGGCGTGGGGGCTTCGGCTCGCAGAATTGTGCGACAAAATTTCGAGGCTTGCGGCGTCTGGGCTCTGGCTTCGCTGCCAGCGTGTGCCTGCGCTGTGCCCTCTGTCAGCCTTGGCGCCCCCTGTGCGTGCTAGCTTGTGCGCTGGGCTTGTCTGTGTGCTTTCGTGTGTTTGTGGCGTCGTTGGTGCGTTGTTCTCGCTTGTTTCTCTGGCTTGCTCTCATGCGATCGCTTGTGGAGTGTTTGCCCCTTTGCTCTTTTCCGTGCATGAAACTCGCGAAAAAAATATGGCGGAAGAAATCGGCAAAGCGTGTTCTCTGGTGGGATCTTGCTGAAGTCGAGTCGTGGAGTTTGAGCGCTGCAACACTACGGCGGCGCCCCATCTTCGTCAACAAAAAACCCGAAGCAGGCGCACATTGAGTTAGGACATAAAAGAGAGCCGTCGCCACAAAGAAAGATAAGAACCCACTTCTTGCTAGAGAGGCTCGCTCTACCTGTAGTGCCGTACTTCATTATAGCGCATTCGCGTCTTTGAGTAATTGCGTTTCCGTATGCCGCCACTTTTCGCTCGAATCATGTACCAGACTTACTAGTTAACACGAGCTAAACGTCTTTTGGCTGTTGGGTTCTTTTACAAGTCAGGCACTCAATAGCCAATAGGAGGCCTTTCTTCATGATAAAACTCAGATTAGTAGAAAAACTGGAGCAACAGTTGCGTGTACTCGCTGCAGACCGTCGTGGGGCGAACGGGGCCTCCTTGTGGGCCGCACTTTTCGGCAGCGAGAAGCATGCCAGTGGCTGCTACGAATCGCAGGTGCGCCGAAATGTCTGGGAGCAGGGTCCGAGAGCGGTGAAACACGAAAAGCAACGACTAACGGAACTGCTTTTGAAAAATTTGTGGGCATCAGGAGTTAGAACTGACCATCTTTCTTCGAATCCTGCAGATACGGGGGACCGTGGCCACTGGGTCTCTCTTTTCGGAGCGATTTGCTTTTTCGTGGGATCGTCGAGTCGCAGTTGCAAGTGAAGTGGAACGACAGGAATGGCCACAAGCTTTGTCAGGTGCGGGAATAGATGCACGATCCTTAAGTCAAGAGACAAACAATCAATGCACGATCCTTAAGAGCACCTCCATCCTTGAAATGTCACCTATATTAATACGAATAAGCGTTTCCACCTCCTATAACCTACAGCGGCATTAATACAGCGTACACATATCATAATACGAATACAGCTGGAGCGTAGCTACAAACACCTGGCAGCTAAGTACTGATGTATTAATATTTCCCTATGAACAAGAGAACAAGTAGTGCAACCAATCGTGCTAGCAAGTAGAATGCGACGAGTGCCGAAGAGTGCCCTCTTCTAATGTACGAAAGCGCAAGTCGGCTCGAGACGGCTTTTTTCAGTTCCTGTCAAGAAGGTCGCAGGACTCGGAGCAGTCGCAGGTGGACGACGAGGCTTCGCCCCCCTCGTCTTCTCCAGCGAATACTGTGAAACAAGCGAAAGCGAAAGCGGTGCTTGCGCCCGAAATCGGTCTACCCACTCTACGTTCGCAGCTGAACTCGGCAGATGTAAATGCTGATCCTGCACCCGGTACGCGTGATTTCCTCCGCTTCAATAGTGGATCTGGTATGTGTAACAGGCTGTTGGTGTTGCTGTGGCCCACAAATGGCAATGGCCGGCAGATGGTAGTGGGCAGTGGCGCCCAGACGGCACTGGGAAGCGGTCCCGGGGGAGTGGCAAGGAACGAGCGCCACGACGTAGAGCACGAATTTTGCTTTGCTACGCATCGGCACCCTACCCTGGCCCGCTTGGAACCACGGGAGTACACAGAGCCGGTAGTAGGACGGCTGGGCCTCCGCGTGGGATCGGCATTCTAGGACGAGGACGGCAACAACTACAACACACAAAGAACCTGTCTATGCGAGCAGTCGCATTGAAGACCCTGACTTCATTGCAATGGAGCATTTTTTTGGCTTAGCACTGTGGGGGAAGACAACGTTCGACGAGAGGGAGATGAGCGTGGAATTGTATCCGGGAAGCCCCAACCCCGGCGTCATCCGCGTCCGCGTATGCAACCAGCAAAGGAACCGCCGATTGGACACGAAGACGAACCATATTCAAGCCTGCCGGTGCCTGTATTCAAGCCTGTTCTTGGAAACCAGAGCGGCCGGCCCTTATCGTGGTGTAGTGCGTGTCGCTGCGAATGTGATTAGTTAATCGCACACAAAGTAAGTAGTGCCTAGCCTTTCACCCTCAAAATTTTTGCAATAAAGACCTTGGGTCTACACTTGCTGCGACTCGCGCCCTGCTGCGCGTGCGATCCTTTTCTTCTTGGATAGATCTTTTCTACGCAACCAATGACAAGCAACCCATGCTGACAAGAGATATTTTCACTGAAGGTTTGTAAAATGTGTGCAGTCTTCGTGGGTCACTACATGAATGCCCTGCGCAAGGAGCTTGCCAACAACGGCACCAGATGGATAGGCGAGTATTGTAGTAGTAGTATCTATTCAGAAGTAGTGTAGTCTATTCAGAAGTAGTGTAGTCTTCTTGCAAAATGAAAACGATGTGATGGCATAAGAGCTGGGGATGGCTCTGGGCCCTGATGATGCCCTGCTGTGCACTGTAGCTGTTCTTGAGTGTGAGGCTGTGTGTCAATAGAGGAAGAGACGAGAACAAGACGAAAAATATTCTACTTGGTTATACGTAGGCCAATCATGGTGCAAAAGTCTCTTATTCCAAGAAAGCGAAAAGTAGCACTAGGCTGAGTACTATGGCCTTGCGATAAGGACTTCGCTTTTTGCTCAAAGAAGGCGAAAAGAAGTTGCTTCTATATCTCGTATGATTAAAAAGGAAAAAACGCAACGAGTACTATGGAAAGAAAAGCTCGCATTATGAAAAGCAAACCCAGTGAGCGACGTAGTTTCCAGCATATCCTGTCCTATCCTTATCCTACGTACAGTACTAATTATTAATTACTCCTTCGAAATACTGATCTTAGAGAGTCCTAGGCGCATCTAATTATTAATTAACTGTCCTGTCCTACGGTGCTAATTAACCCATCTCGTGCTTTAAAGTTATTTGAGTCTCTTCATTTGGTGGAAAAGAAGGATGTCCGATCATCCGGAGGATCAGGCGTTCGGGAAGACTCCGAAAACCGGATTTTTAGACGGCTTGGCCCCTGTAGGCGGAGGCGGGGATGCGCTGGTGCCGGAAAAGAGTATTATGTTGAACTAGCCGACATCTGTTGTTCTAGGGGAGTCGTCCGCTCTTTTTATGAGTCCGGCGCTTTCTTCTGAAGATCAACGTCCTCCACAAGTATACCAAAGGAGCACTTACTACCTCTGTTTACAACTTTCAATATAGGTCTTAAGGTAGTCTACCTGAGTGTACTAATACTATGTCTATGCTGATAGATTGCGCAAGTTTTGGCTTTGATTTTCTAACCTTCTTGACAACTTCATCGGGATTGATGATTTATTTCTAAGTTTGACAAGGAAGCTAGTACTTGTAAGGATTGATGATTTATTTCTAAGTTTGACAAGGAAGCTAGTACTTGTAAGGATTGATGATTTATTTCTAAGTTTGACAAGGAAGCTAGTACTTGTAAGGATTGATGACTTATTTCTAAGTTTGACAAGGAAGCTAGTACTTGTAAGGGGCTTCATCCACATTTTTTTGAGTGTATTCAAATACGCCGTTCTTCTTGTTCTTCTTTTTGTGGTTCCAAAAGCATGGGCATCGTCCTTCTTCTTCTAACAAGCTTGAGGTCAGCGGAATGATGCGGCGAGACATGAATGTCGATCCGTTGGCACCTGGCTTTGGATTTGGGGACGTGCCGGAAACGGGTTTTTTGGATGGTGACGGCCTGAGTGCTAGTGATGCTTAAGAAATCCATCTTTAGTGTATCCTTGGAGGTCGACCATCTTTAGTAGTCCACGTGCTTAATCTTTAGGAGCATCTTCTTGGAGCTGGATCTTCGTTCTAAAGGGGGGAAATAGAGACAAACGGGTGGTCGTGGGGTGATGCGGTTTTACTGGTCCTTTTGTTTCTCTATTTTGCTAGGTAGGTACCCGTACCACGACAAGAATACAATCGCGTCCAGGATCATGACTCTCAAAATGGACTCCGGGGAGGTACTCTAAGATACCTTCGTCGCAAAGCGGGATAGCCAGGCAGATATAGAAGCCCTTCGACTGCAGGCAAATCCGTTCGTGGTTACGACTGTGGTCACCAATCGGACTAGTAACAAAAATTGTACTAATGAATCTAGTAATAACTAGTACTTAATATACAACATAGTACCTACAAGATCGATGAAAGTCATGAAGTATACAGTTGACCGCAGCGGAAGGCTCCTCTAGCACTCTTTTTTGTCTAAGGTCTACCTGATTATACATGAAGGATCTAGAAGGTATAACGCTGACCAAGAACTAAAGCCAGAAACTCTACTGCTTTTAATAAACTTACGTCCTCTACTCTTCACTGCGTCCAAATAATTGTAAGCGAATTGTCAAGAATTCAATACAATAATACATTGTTACTTTCAATGGTTCGGAGATCGTTCGTAGCCTCTATTCGCAATCGCAATGTTTATTTTAATGCCTCTATTCGCAATGTTTATTTTAATGAGTCTGCTGGTTTTCGAGGGGCTGCGGAAGCAGACGTGGGCGAACTGCTGGCACCCAGGCGTGACGCCGATGAGGAGCTATTAGGTACTGCCGAGGAATAGAGCTATTAGGTAAAAAAATGTTTTGGTTTTTTCAAGTTGAGTTCTCGTCTCTGAGAGATTGTATGGTTCCTGAATTTGATCATCAGGGTTTTGGTAGGGGTAGCCTGATTCGATCATAAGGGTTCCTGAATTTGACCATGAGAGATTGATGATTTGGTAACCTGAATTTGATCATAAGGGTTCATTATACGTTATGAGGAAGTAAAAAAAGTGCTGAGTCTTTGGTCTTCCTGCTCGGTTTAAAAACACTATTAGGTACTGCGCAAGCGTTGGATGCGTACGCCGCACAACTGCGAGAGCGTAGCATTCGCGAAAAGATGGAGACTTAAGGCAGACTGTTTTAGTTTTTCTCATGTGACCGCCATCACTGTGAATGGTTCTGGTATTTGGTAACCTGAATTTGATCCTAAGGGAAAACAAGAAGAGAACCCTTAACACATGACTTAAGTAGGCAGACTGCTGCTGACCACCACGACGCCTTTTATGGCACAGCTTCTTCTCTTTTCTTTACTGATCATGATGAGTGACACATCACATCTAAGAGGCGAAGATAGCCGCCGACAAAATCGCGCGAGAAAAGGCGAAGGCGGAGGAAAAGCGACAAGCAGAGCAGCGCGTTCGCGACGAACAGCAGCGGAGGGCGCAAGAGGAAGAGCGGCAAAGAAGAGAGGTACAGTTAAGACCTCTGGGGAACGGGTGAACAATAGGTCTCATATCTATTGAGAAAAATAGCACGCTGGACCTTCCCCGTCTAAAGGTGGGGATCACAGCAGCACTTTTAGGCATCTTCACGGTGTGCACTGTACTAGTTCACTAGCTCTTCATACTAGTACGCCGCCCGCTTCTCATCATCATGGGAGACTGCGGGAAGTTCTAATATGTGAAGCCCAAGAAGCGTTCGAAAGAGAGCAGCGAGAACTTGAAGCAGCACAGTATGGCATTGCTGTTCTTGTCAGGTGTAGTAATACTCCATGCGCTCTATGGCTATTGTTACAGATAAAGTGTAGCACCCCATCCACTCTATGGCGTAGGAATACTCCATCCCTTTTGATATAACTGTAGTTACAAATATTTATTTCGAAGCTGCGCCTTATGATTGTAGCCTGATACAAATATCTAGGCATTGCTCTTGTTACAGATATTTAGGCACCCCTTATGATTGTTCCTGAGAATTGTTGCAAATGCACTTAGAGTTACGTAGAGCAAGATGTCTTGCTTGCAGTTGCGTAGTTGCAACTCTACATCTCGCACATTGTTAGATACTTAGGCACTTAGAATACTACGAACAATTGCGTTGCAACTCTCCTCGTAGATTGTTACCGGCAGCACGGCTCCTCTCCCTCCTTTAAGGTAAAGATGCAGCCTTGCAGGCTCAGCGAGAGCAAGCTCAGCGAGAGCAAGCTCGGCGAAAGCAAGAAGAAGCAGCTGGGGCGAGACGTGACTCCGCTGCGGAGAGGGCGGGCGATGTCGATGATACGGAAATGCAAAGCCGAGGTTTACGACTCCTAGCAAGTCATCTCTGGATGTGGAGTTTCCTGCATTAAAATTGAGTACGACTCCTAGCAAGTCATCTCTGGACCACGTGGGGTTTACTGAGTATACCTCTGGCGTGAGTATGGGCTTGAGTATAGTTATAGTACCTCTTTAGAATTAAGTGCTACGGCGCTTAGATCTAGATGTATTATGTTGTCTAAGTATGATGTACTACGTTGCTCATTTGATCTTGTGCTACGTGTTGTAGGAACTACTCTCCGAAGTCAATACTGTTATCATCATGCGGGCTGTCGACATCCACAGATCAGACTTAGATTTCTGTAGGCAGAATAAGTAGAAGTAGAAGGAGCACGCATTGCCCGATCTTCAGTCTACGTATAGTTTCTATCTGATATTCGAACTCATGTTGCCCATGATCGACGAACGAGGTCCCCAGTCGTCTCTCTTTCAGCATCGTGCGCACAATATGAATACGAATTACTACTACAACTACGCGCTAACTATGTAAATACAGTGACTCGGCCTTATATATACCACGCCAGACCATTTTCTTTCATATTCTGGACAAGAAGAGCCGGCGCGCATGTCAAAGTCAAAGGGCGTGGACGTGTCCACCCCCGCCAGACGTCGGTGGCAGCTGATACGGGAAAAATTTTTGAAAAACGCGCCAAAACCCGACTACGCGAAGCAACAGGCAAAGGGCGCAAACTTCATGCAACAGCTCAAGGGTGCTTATAAAGGCATGCTCAAGGGGAAAGGAAATTACGAACCTGCGTGACTGCGTTATATATGACTTGATGTGACTACTTCTACTCATTTCACGCTGGAGATTCATTGACGCAGTTCGCCCTTGACTACTTGGTATTAATTTCTTGAAGTTGATCGAAGAGAAAGACAAAGAAACTGCTTTGTCACGAAGATTTTACTGAGTTGAAGAGAAAACTTACTCGGCGGTGAATTATTCTCGACATTAAGTCGCTCAGCACTGTCACACAGCTGTGGCATGAAGATTCACCAACCGCTTCGACCTTATTTCCTTACTTTATTTTTATTTTCCCAAGAAGAGTAAAAGCAATTCCTATTTTATGTATTTCTATTCAGTCTTTCGTTTTTTTGACTTCTCGCTCAGTCTCTTGCTTCACTTTGTGTCTACAGGTAGGCCCTGTCTGCACTTACACAGAATTATTCTAGTTCGCCACTTTTCCTACCACCAAGGACCAGCAAGTCCTAGAGGGTTTTACCCTTGGTTTCCTAATTACTACAGCCCAGTTTTACAGTTAGTCTTTTTTGCTCTGCTTGTTCATCATTTGGCGGCCACGCCTGCGCAACAGCAGCAGGCCGTTCCCAGTCAAGGGTACGAGCACGACGACGACGACGACGGCAGTATTATTAAGGCTAGCTTCATTGGTGTATCGTCTTTGTTCCACATGTTCGCTCTGACGGTGCAGGTCACCCTGTGGACGGCGAGTCAGCTCCTATCCTCTTTTGGCGTGCACCTAGTGCAAGCACAATGAGGCTAGTAGTTTCTCTTCATTGTATGCACTTGAAAAATAGGCTCTCTCCACGGATATGATCTCCATTCACTCAATATCTTTAGCGCGTCGAAGCTAGAAATCTATGGGTCTACTTGTACTTGTGACGTACAGACTGTACCACACAGGGAAAGGCCAACGCGGAAGGAGCTCCTCTAACTTTGTGCTTAGTGCAAACTCAGGGATGCAAAGTATGAGATCCGGCGTCGGTGGCGGTGGAAAATCTTTAGCCGAGCACTTCGCGATGAAATCAATGATGAACGATGAGGAGCCAAAATCAACAGGAAGCAAGCAGCGGGCTGCTGCTCGAGCTGTCCGAGGCTTGGACCTTGACGGCCTCATTCCCGATTCTGTCTACTGGCAGACGAGACTTGCCAACGCAGAGTCCCTTATGGAAACGCACTCATACGCAAAAAAAGACGCAGCTGCCTGCCGAGAACGTGCTACAACCTCAAGAAGCTGACTACGTTCTAGGCGGGGAGCTGCGCCTTTTCGTGAGTACTGTGATAGATTAAATAGCTTCCTTTTCCTCGTGGGTGCTATGGGTACACCTCTCATATTGTTGGTGGTCTTCTCACTCGACAACGAGACTGCGGATGACTTCCTCTATTGGGACGCTTTTTATCGGCTGCTCGCGGTTTCAATCATTCCGCCGCTGATGCTGGTCATTAAGGAGTTTAGAAGTCATCAAAGGCCTTACTTAGCAGTATCCTAAAAGGCAAAAGGCCGCTAGACCAACTACGGAGCCGCTGTAACATTCATTGGTCGACTGAAGTGCCTGTGCCTAATAATGTTTGGGTTTGCAGAGAAGTACTAAAACTCACCAAGAAACAGAAAGTAGAGTGAGCGTGGCCATTTAAATTTATCTCTACTCCCTGCTCCCAGATGCATAGACATCACAGCTGGTATTCGGTAAGTTCATAGAGGTCTAATGAGGCGTGGATCTTCATCCTGTTCTTTATCAGCACCGAAACCAAGTACCGAGTTCGCCGAATAGCAGTGGCTGAAGACGGGGTGCACTATCAGCTACCGGTAAATTTTTGTTTTGGAGATTATAAGACAACAGAGGCGCCTGCTCTCTACTTAGGTAAGACGCCTGCTTTGGGATTAAGAAAATGCAGACTGCGCTCTACTTACACGCAACAAACTATGCACAGTTGCAGCAGCGGCACTCATATCTGTGCCTGCTTCTCTCTGAACAGTGTCAGTCTAACGCGTGCGCACCTGTCTACTCGTCTCTGTGTCCACTAGTGCGTCTACTCATCTCTGCACTCTGTCAGTCCAACTCATAACGAGCTACTTACAGTGTCAGTCTACAACTCCTCTACTCGTCTCTGTTTCTGTATGACTAGTTGTCTACGCATCTTTGTGACGCGTGTGTCTACTCATCTCTCTACCCCCGTTCACAGCGCGAGGGCGAACTTAAGGATGACTTCATGCTGCCGTGGTCGCAGATGGCCGAAGTCACCATTGTGGACGAAGAGAGCGACTGCACTGATTATGCTTGAAGCTTTATTTTGTTAGTAACTCACGTTTTTCGTCTTGCTGATAGTAAAGAATGACTATCAACTTGAGACGCACTGATGACATAACTTAATGGCGCTTCCTCATGTTCATGTTCTAAGGTCTACGCGCTTACTTTGCTACTAACTCACTTTCTCAGAGTTGAAGACCCACGAAAAAATAATCTGCAGTGTGATTATGCCGAAGTTGATGCTTGAGCGCAAAGCTGGCAACTCCACAGGTCCACAGTAGTCTAGTTGTGCAAGAACTGAGAGCAATTGTTGCCGTTGGTGCTACAACTACAAGTAAACTAGTACTAGCAGGGCCTATGACGTGTTGTTGGTACTAAAAGTAAACTAGTACTAGGACCTTTCCCCTCGCCGCGTTCATCACTTGGTGGTTATCCAGCGCAAAGAAGACCCAGGCGGCTTCAATTCGATCCATATTTTTGGCCTCGAAGATCCTCAAGAATTTGCCAACCTGTTGATGAACCAAGGTGGTGACCAAGAGGAAGAATACTAGTGCAGCACCCATCGCGCAACGGAGTACTCGAACACCGCAGAAAGAGCGGCTGCGCCATTGTTGCGACTGCACAACACGGAGTACTTGGTCCACGGCGTGCACCTGGACACAGCGGAGCACTTGCATGCAGTGAAAATATGTGGTGGAAGAGATGCTCACGCGTCAGAAAACGCGCGAGGGGGTTGGGATATGAGGATGAGCACAACGGTCAGACAAGATCCATGATGATGCAGTTTAAGAAGATTGCAAAAGGGGGAACACAATTGCCGACGAACGCGCCACTTTATGAAGGTAGAGGGCGAGAGCACTATCAAGCACAGAGCCGCAAGCCACTACAAGTTACCTCCTTGCCGATAGCCTCACGCCAAGACGCTACAGCATTAGCCTCCTGCGAGTGGGTAAAGGCGTGGGCCCTGCGCTGCAGGCAATTCAGGGGAGGCGGGCTCACTTGCGTCAATGTAATCAGATAGATCAGAAGGCGAGCCCAAAGCCCCACGGCCTACACCAGCACAGCCGCCGACGCTACACCTCGGCGGAGACGGTGCACGCGTAGGGCTACACACGTAGGACTCCCGCACCGCACCAGGAGGGCTTAGAGGCTGTAAAAAAATGCCATAGCTTGGGCCTTTTTTTCTTCTGCCTAGGGCTGTAAGATAGTCAGGCGTCTACCTGTCTGCGAGTGCTGTCTCTTATAGGACAGAGCGAAAAGCCCTTACTTCACTTACCAGCAGCAAACACGCAACGAAAAACCATGCGAACAACATTAGAAACGTAGACCGCCATCGTGTGGCTTCCGAAGGTCGCCATATTATATGCTTAGTAATACTATACGGTGGCCAGCTTGGCTGACTAGAAAACACTACAGAGCCGGCCGTCTCTGGCTGGTAACGTGACCGCGCAAGACCTGTGGCCAGATCAGGTTCTCGAGTCCCAATTTCTGAAAGGTCTGCCAACGCTTAGAACCCGCCAAAAACCATCCCGGCAAGCCTCTACGTACCATTCCCGAGCGAAAATGGGCCATCCATGCTTGTCGGGGTAGCCTCTTTGTAATCGTAAAAAGATCCCATTGACTTTGCTGAGTGCTATCCTCGAAGCGCCGAAGTCTGTCTCTGCAAAGTATCACGCCCCCACCGATTAGCTTGGTGCGCCCCTTCATGCAGGTCGTCTGAGTTGCCGCTTTTTCGGGTGTACCAAGTCCAAGATCCATCGCGCAACGCAATTCGGGGTAGGCAATCCTTTCGCCATTTGGGGCGATTCTGCGGGCGCACCTTGTTGGGGACGTGACGCGTGTCGCGTACACATCTAGGGCGTAGATTTTTTTTTGTGCGAGATAGGTAGACAAAACGAAACGAGTTCCTATCTATCGGACGCCACTCGAAGGAGCGCACTAGCCAACAGCACAAAAGGAGCCACGAGGGATAGGCCACAATGCGAGCGCCACGCCTTAAGATTTCTAAACCTACCCCGCGCGGATTCAATTATAGCGAGAGAAATCTCCATCGATTGGCGCCTGCGGCAGCGTGAGACCGGGGCAGGGGGGCCCCTCGGCTTGGCTGGGCCACAGGTCGGCCATCTATCTTCGCGGCCTGCTCTCCATCTGGTAGCTTCTGTTAGCTAGCCCCCCTCCCCTTGGCCTCCTCCAGTTCGGCCGCCATATCTTTGCCATGCATCAGAGAGGCCAGAGAAGCGTGGCGCACGCCTCTGCCTTTGCCTTTTTCTCCTTTGTCCTTCTCATCTCTAGCGCCAGCACTGACTTGGGGCCGCGGCGCAGCAACTCGTAGAGAGTGGAAAACATACAACGAGGCGCTTTACAATACTACGCACCCACCCCCAAGCACACAAACTACTTACGCAAGGAGAAAGCCTATAATACAAAGCTACCCGAGTAGATTTCTCCACGCAAGAAGACAGCGTCGCCCCCCCCGGCCTTGTTGCCTTTGGTGCTCCAGGTCTTGCCGATTGTGTTCTTCCGCAAGGGCTTTCCGCCTTTCCCATGGTCCTCGAAGTTCTGGCCCTCCAAACTCTCTGAATCGCGCTCCCCGTCGACGCCTTTGCTTTTGCGCGCTAGGTTATCCCTCGCGCCGTCCTTACCGCCGTTGCCTCCATGATATGCCTCCCCGCGGTAGGTAGCAAGACCGTTCAACGACTTGCCGCCATCACTTTGCTCTGACGACTCCGACGCGCCAGGAGTGGCCTTCGCTGCAGATGAGCAACGACGGGCATAGCTGAGACAGGGCTTGAGAGACTTCGTCCGCATGTGTTCAGACTTGCAGCCTACGGCTTAAAGATCTGGAAAGCAAGGCAGAGACAGGAAACGCATCCACTATGACTCATATTTTTCCACTTAGGCCATGTCTGCGCTCGAGATGCGGAAGCTCCAGCATTTCGGCCGTTAGGCGCACACTTGGGGGCTACGCTACTTTTCAGCGGGGCACCTTGCGTTGGGCGGCCGCTGCTGCTCGTGCGTCGTCGCCGCGGCGGCTCGGTTATTCTCGTCCACAACGCTTGAGCGCTGGGCGGCTCTGAGACCTGTGCCGCGTGACGCAGTGGCCATGCCGTAACTATTGACACAGACGAGGAGCCTGTCAGCTTCGCTGTCGGGCTCTCTGTCAACAGAATACCGTGGGGAGAAGGGTCACGGACTCGGACCCCCCGTCAGCCCTCTCCGCCGGCTCCGGTTGTGAGGGCTGGAAGCCTTCGAAAGCGGCCAAGTGAGGTCGCCGCTTCTGGGGATCCATCAAGGGGGTGTCGTTCAGTGTGTGGGGATGGCACAGACCAAACGCGAGTGCGCAGGTCTGGCGTAGAATTCAAAACTGTGCAGGGTTTTGGCCGTTGAGTGTTGACTGGTGAGAATCAATCTCCTGGAGCTTCCGCATCTCGAGCGCAGACCTGGCTTAAGTGGAAAAATATGAGTCATATCCACGCCCCAAGCCTTTAATGTCCGAAATTGTAGGGCTTGCGCCTCCGCTTTCTGCTGGCGCCGCATTGTCCTCGATTGCATTTCGTTCACAGTCACCAAGCTGCTCCTCGCGGACATCAGAAGGCCCCGGAGGTTGAATTTCTGTAGTGTCATTGTGATAGAAAGAGAACCAAACTCAACAAGACTACAAAAATGGACGCAGCGTTGGCAATTGATTCAGAGGCGCGGGGCGCTGTGCTTCGCGACAACTACAAACGCCCCCAGCTATAGACACCGCCAAGGAGCTCCAAGGCGTCGGGCAGCTGCTGCCGCGCGTTGTGAAGAAGGTCCTTAACCTTGACGGCCTTCCCAAAGTCATCCCACTGCCCTCCCTACATAGTCTTGCCCTTTTTTTTCACCAGCAAAAAGCTGGGCAATGAGTTCAGGCTGAGCGCAGCAGACACGCCACTAAGATAGGAGATAGCGCGAGAGTGTACATGCATAAGAATCACACACCTCAGCGGGCGGTGTGCGCGTGGACATGCCACGGGCGAGCCAACTGGCGGCGGCAATGCCCTCGAGTTTGAACTCGCTGGCCGGGGTGTCTAGCGTGGGGCAGCTGGTGAGAGTCTTGGCACCTTCTCCCCTCTGTCCACTCTCGCTGTGCGCACGCCGCACGCATAGGGGAGCTGCTTCGAGAGCGGTGGAGGAGCTCGCAGAAGGTGCTTGCGGCTTTGCTGCTGGTGCTTGCATACAGCGCAGGCTTTTTTTCCAGTGCTTCAGCTGCATAGTGCGCGGGTGTGTCTCTGCTCCGTCGCTGGCACGCGTTCACAAGCCCCGCCGAGTGGTGTGCTTTGTCTGGAAGTCAGACGGGAGCGATACGGGCGACAGATTCCGCGAAAACTTAGACTCTGCCCGTGTCATGTCCACCAGGCAGTGGGCCAGTCCCGTGCCCATGGGTTTCTCCTTCAAGTCTAGCTTGAGCCGTTTGCTTCAGTCAGTCTGGTGGCGTTCCAATCCAGGTCGCGTTCCAATCCAGGTCGCCGCTGACGGCGGGCGGCGACTTCTCTGGCATTTATTTGCATTGATTTTGTTTTTGGGCCGCCTGGCTGGTGTAGTTTTCTTATAATTTTGGCAGCATGGCTCGGCAGCTCAGTTACTGAAAAAAAAAGCGCCTTGGCCCCGGCGTGAGCATGGGGCAGCCGACCCTGAGGCAAAAAATAGGACACCACGCCGCACCCAAATCCTGCGAGGCGCGGGCTCCCCTTAATAAACTTCTGGACTGGCATGTCACAACGCCAACCAGACACAACGCTGCGACCGTTGTCGCTGGGAACTTAGCTGGGTGGCGTTTTCTGGAGGTTCGTCAAGTGCAGCCGCGCCTGATTGGTGACGCCACAGAGGTAGACACATCGTGAACGCTTGGAAATATTCACGGGGGGCGTGTGCGTGACGTGGGGAACCGTTTCCAGCGTCGCAGAAACTCCTGGGGCGCCTTGCAAGTTCTTTCCACGTTTTCTGCCAGGTTTTCTCCTTGGTTTTTGTGCAAGCAAGTCTGATCGGTTTTGCGGTCTGTTTTCTGGTTCTGTGTCTCCTTTGCTGCCGTGGCTGGGCGCTGCCAACCAACCCGCGAAGCAGCGGGGCGGGGCTGAGGTGAAGCACGCCTGCGCGGCAGCTCCACGGATTGGGAGCCGGGCGGCAGTTGCGCTGCGCTTAAGTTGTGCTTGAGCTGGGTCGCGCTTGGGCTGAGTTTCGCCGGGGCTGGCTTGCGCTGCAGTTGGTTTGCGTTGGGGGACGGCTGCGCGCTCGCGCTGCGTTGCGCTACCGCTGTTCTGTTGCGCTGCCGCTGTTCTGTTGCGCTGCCGCTGTTCTGTTGCGCTGCCGCTGTTCTGTTGCGCTGCCGCTGTTCTGTTGCGCTGCCGCTGTTCTTAGTTAGAGGGACAGCGGCTGAGGCGAACGTGTGCAGAAGATGCAAGGGCAAAACCGCCAATACCCGCGCGGAGCTTCGCCACTTTTCAGCCCAGAACTGCGAAAAGACTATGGTGGGGCTAACGAATTATGTTAGCATCTAGACACTTTTCCACTTTTGCGGGGTCTAGTGGTAAAAGTGAAGAGTTGGAAAAATGGTTATTCGCTAAAGTAATATAATCATTTAAGTCCGCCATAAAGACTGCAGCCCATTTTTTGCGGGAGAATTTGCACGAGCAGGCCCGAGGGAATTCTCTCGCGGTTTTTATTCCCAGCGCCAGATTTGAGTCAATGCCTGGATTGCTTGGAGCATAGGGCCCGAGCCCCGCCCTACCGCGCGTGGGCGCTGGTTCGTTTTTGTTTGCATTCTCCACCCCCTTCATGGAAGTCTTGTTCGCAGGCAGAGGCGCACGAAAGAAGTGCACGCGAATATCTAGCAGAAAATTTCTGTGGTCGTGTTCCCCGTTCACTAGAAAATAGCAATATGCACGAAGAAGAAAAGAAGACTGCAAAAAGCGCGCAAGGCTGTCCGGCTTCGAAATGCAAGGGAAAGCACTCCTATATTTTGATTTCGCACGCGAAACACCAGCAGCATGCCCGACGCAAAATTGGTCTGATTTATCACTACAAGCACGGGTAGCAAGGCTTTTTTTTGGCCCTTTCTCTCATGGGATTTTCTTCTAGCTGTCTGTGTGGCTTATTGCAAATGGACTACTAACTGGTCTTCTTGTGATCTTCTCGCGCACCGCCAGCATAGTCCCCTTGTTTATTATCGCACTTTTCACAACTATTAAACATAACAAATCAACGAACCTAACCAACAGAGCTTATTGATTAAGGTCAAAGAAAGGATCATCACCATGGAGGGGTTGCGAGATGACGATACACCACCCGGGGGCTACATCAGCTCGAAGCGAGGCTTCGTGACATTCGTCCCGAGAGAGCAGCCGAAGCAGTCAGTGACAACTTCTGCACCGAACCCAAAGGATGGCCAGTCGACGCAGAACACTCTTCTAGTACCAAACCAGGCAGCACAGGAAGTGGCATGTGCTAGTCTTCATGGTCAAGCAACAACATCTCTTCACGGTCATCACGGTCGTGGTCATGAAGATGAAGGAACCTCTTCTACTAGCGGGTCTTCACGATGTTTCGGCAAAACAACTACCCTACTGGAATACCGCACTCCAGCCGAGCAGGTGGCGGAGTATCCTGCATCTAGCGGAACAACTTGGGGGACGACCACCACCACGATCGCTAGTGCTGCCTCTGCAGCATCATCTATACGATTACGACATGGCGCTTTTCCGGAGGAGCAAGGGCAAGACTATCATGCAACACTATCAGCAAACGCAACTAGTACTTGTGGTAGAAGTTATTACAACGAGCAGGAGGCTGCTGAATATGCAGAATACGTGGCTCAATGTCGTGCATGGCAAGAGCATGCGGAGGGGCAGTATGCGGAAGAGTATAAAAAGGGATTGGAAAAACGATTTGGGGAGCATAGCGTCATTGCCGCGAACCTGCCCATCGGCACCACGGCAGGTTCGGTAGTTAAGGCAACGCAGGGTGCATCCTAAAGAACATCATCCTTGGCTTCCTTGGATCATGCTACCAGGAATGCCGACACCGGGAGTCATCCTTGCCTTCCACCAAAGGTTTCCAAGGATGGTTGTGGTGCCAGGGATGCAATGGCCTAAGGTAGCTAAGGTAGCGGACTTTTTCTACCAGCGATGCGGAACCGTGGCCAGTGTCAACTTCGTCCCGCAGATGCAGCACACGGTGGCAGTCGTCGAGTTCGAACATGTGGAGGGATGTATGGCGAAATACCAGCCGTTTCTTGAGACAGTCTTAAAGTACTTGCTTGGGAGGACAGTATCATTCAAGTACTTACTTGGACTTGGAGGCTTTTTAGAAAAATTTTAACTACTACGCACAGCCGTTTCTTGAAACGGTATTCAAGTACTTAGTCGGAAACTTTTTAGAAACAAGGTTAACAACGCTTAGAAATTATTTTGAGTAAGGGCATAGTTGAGATTTGAGAATCGATTTCATACTATCGCGCTAGGTGTACTAGATCTTAGCAAGATGCACGAAAGCTACAAGCCGTTGAGTAGCAGCATGGCCATACTACATGGGGCGAGCCTATTACGTGACTGACTGCTTTCCTTGTTCTTTTATCTAGTTCGAATACTAAGCCTACTGATACAATCGGGGAACAGCATTTAATTATTATTTATCGAGTTAGGGGTCCACTGGAATTACAAGGATCAAAGACGGCGTCTTTCTTCATACTAGTCGAAAATGCGATGGAGCGAGGCTATCCCAAGGACCTGAACGGTAATGCAGTGCAAGTCCGCGGATGTGCTGAAATTCGCCAGGACCTACATGTCGCACTGAATACTGGCGCTCTGCAGGCGTGAGGAGCAGTACGCGGTGGTTCGAGTAGTACGCGTCTAACCTCGTGGAGAGCAGCAGCGACGTTCTACGGACGGCATTTCTTTGGAGTGGATTAACCAGTTTGAGCAAGTCGTAGTGCTGTGTAAGTCAGGTTTCGGGCAGTATGTTTCTTTCGAGCAGTATGGGTTCGAGCAGTACGGGTTTGGCCAGTATCTACCATGGGTTTTGCTTCTACCAGTGTAGCTCGTTGCTGCATAGATTGTGCAGCAAAGGAGGCCATCTTTTTCTGGGTTGTGAATTTAGTGACGACGAAGAACAGCAATCATTTAGTATGAAGAAGACCGGTTATCCTTATCTAGTATAATTTTTCTCTCCAAGAGTGATGAAGTGATTTCCGTCATTTCCAATAAGATGAAGTACGCAAGAGCGCTTAGCGTGAGCGTTAGTTACGCATAGTCATAGATAGCGTATATATACGCATGAGGTAAGGCGTCCCTAGGCCTAGCGATCTTCATTATATATATTAATAATATGCACTAGGCTAATAGACCAGGAGAAAAATTCGAGCCAGTAGTTTCCGATGTTATTTTTTTTTTGCAAAGCTGTCAAACTTTGCAAAACTTTGGCTGCTCTTGGGCAGTGTTGAAAATGGGGTTGCTTGGTATCTATTCTGGACTTAGAATTATTAATATATTTTGCAACATATTTTTAGCATCATGATATTACAAGAAGGGCAATTTTGGTTCATCCAGCTACCCTGATTTTGCTTTTTTTTTCATTTTTTATCCACAGCCACAGAGACAGATACAAGTAAGCATGACTTATGATAAGTTAGTAAGATAGTACAAGTACAACTCGCTCTTCCTCTTCAATTAGTATTTGCATCTTCATGAAGATCATGGTGATGAACAAATGATCTAGTACTTACTAAGAAAAACTGGAGGCTTCCTTGCGATTGAAAAAAATACACTTCGCTTCTATTAGAAAGATTAGCATTGAAGATGGGAATTATTGCTGTCCTAGACGTAGATGACCGGGTATCCACCGACCCTCGTTTTGCCTTTCAAAGTCATGATTTTGCTTAGCAGTTTCGGCTCGTCCTGGTTTCGGGTGTTCCACCATGTCGTTCACAAGAGACGCCAATGCGATCCTCACAGTAGATGAAGATCCTCTTGATGTGAAGATTTCTAGTTTGATATTGGTCATCTTCAGTCGCATAGCGGAGGGCGTTGGTTTTTTCTTGCCATTCTGTTTGAGGAGAACGAGTGAATGTTGAGAAGTTGAAGAGATCAGAGCACGACCAAGACGAGAGACGATTGAAGCCTATTTTGTGTTCTTTTGGTTCGACTTTGAGGTCTCAGGCAAGAACGTTCATGTGCACAAGACGAGAGAAGAAGAAGAAGATGGTGCTATTGCACTTGTACTAGTACAACTGGTGACGAGATCGAGAGAAACAAGAGATCTTGTTTTCTAGGCTGAAGATTCAGATGTTGTACCGGGTCGTGACGAGAGATTGAGATCTACTACTTCATTGATTAAGCGGAATTTTGGAGAATTCTGAAGCATGGATGATCGGCTCAACAAATCAGACAAACTTGGGAGAAAATCCTCTTTTTTATTTTTTTCGATTTTTTTATGTTTATGGCTATGACGATTCAAAATCACTTTCATCGAATATATAGGATACTATAAATCTTCGTAATATTCTTAGTAGTTGTTGAGTGTTAAAACGGTATTTTTCATTCATGTTGTTTGAAGAGATCAATATAGCTCTCTTTCATACTTATTCTTTCCCATAGTAGTACAGCATCACAGAAGATTCATCAGAAGACTCTTATTCTTTCTTTCTAATACACCACAAAAATTTGAAGTAGTATTGTAGTTGTAGTAGAATTGTAATAAGAAGTTTAGATGTCCTCAGTTTAAGGTTTATTTCATACGCATTCAAATTCAATTTTTTTGTAATTCAACTGAGCCATCTTCATCGCCTTCATCAATCTGCTGTCATCTTCCGTCTCCAAAAAAAAATTTAGGGTCGACCGTGAGGAATTGCATGTTTTTTTTTGTTGTGAGATAGAAGGGCGACATTAATGAAGTGGAAGAGTTAGTCGGATCATTTCTTTTCTATTTATTTTTCTTGTATAGCACCAAGTCTAAGATCGTATCTATTATTCATTCTGTTACTAATATTCGCAAAAGCTAGTGATCGTGTTATTTGATGTCGTGTTATAGTTACTTCTAGAGATAGTTTCAGTTTGTCGTGAACAAGATTATTGAGTTATCTACCTAATTTTACAAGACTGTGTTATTCCTATAATAATTTCTTTTTGTTGTCGTGCGAATACATAAGATTCAAAAATCAATTCATTATTTTTCTTGGCATTCAATTCACCGATCATTCTAATTCATTATTATCGATATCGATAGCATTATCTGAACGAAATTAATAGCTGAAAAAGTGCATTTTGTTGCTCGTCGAACTTGCGCCGCGTTATGCAACTGGATGGGTGAACGATCGCGTTGCTCGAATCGAAGATGTTGATTATGAGAATGTAGCTCTTCTTGATCATGTCTTGGACCAACATCTACGTAGTGTCATTTGCCTCCACTGACTTACAGCCAGTACAGCATCAGCAACGGCCGACTGCTACTCGAAACTAAAAACGTTGTGAACGTCGCAAGTTAAAGATAATGAATATTCTTCATGAACAGACTTTTCACTTCTGCTCTAATATTCTTGAAGATCACATTCGAGGAGATTCAAGCGCGTGGTTCATGAGCAGTTCGTCGCAACCAGCACGATGGGCGACGTTTTAGAGCAGCCTCCTGATGAAGAAGATCGTCCGTCTGTACGGCGGCGGTCAGCTTCTACAGAATTCTCTACTTCAACATCGTCTTCGAGCTCGTCAGGATTTCTGAGCTCGAATCTGAATCTGAGCTCGTCAGGATCAGGGTCCTCAGAAAGAGACCACACAACGAGACGAGGGAGGATACTGGTAGGATGCGGTCGAAGCGGATCCTCCTCTTGTCCTATCATCTTCTACGACCACGAGGAGCACCTCCACACGCATAGTACTTCTAGGAGCACTAGCAGACCTACTTCTAGGAGAAGAAGGAGTATCTCTAGTACAAGAACTTCCTCTAGTTCTAGTACTACTACACCTAGAAGTTCTAGCACAACTACACCTAGTTCTAGTACTTCACCTAGTTGTTGTACCCCTAGTGCAGGTACTAGTTGTACTACGTTGGACTGTAGTGTCACTTGGGACGAGGAGGAAGAAGAAAATAAAGATGACTGTCGTCCAGGAACATCGGGAGCATATGAAGGGTGCAGCAGAACAACGAGGCCCTTTATTACAGGACAAGGAATATCGCAGATGAAGATGCAAGAGACCACGACAAGTGGAAATGAAAGTTATGGAAACACAGTTTTCCTCAATTTCTTCAGTGATCATAGTAATAAAAATAGGAGGTATGATATTTATTACATGATTCAGATTCATTCCATAACCAGCGCGTCCTTACTCTAATTGTTGTACATGATTCATTCTTCAACATAACTATGCGTTGTAAGAGGAAGCAGTAGAGGTCACTCACAGTTAAAACAAGGAGGTGTAGTTTCACTTTAGTACTAGTCAAGTTGTATCAGCGAAGTGTTCCGATTCTAGGAGAAGAAGCCTCTGACCCTAGGGAAATTCCGGAGCCTGAAAGGACTAACCCCAAGTGTTCAACTCGTGCATTTCTTGAGTAAGTACAAAGCTGTATGTGCGAAATGTAGTTGTTCTATTTATCTCTTGGCGGTAGGGTCGCGCACGAACATAATAATAATACTGACATCAATAACAATAATCTAGTATACTCGTCCTCGTAGCCATAATCTCTAATCTTCCACAACTCGAGGCGCCACACTCGCAGTTGTGTTTTTGTTTGCCACGGGGGTGGTGCTGGACGCTCTTCTTCGGCTCTTCTGCTGGTCTTGGATTCTTTGGTTTCAAACCCTACGTAAGCGAAGAAGATGGAGGAAAAACCTTGAAGACGGCTGTGAACAAGATCGAAAGCGAAGAAGATGGAGGAAAAACCTTGAAGACGGCTGTGAAGATCATAATACTAGTCGCGAAGCAGTTTTAGAGGAAGAGGAAGAGGTTGATCAATCTTGCAATCTACGTACGACAACAACCAAAGCTACAACTGCTGCTTGTAGTCCTTGTTCTAGTATAGCAAGGACGTCAATGGCGGGTGCAGTGTCACGATTTCGTCTGACGCAGCCGAGAAAGCGAAAAAGGAAACGACTTCCTCTAACGAGTCGCACGAGCCCTGATGGAGAACGGAAACCACCGCTGAATGAAGTCTCAATGAGTACTAAAAATAGAGTGCTCGTGGATGACGAACATGTAGTCCTTCAGGTGGAAGAGGAAAGAACAACGCACCTTCCAAGTCTTGCTGTTGCACAGAATAGAAGAAGCTGCACTCGTCAGATCGCGAGGAATGGCTCGTCCAGGACAAGCAGTGATTGTTATAGAACTTGTTTCTCAAGAACATCTTTTTTGACGAACTTGTTTTCCATCTTATCCGCGTACTTGGCCATTCTGACCAGCGCTTTCGTGACAGTGAGTAAGAACGGTCAGATCCAGCTGCTTGGTCCTATCAACGTGGATCCCAACGCTGGTTTTTCTCCGCAGATTCGTTTTCGAAACAACGGCACGATACAGTGGGTCGCAACCACCTTCGATTTCTACACGAATTAAGGCCGCTTTGTTCTAAGTACGTTTTTTAGCTTTACTTAGTCGTAAACTTTATTTTAGCAAACTACAAGTACTAGAAGTTCTTATATTTAGACTCAGGATTAGATTTCTGGTGCACGAAATAAATCAGGAGGACTTGTTCGCTCTGAGTTTTTCTCTCAATCTTAGATACAGAAAGTCGTCTTTTTTGCCTTGTAGAAGAGGACGAAAGTGATTGACATCATCTCGATGGTGTTCATTTTTCATTGAGATGAACTCTCTCACTCTCCAAAAGTTGTATTACTCGAAAACTAAAAATAACCGAGTTACTGACTGAAATAAGGGAGGTAGCTTTGACAGGGCTACTCTTCCTTGTTCAGGCTTAACTGTGCTTATTTCAAGTAGTTACTCGGTTATTTCAGTTTTTCGAACTTGACCTCACCAGTCTTCTTCTTCTCTAACTCCTTTCTTTGGTGAACAACGGCAACACGGACTTCTTGCTGATGACCGGAAACCAGTTCTCGGAATGGCTCTTATCCGACAAGAACCCCACTGCGCCAGGTGGGTGGCTGGAGTACGGATCAGAAGGACGCGGCACCTTTTTGATCACTTCGGATCGAAAAGTGTATTTAAACACGACTCTGTCCGTCTTCAAAGCGGTTGAGATGGGCTCGTCCTTGTCCGTGCGTGGCTTCGTGAAGATGGACAAAAGGTTGTCCGTAGACGACAAGACCTACTTCGGGTCTGAGCTGTTCATCGGAGATCCAGGGAGATCGAGTAGCATGTCCCAGACTAGATTCGGTCGCGGTAACCCAGCGGGCTTTCCACCAGTACTCAGAATAGATACCAGCCCAGATCCGCCGAACAGGTACTTTCTTCTGTACTTATGCACTTGCTCCTCCTTTCTTGTTAAACTTTAAAAGAGTACTATTTAAAAGAGTACTATATTGAAAAATAGTATGGAGGTGGCGGCGGATGAATTATCAATGTATGTCGTGGGATTCATTTTTGTGACTTGGAATTATGATGTGCATGTGCTCCCTTTCCGTTTCCCTTTGCACTTCAGACTTAATTCCTAGACAGAAACAAGAAGACCATAGATCGAAAAATCTCGACCAACAACATGACTCCTATCTCCACCTAGTACAACCACAACTCCTATCTCCAGGTACAAAACCTCGATCGCGGACCATACCATGTTCGGCGATAGTTTGGAAGTCCAAAATAGCACCAATCTGGGAAGCTGTTTGTCAGTGCAGAGTTTCGCGAGACTTTATAACACCCTTTCCGTCAACTCCTACGTCCGGATCGGGCAATATATCTCCGTACTACTTCCACACCTCTACTTCTATATTTGTTATCTTGAAGCAATTTGTTGATGTTGCAACATTCTCTCAACAGTAACTACTTGGTTGTACCTCTTTTATTTGCTAGTGGTCTGCTTTCGAAAATTTTTGGAACTTGTATTTGGTTTCTTTTTGGAGTAGGCCTAGAGACCATTGGAAGAGACGATAAGTTCTTGTAGAGTAGCACCTGCTGTAGCTTGTTCTGTAATCAAAGCTTCCTCAACAACAAAGATGTTCTTGCTCTGAAGACGTTTATTGTCGTACTCTTTTCACCTCAACTTGGGTGGAGGGACATCGAGATAGACCCCAACAACCAACGCCAACGACCTCCTTCAGGTGAAACATTACACGCGAATAGGAAGCACCTTGAGTGTTTACAGCCTGGTGAGAATAGGGAGCCATAGCGCAGCAACGCTCTCCATTGGGGGCGTTCACTCTATCTTCGGCAGCGCGACCTTCGGTTCCTCGCTGAGTGTCCGAAAGTTATGAAGGAGAAGAAGTGGAATGATTTTTCTCATCAGATCTTCATCTTCGTCTCCGTGAGAAGCCAGCAACGAAAGTTGCATTTGATCGTAATGATACAAATATTAGTCGATGTAATTATTTCCAAATCCAAATCGTCCCTGAAAGAACTAGAAATTACATGTTCTAAGAAAAGCAGTGAAGCTAGGCGGTCGCGGAGGCACCGAGGCAGGGTCACTGCGGTGTGCCTTGTCGCTCTTTGGGCAGATGCGGTACGGCAGAAAGATGTTTAGTGTTGCGGACTTCACGCTTTTAGGGAGTATGCTTTCGCTCCGTAGTTACGCCCGGTTGGGCAGCAGTGTCTCGCTCTACGGCATGGCGCGATTGGGAAGCAGTTACTCGGTACTCGACTTGGGTCACTTGGGTAGCAGTTTTTCTCTGACCAGCTTTGCTCGCTGTGCGAGTAGCTTCTCCGTCTTTGGCGTTGCGCGATTAGGCAGTGCGATGAGTTTGCTGGACTTCATCTCGCTGGGAACCGGGATTAGCGTGCGCGGCTTCGCAAGACTCGGGAGTTCTTTGTCGCTCTTTGGCATTGCGAAGTGCGGAAGTGCGATGAGTCTACTGGATTTCGCGGTGCATAGTAGCTGCCTGTCGATGCGGACCTTCTCGAGACTGGGGAGTAGCTTGAGCGTGTACGGAGTCGCGAGGCTTGGGAGTAGTCTCTCGACATTGGACATGATCTCCGTAGGCAGTTCACTTTCTTGCCGTGCCATCGCGTGTTTGGGTTCTGCGCTGTCCGTCTACGGCATGGCCCGGCTCGGAAGCTCGCTCTCAGTCCTAGACATGGTCACGCTCGGCAGCTCCCTGTCGGTGCGCATGTACCAGCGACTGGGCAGCTCGTTGTCGGCGTACGGCATGGTCTCGCTGGCCTCGACGTTGAGTATCCTGGACAGCAGCAGCATCGGGTCTAGCATTAGTTTGCGCAGCTACGGACGGTTGGGCAGTAGTTTGTCCGTCTTTGGACTCGCGAGATTTAGCAGTTCGCTGTCCTTGCTCGACTCGGTGTCGATTGGGAGTGGGTACTCACTGCGAACGCTCTGTCGACTAGGCAGCTCGCTTAGCGTGTACGGACTCTGCTCACTGGCCAGCGGGATTAGCTTACTGGAGTGCGCCCACTTCGGGTCTTGCTGTTCTTTGCGAAATTTTGCGAGACTCGGGAGTGCCTTATCCCTCTTCGGCATCACGCGCATCGCCAGTACCTTGAGCTTAGTGGATTTCTTGAATCTAGGCAGTAGTTACTCCTTACGCACCCTTCTCCGCGTAGGCAGTGCGACGAGTGTGTACGGGATGACACGGTTGGGCAGCATTTTCTCCGTGCTCGACTTTGTCTCCTTCGCGTCCTCGTTCTCCATGAGAAATCTGTGCCGGTTAGGAAGCTCCCTCTCCGTCTACGGTATGTCGCGATGTGGAAGCAGCTTCTCCCTCGTAGACTGCGTGCACTTTGGGTCCTCCTTGAGCGTCCGCACAATGGCCAGGTTGGGAAGCGGTCTCTCCATCTTCTTATGATTTTTCCACAAAAGATATTAAATCAGTCTAGTACTATAAATTTCTTGTAGAAGTTGCAACTACTCCTGTATCGAGACGGACATTTTTACCTTAGCAATTTACTGTTGATTTGTGATGTTGATTTTTGATGATGATGTTGAAATAGAAGGACTTCGATCTGCTTTTTTGAGAACTAGTTCAGGTCAGAAGATTCAGTTTCCGGCGTCGTAATGCGCACGCAGATAGAGCTACTACCAGTACTACTGAAAATACAAATAGGTAAAATTGAAAGTAAATTTAATCAAGATTATCTTTATCGACTGATGATTCTCTAATCTCCGGAGTGTCGAAGCTGGGTTCGAGTTTGTCGATATTGGACTTTATCAGTTTCGGATCCGCGATCTCGCTCCGCATGACTGGTCGGCTCGGCAGCTCGCTCTCCATCTACGGCTTAACCAGGCTAGGAAGCTCCTTGTCTGCCCTAGACATGCTGAGCATGGGCAGCAGCTTGAGTCTGCGAAGCTACGCACGGATGGGTGAGAAGTTTTCGGTGTGCAGATCCTGGTGGGTAGGTTCCAACATCTCCGTTGCGGACTTCGTAACCTTTGGCTCTTCCCTCTCGCTCCGAAGTTTCGCGCGATTTGGCAGTTCCATGTCGGTCTACGGAGTATCGCGGTTGGGATCGATCCTTTCGGCACTAGACGGAGCTTTTTTCGGGAGTTCGCTGTCTATGCGAGGCTTCGTCCGCATCGGGTCCTGCACGTCCGTGTACGGGATAGCGAGGTTAGGAAGTAGTTTTTCGCTGCTGGACCGGTTGAGCCTTGGCAGTAACCTGTCCTTGCGAGGATTCTCTAGATTCGGCTCCACCTTGTCCATCTTCGGACTGGCGCGATTGGGATCGGCATTTTCTGTGCTGGACTTCGTGTCTATGGGCAGTGCTGTCTCGCTTCGTAGCTTCGGACGGATGGGCAGTGCGCTCTCGCTCTACGGCCTGGCGCGCCTAGGCAGCACGAATTCGTTGCTGGACTGCGCCAGTTTCGGCTCCGGACTCTCCTTGAGCAGTTTCTACCGGCTAGCGAGCAACTTCTCGGTCTATGGACGCGCGTGTCTCGGATCTGTCCTCTCCGCGATCGACTGCTGCCACATCGGCTCCTCGATGTCGATGCGGTCTTTCACCCGCGTTGCAGGCAGAGCCAGCGTCTACGGCCTAGCCAGAATCGGCTGTCAGCTCTCGGTCCTAGACGGCATCTACTTCGGATCCGCGTTTTCCTTGCGAAACTTGGCAAGACTGAGTAGCACTCTTTCCGTGTACGGCTTCTCGCGTCTGGGAAGTTACATGAGTGTGATGGACTTCGTGCACTTCGGAAGCTGTATCTCCGTCCGCAGCTTCGTGCGTGGAGGCAGCACCATGAGTGTGTACGGCGCCGCACTACTAGGCTCCTCAGTCTCCGTGTTGGACTACGTGACCATGTCTTCCTCCTTGACTCTTAGAAGCTACGCCCGCTTCGGCGACCGCATGAGCGTCTACGGACTGACGAGGTGCGGATCCAGCCTTAGCATCTGGGACTGCGCGTTCGCGGGGAGCACCTTTTCGCTGCGGTCGTACAGCAGACTAGGCTCCGTGATGAGTCTCTATTCGTGTGGACGACTTGGGAGCTTTATTTCGCTCCTAGACTTTGCGCAGATGGGGAGCGCGATGAGCATTCGGAGTTACACGAGACTAGGCTACGAGATCGCGGACACAACAGACGAGTTCACGACTTGGGAGATGCAGGAGGACGATGCCGCAGTGTTGAACCTGCTATACGGGAACGACACGATAAACGGAACCAACGGCACGAACTCAACTTCGTCAGACGACAACACCACGACGTACACGAACACGAGTGTCTCTAGTTTCGCCTTCCGCAAAGACCGTAGACGGTTCACCAGAGTCTTTTCCTTGTATGGCGTGAGCAGGTTCGGCAGTAGTCTTAGTCTGCTGGACTTCGTGTCGCTGGCGAGTAGCGCGTCACTGCGATCGATGGTGCGCATGGGGAGTAGTCTCTCGATCTACGGCATCTGCAAGTTCGCCTCTAGCTTGTCGGTTTTAGACACGATCCTCTTAGGTTCGTCGCTGTCGTTCCGGTCGTTCACGCGGTTGGGCAGCTCCATGTCGGTCTACGGGCTGACACGGTACAGCAGCTGTCTTTCGGTACTGGACGCGATAACCTTGGCGAGCAGCCTCTCGGTGCGCAACTTCGGGAGACTAGGGTCTTCCCTGTCCGTGTTCGGACTGCAGCGTCTAGCCAGCGGTTGTAGTTTGCTCGACTTCATGCATCTAGGAAGCACGCTTTCCTTGCGCAGCTTCGCGAGAATGGGTAGCTCCATCTCCGTCTACGGCGTCAGCAGTCTAGGAAGTAGTGCGAGTTTGCTGGACTTCTTGTCGCTAGGAAGCTCGATTTCGCTTCGCGGCATGGGCCGTTTCTCGAGTTCCTGCTCGGTTTACGGCTGCATGCGGTTGGGCAGCTGCTTTTCGGTACTAGACGCTGTGGGAATGGGCAGCACCTTGAGTGCGCGCGGCTTCGCGAGACTAGGGTCCTCGCTCAGCGTGTACGGCATGACCCGACTGGGCAGCATGCTTTCGTCAACCGAGACGCTGTGCTTTGGCAGCAGCTTTTCGTTGCGCAGCTTCACGCGGCTAGGCAGCACGGTGTCCGTCTACGGCTTCGCCCGTGTCGGCAGCAACATGAGCGTTCTCGATATGGTGCACATGGCCTCCGCACTCTCTTTGAGAAGTTACAACCGGTTTGGCAGCTCCATGTCCGTCTTCGGCATGAACTGCTTCGGTAGCAGCTGCTCCATTCTGGACACGCTGCAGATCGGCAGCAGCTTCTCCTTGCGCAGCTTCGCTCGGTTCGGCAGCTCCCTCAGCGTTTACGGCGTAGCCAAATACGGCAGTAGTTTGAGTATCTTGGACTCGCTTACGGTAGGATGCTTCTCGTCTGTGCGAAACCTAGTTCGAAGCGGATGTGCGATTAGCAGCGTTTTCGGGATTGCGCGAATGGGCAGTGTGTGCAGTATCTTAGACATGCTCACGATCGGCTCTTCGCTTTCGATGCGCTACACTTTGCGGATGGGAAGCTCGCTGTCGGTGTACGGCATGCTCCGCTTCGGAAGTTGCATCTCGGCTCTAGACTGCATGCACTTAGGCAGCAGCTTCAGCTGCCGATCCTTCATGCGACTGGGGAGCTCCTTGTCTTTGTACAAGCTGATGGAGGTCGGGCAGAACCTGTCGGTCCTCGACTACACGCACTTGGGAAGCGCCTTCTCGCTGCGATCCATGGCTAGACTAGGAAGTAGCGTTAGTATCTACGGGTTGTCGCGATTAGGAACGGCGATCTCGTGCGTAGACTTCTGTACCTTGGGTAGCAGCATGAGCTTGCGCGCCATGATGCGTCTAGGCAGCGGGCTGAGCGTGTACGGAATGACCCGGCTCGGAAGTGGCATGAGTATGCTCGACTGCATGTCCCTCGGCAGCTCGTTGTCCGTCCGTACCTTTCTGCGGCTCGGATCCGGAGGCGGCTTTTCAGTCTACGGGCTGGCGCGCTTTGGCTCCTCCTTGTCGGTTTTGGACCTCACCTACCTCGGCAGCGGACTTTCCGTGCGCAGTTACACCCGTGGTGGCCTGCACGCTTCAGTCTACGGCATCACGAAACTCGCGAGTGCAATCTCCGTCTTGGACTGTGCCAACTGCGGCTCCGGCGTTTCGCTGCGCAGCTTCGTCCGTTTAGGCAGCTCGTTGTCAGTCTACGGAGTCGCGAATCTCGGATCCGCCATGAGCTTCCTAAACTTGGCGCACATTGGCAGCAGCATATCATGCAGGAGCTTTCGTCGCCTCGGAAGCTCTCTGTCCATGTTCGGCTGCACGTACTTGGGCTCGCAGATTTCCATGCTGGACGTTTTTCAGTTGGGTTCCAGTCTGTCGATCCGCGGGTTTCTGAGGTGTGGGAGCACTTGTTCCATGTACGGCATCGTGCGCTTTGGCAGCTCGCTCTCATTATTAGATCAGCTGATGTTGGGCAGTTCCCTGAGTCTACGATCCATGTCCAGAAGTGGAAGTGGACTGTCAGTCTACGGCTTGGCCAAGCTTGGGAGCACGCTGTCGGTCCTAGACATGCTCGCAATCGGCAGTAGTTTGTCCATGCGGTCCTTCGCACGGTGCGGAAGCAGCATGAGCGTGCGAAGGCGAGTCTACATGTGCGCGCCGGACAACACGCACTGTTGCAGCGTAACCTACCAGGTTCTCCTAGGTAGTTCCTTCTCCATCCGCAGCTACGGCCGACTGGGAAGCGCCTTGAGCATCTTCGGGATCATGCGTTTAGGCTCTGCGACCAGTGTGCTCGACGCCGTTGCGATTGGGAGCTCTCTGAGTGTGCGCTCCTTTTCGCGTCTAGGAAGCAGCCTGAGCATCTTTGGATGCCTGCTTCTGGGAAGCGGCGTGTCAATGTTGGACTTCACGCATTTGGGAAGCGCATTGAGCATCCGCGACTACGTCCGCGCCTTTGCGGTCTCTGCCTACAGCTACACCAAGCTGTCGAGCTCTTTGTCGGTTCGCGGCATGGCTCGTCTCGGAGGCACCCTTTCGCTGTTCTCGCAGTGCATCGGCGGTTGCGCCTGCAGCATGTTGGGCACCGCGTCTCTAGGAAGTTCGCTCTCGCTCCGCACCTTCTCGAGGATCGGGAGTAGTTTCTCCATCTACGGCTTGGCCCGATGCGGGACGAGTCTGAGTATCCTCGACTACTCCAACTTCGCGAGTAGCGTCAGCTGCCGGACCTACAGTAGAATGGGAAGCAGCATGAGCGTCTACGGCGCCACACGCATCGGGAGTTCGCTTTCGCTGCTCGACGCCGTGATGATGAACATCTCCGTGTCCTTCCGATCGATGACTAGGCTAGGCAGCAGCATCAGTTGCTACGGCGTCAACCGGCTGGGCAGTGGGGTTTCTATCCTAGACAGCGTGTTCGTGGGCAGTGCGATTTCCCTTCGGTCTTTGGCCAGACTCGGAAGTTCGCTCTCGCTCTACGGCCTTCAGCGCATGGGCAGCAGCTTCTCGATCGTCGACTACGTCTGGGTTGCCAGCAGTTGTTCCATGCGCACGCTCGCGCGCTTAGGCAGTGCGTCCAGTGTCTACGGCATTTCCAAACTCGGCGGAGCAGTTTCCGTTCTAGACTACGTGGACTGCGGCAGCGCGTTCTCTACGCGAAGCTTCCTTCGTATGGGCAGCGCCGTGTCGATCTACGGCATGGGACTGCTGCAGGGAACGTTGTCCGTCCTCGACTTCGGGCATATGAGCAGTGCCCTGTCCTTGCGCAGTTTCCTGCGCCTCGGAAGTACCTTGAGCAGCTACGGAATGCTGCGTTGCGGCTCCTCCGTGTCCCAGTTGGACTTCATCACGCTCGGCTCCTCCTATTCACTCAGAAGCTTCGCGTTTTTCTCGAGACAAACCAGTGTGTACGGAATCTCGCAGATGGGCAGCAGCTTGAGTGTCCTGGACGTTTTATCCCTGGGTTCGACCCTCAGTTTGCGTTCTTTGTCGCGCGTGGGCCTGGGAATTTCCATCTACGGATTGACGAGACTGGCAAGCAGCTTCTCCCTCATGGACTGCCTGAGCTTGGGCAGTGGCCTCTCGGTGCGAGCCTTGAGCCGCTTTGGTGTAGATCTTTCGTGCTACGGGGTCGCACGATATGGCAGCAGCTTGTCTTTACTCGATTTCTTGTCACTGGGAAGCACGTTTTCCTGCCGCGTTCTAGGTAGACTGGGCTCTTCCGCGTCCATCTACGGGTTTGCGAAATTGGGCAGTTCCTTGTCGATTCTGGACTACGTCGATATCGGTTCCGCCTTGTCCTGCCGCAGCTTTGGCCGTCTCGGATCCTCTTTGTCGGTCTTCGGATTGGCCAAGTTGGGCTCGTCCCTGTCGATCGTGGACTTCGTCTCCGTAGGCAGCACGGTCTCAATCCGCAGCTTTAGTCGGTGCGGCAGTGCGTTTTCCGTATTCGGGATGTCGTATCTGGGGTCCTCAATTTCGATCCTAGATTGCACGATCCTCTCCTCTTCTTGCTCTCTGCGAACTATGGCACGATGTGGGAGCTCCCTTTCTGTCTACGGACTCGCCAAATGCGGGTCCGCCATGTCACTGTTGGACATCTGGCAGGTAGGCTCTGGCATGTCGTTGCGATCCTTCGGTCGTCTCGGAAGTGCTCTGTCGACCTACGGTATGCTGCACTTGGGCCAGGAAGTGTCTGTGCTGGACTACATAACCTGCGGTTCCGCAATGAGCATGCGGATGTACGCGAGACTAGGATCCGCTTGCAGTTTGTACGGGACGGCGAGATTGGGCATGTGCACGAGCATTCTAGACTTTGCCGGTTGCAACAGCAGCATGAGCATTCGCAGTTTTGCGCGTTTCGGAAGCAGTTTGAGTATCTACGGCTTCTCGAGACTCGGGAGTGCGATGAGTGTTTTGGACTTCACGCATTTGCGTAGTTCGTTGTCGCTCCGCAGCTTCGCGCGTATGGGCAGCACGCTGTCCCTCTACGGGTTCACCTGTATCAGCAGTTCCATGTCTATCTGCGACCTCCTACGGTTAGGCAGCTCTCTCTCCTTGCGAGGCTACGTCCGTCTCGGCAGCTCCATCTCGATGTACGGCGTGACGAATTGCGGCAGCTCCTTGTCGTGTCTCGACACTTTGGTTTTAGGAAGTATCCTGTCCTTGCGTAGCTACGCACGTTTTCCAGCCAAGATGGAGCTCTTCGGGATCAGTAGGATGGCCAGTTCGCTTTCTGTGTTGAGTTATCTGTCCCTGGGAAGCAGCTTTTCGATTCGCGGAATGAATCGGTGCGGCAGCAGTGTCAGTCTATACGGCTTGGGACACATGGGCAGCTCATTATCCGTTTTGGACATGCTGTCATTGGGCAGTGGAATGAGCGTGCGAACGTTTTGCCGCGTAGGATCCAGTGTGTCGCTCTTCGGAATCACCTACCTTGGCTCCAGCTTGTCCATCCTGGACACGATTAGCGTCGGTTCCGCGTTTTCGCTCAGGGCGCTCAGCAGGTTCGGCAGCGCGTGCTCTTTGTACGGCGTCTGCTACCTGGGGAGTCAGCTCTCGATCCTCGACGCAGTGTCTTTCGGTAGCAGTTTGTCTATCAGGACTTGCTCACGATTGGGTAGTTCGCTCTCCGTTTTTGGTTTGGGCCGCCTGGGCAGCAGCATGAGCGTTCTGGACTTCATCTCGCTGGCCAGTGCCATGAGCTGTCGCACCTTCGCTCGCATGGGCTCTAGCTTCTCCATCTACGGCTACGCGCGCATGGCCTCAGCCGTGAGTTGCTTGGACTTCGTGTCCATAGGCAGCTCGCTGTCCCTGCGGCAGTTCAGCAGATTAGCATCTTCTGCCTCGATCTACGGAATCGCGAATCTAGGACATGCGCTTTCTGTCCTAGACCACAGTTCCTTCGGAAGTGGCTTAAGTTTGCGTTCCTTCGCCAGGATCGGCAGTGCTACGAGCACCTATGGCTTCGGCATCCTCGGTGGAGCAACTTCCGTTTTAGATCTATGCAGCTTAGGTAGTGGCTTGAGCGTTCGCGGCATCGCACGACTCGGAAGTTCACTTTCGGTGTACGGCATGACGCGACTCGGAAGTGCCATCTCCATGGTTGACTACTTGATCATGGGAATGAGCTGCTCTTTGCGCAACTTCCTGCGGTCTGCAAGCGGCGCCAGCGTCTACGGCATGTGCCGCATGAGCAGCATGCTCTCTGCCTTGGACTGCTTCCACTTGGGCAGCAACTTGTCGTGCCGCAGCTTCTCCCGCCTCGGGTCTGCGCTCTCCTGCTACGGCATCACGCGACTGGGCAGCGGGCTTTCCGCTTTCGACTATCACCATTTGGGTAGCATGTTGTCTGTCCGAAACTTTCTGAGGATAGGGTCTTCGATTAGCGTGCACTCGAAGCACGAGCACTACAACAGCGTCGATTCCGCGCTGCACATCGGCGACTACGTCCGCACCGCGAGCAGCCTCAGTGTCCGTTCCTTTGTCCGACTAGGCTCCAGCGTCAGCTGCTACGGCATGGCCCGATTGGGCAGTGCTTGTTCAGTGCTCGACTTCATCGCGATGAGCAGCAGCATTTCCATCCGCTGCGTCAGCCGTCTCGGCAGCTCCCTTTCCGTCTTCGGGGTCACCAGATTAGGATCCAGCCTGTCGCTTTTAGACTCCTGCAGTGTCGGAAGCTCTCTGTCCATGCGAGCATTCGCAAGACTCGGATCTTCTTTGTCGATGTACGGCTTTGCGCGCATTGGAGCAGGTGGCGTCAGCATCTTAGACTGCCTCCAGTGTGGTTCCAGCTTATCGTTGCGAACCTACAGTCGGTGCGGATCCAGTTTGAGCATCTACGGACTCAGCTTTTTGAGCAGTAGCATGAGCATTATGGGTATGGGCTCGGTCGGAAGTTCGCTCTCCTTGCGCAACTTTGCGAGACTGGGATCCTCGGTGTCCGTCTACGGATTGAGCCGGTTCGGAAGCTCCTTGTCCGTTCTTGGGCTTGTGGACATCGGAAGTACTACTTATTGATTTGAAATTCATCGAAAGCACTTCATTGCAGACCCTTTGAAGATGTAGATGAGCGATCTCCGCTTTTCTAGTTCGTTCTGCTTCTACTGTTGATGGAGAGTTTTATTCAATTCCAACAAAATGAAAATACCATACGCGGTCAACACTCGTTTTTATTACACTCGTCGTGACAATCAAGAAAAACAAACACAAAGAGCTACTCTCTTCTTTCAAAAAAAACTCAGGTACTTACAGTTGCCGCTCTTGCGCGCGACTGGGCAGCTCCTTGTCGGTCTACGGCCTCAGCCGCATGGGGGTGCAACTTTCCGTGCTAGACTTTCTGCATATCGGATCGTGTGTCAGCTTCCGTTCTATCGCCAGGTTTGGCAGTGGCTTATCAGTGGGCGTGGCCTTCAAGAATGCTGCGCGCAACTCTTTGATGGACTTTTTGCACATTGGCAGTACCAGTTCCATCCGAGGGTTCGCTCGTATCGGATCCGCTTGCTCGGTCTACGGATTGTTCCGATTAGGGTCGACTTTCTCTATGATCGACTTTTTGCAGACCGGAAGCAGTTTGTCCATGCGAAGCTTCTACCAAGGAGGCTCAGCTTTGAGCATCTACAGCGCAGTGCGCGTTGGCAGCAACTGCTCGGTGCTCGACTTCATGCATTTGGGAGCGGCGTATTCAACAAGACATTTTGGACGCGCTGGCAGCACGATGAGTGTCTACGGCATGACAAGGATGGGCTCCAACCTCTCTTGCTTGGACTGCTTGCACCTTGGGTCCTGCCTCAGTCTGCGTAGCTACTCGCGATTGGGCAGTGCACTCTCGATCTTCGGACTAACTCGCTTAGGATCGCAGCTGTCCGTCTTGGATGCTTGCAGTTTCGGCTCTAGTGTCAGTCTGCGAAACTTCTTGCGCATTGGAAGCAGCGTTTCCATCTTTGGACTCACACGCTTGAGCAGTTGGTGTTCCGTCCTAGATTCCGTTTCCGTTGGCAGCGCATTGTCTTTGCGTACCTTCGCACGCTTAGGCAGCAGCCTTTCCGCGTACGGTCTGTCCAACTTGGGTAGTTGCATGTCTTTGCTCGACTTGCTCCACATCGGAAGCACCATCTCGTGCCGCCATTGCTGTCGCCTTGGCAGCGCTCTGTCGGTGTTCGGTTTGGCGCGCTTCGGTTCGCAACTGTCGATCTTGGATGCGGTTACGCTAGGATCTACCTTGAGTATCCGCGGGATGCACCGAGTCGGATCTGCCGTGAGTGTTTACGGCATGAGCAGGATGGCCTCTTCCATGAGCGTGCTGGACTTCTTGCAAGTAGGCAGTGGCCTGAGCATGCGCAACTGCGCTAGACTCGGGAGTTCTTTGTCGCTGTTCGGGATCAGCCGATTGATGAGCTCGATGTCGATGCTAGATGCGATCAGCCTGAGCAGCAGTTTCTCCGTGCGCAATTTTGCGCGTCTAGGCAGCTCAACTTCGCTGTTCGGAATGGCAAGGCTAGGCTCACAACTGAGTCTCTTGGACATGATGTGTCTGGGCAGTAGCATGTCGGCGAGGACTTTCGGCAGATGTGGCAGCTCATTGAGTATGTATGGCGTGTCGCGGTTCGCTAGTTGCTGTAGCATCCTGGATTTCTTGTCCATTGGATCAGGACTTTCCGTTCGCAACTTCGCACGACTTGGTAGTGCCCTCAGTGTCTATGGGTGTGCGCGGTTCGGAAGCTGTCTCTCGTTGCTAGACTTCTTGCACATGGGAAGCGGCTGCAGTGTGCGCACCTTTGGACGCCTCGGATCAAGCGTCAGTCTCTACGGCTTCGCACGATTCGGAAGCTGCCTTTCTGTTTTGGATTACATCACGTTCGGGAGCTCTTTATCCTTGCGAAAGTTCGCTCGATGCGGCAGCTCAATGAGCGTGTTTGGAATGGCTCGACTAGGCTCTCAACTCTCGTTGCTAGACCACTTCCATCTAGGATCGAGTATGTCGCTGCGAACCTGTGCGCGACTCGGCAGTTCGCTCAGCCTGTTCGGGGTCTCACGAATCGGCAGTGGACTCTCGCTTCTGGACTTTCTGCAAGTGGGCTCCTCCTGCAGCATGCGCAACCTGTACCGACTAGGAAGCAGTCTGTCCGTTTTCGGAATCACGAAGATGGGAAGCGCTTTGAGCATCTTAGACTACGTGATAGCCGGAAGCAGTATGAGCTGCCGCAACTTCGCAAGACTTGGCTCTTCCTTGTCCGTCTACGGCATCACATCGTTCGGTAGTTGTCTTTCTCTTTTGGACTACGCGAACTTGTCGAGCACGCTGAGCATCCGTACCTATGCCAGATTGGGTAGCTCCTGCTCGGTCTATGGCGCATCGCGACTGGGCTCGCAGCTGTCTTTGTTGGACTTGTGCCACATCGGCAGCTCGCTTTCGGCACGCATGTTTGCTCGTCTCGGCAGTGCACTTTCAGTCTACGGCTGCGCCAGATTGGGATCTCGGATCTCCATTCTAGACTTTGTGACCTTTGGCAGCAGCATGTCCTTGAGAACCTACACGAGGCTCGGAAGCTCTCTCTCCGTCTACGGCATCGGCAAACTAGGTAGTTGCTTGTCCACGTTGGACACCTTGCTTCTAGGAAGCTCTTACAGCGTGCGCAGCTTCGCGCGCTTCGGCAGCGCTTGCTCCGCATACGGAATTGTGCGGATTGGCAGTTATTTGAGTACGCTAGACTGGCTGCAGATGGGCAGCTGCTTCAGTGTCCGAAGCTACCAGCGAATCGGCAGTTGCTTGTCGGTCTACGGTTGTGTCCGAATGGCGTCTGCGATCTCGTGTTTGGACATGTTCCACATCGGCTCGAGCTTGTCCCTACGCTCGTTCGCACGCTTGGGGTCTTCCCTGTCTGTCTACGGCACGTCTCGATTGGGCAGCAACCTTTCGGTCCTAGACTTTACAAGCTTGGGAAGTTCAGTCTCCCTGCGCAACTTTGGACGCATGGGTTCTGCGCTTAGTGTGTACGGAGTAGTCTCGATCGGATCCTCGATGTCGTTGTTGGACGCTATCAGCATCGGCTCTTCGCTGTCCGTCCGCAGCTTGTGCCGACTAGGCAGTTCTGTCAGCGTCTTTGGCATGGGACGGTTTGGAAGCGCAGTTTCGATCCTAGATTTGCTCCATGTGGGAAGCACGACCAGCGTGCGCTACTTCGCGCGCTTCGGCAGCGCTTGCTCCGTGTACGGAATGGCGCGACTCGGAACGGCTTTGAGCATCTTGGATGCGGTTATTCTCAGCAGCGTGATGAGCGTGCGCAGTTTCTACCGATGTGGATCTGCTCTCAGTGTCTACGGCATCGCCCGTGTGGGGAGTTCTTTCTCGGTGTTGGATTTCGTCACGCTTGGGTCTAGCATTAGCGTGCGCTCTTTTGCCCGCTTAGGCTCCGCTGTGAGCTTGTTCGGAGTAACGCATCTAGGATCAGTGATGAGCGTTTTGGACTCCTTTGCACTGGGCTCAGCTCTGTCGCTACGCGGGTTCGCCCGTCTCGGTTCCACGCACAGCGTATACGGATTTGCACGTGTTGGCTCCAGTCTCAGCATCCTAGACTTCATCACCTGCGGATCCGCCTTGTCGCTTCGCGGCTACATGCGCATTGGCAGCGCCACGAGTGTCTACGGCTTGTCGCGCTTAGGACTGGTCATGAGCGTTGTTGACTTCTTGTCCCTCGGATCGAGCTTGAGTTTGCGCAGCTTCTCCAGGATGGGAAGCAGTCTGAGCATGTTTGGTTTGGCCCGACTCGGAAGCCAGATGTCCATCCTAGACGTCCTGCATCTCGGTTCCACCGCGAGCATGCGCAACTTTGCGCGACTAGGAAGCTGCCTGTCCGTCTACGGCATGTCCCGATTCGGAAGTGCGCTTAGCGTCCTTGACTTCTTCAAGCTGTCGTCGACGCTGTCGCTCAGGGCATTTTCGAGAATGGGAAGTTCTATGAGTGTCTTCGGCATGTCGCGTTTGGGCTCCACCTTAAGTGTCCTGGACTTCATGCACATCTCAAGCACGCTGTCGTTGCGCAGCTTCAGTCGTCTGGGCAGTTCGCTGTCTGTCTACGGCTTCACGAACGTGGGCAGCTCGCTCTCGGTGCTCGACTTCGGCCATTTCGGGTCCGCATTGTCGGTTCGCAGCTTCATGCGCCTCGGATCGTCAGCTTCGGTCTTCGGGCTGGTGCGCTTCGGCAGTGGACTGAGCATGCTGGACCACTGCTGCATGGGCAGCGGTCTGAGCACGCGAACCTTTGGTCGTCTCGGCTCCAGCTTGAGCGTCTTTGGCGTGTTCAGACTCGCATCATGCGTTAGCATCTTCGACTGGACGACCGTTGGATCGTGCTTGTCGCTTCGCAACTTCGCGAGACTTGGGTCCAGCCTGAGCGTGTATGGCGTTTCTCGATTGGGGTCCTGCATTTCCATCTTGGACTTCTGCACGATCGCTAGTTGCACCAGTCTCCGACAGCTCTCTCGACTCGGGTCTGCGGTATCCGTGTACGGTTTGAGCCGTTTAAGCAGTAGCATGAGCTTGCTCGACATGCTCACACTCGGCAGCAGCATGTCCTGTCGTACCTGGGCCCGCCTCGGGAGCTCGCTTTCGCTCTACGGCATGCTCAGACTGGGCTCCGGAATGAGCATCCTGGACGTCACCCACATCGGAAGCGGCGTTTCACTCAGAACCTACGCGCGTTTAGGGAGTGCTTGTTCGGTCTACGGCCTCTCAAGGTTCGGAAGTTCGATGAGTCTGCTCGACGCCACCTGCTTCGGAAGCAGCATTTCTGTGCGCTCCTTCGCGCGCATGGGCTCCTCGCTTTCGGTCTACGGCTTCCTGAACGTCAGCAGCTGTTTGTCGGTCCTCGACTTGTTGCACATCGGTAGTGGGTTGAGCATCCGCAACTTCTCCAGACTGGGAAGTTCGGCTAGCTGCTTCGGCCTCGCGCGCTTCGGAAGCTGCATGTCGCTGCTAGACTCGATTGCAGTTGGCTCTGGCTTGAGCATGCGCAAGTTCGCCAGGTTTGGATCTACGGTTAGCATCTACGGCATGGTCCGCCTGGGCAGTGTCATGTCCGTGCTTGACGTAGCACTTGCAGGCAGCAGCTTCAGCGTGCGTTACTACATGCGCTGTGGATCAGCGGTTTCGCTCTACGGTATGGCCCGATTCGGAAGCATGCTTTCTGTGCTAGACCACATCTCTGTTGGTTCGTCGATCTCCGTACGTGGCTTGGCCAGAATGGGGTCGAGTTTGTCCGTCTTCGGCATCTCCAAGCTTGGGTCGGTCTTTAGCGTGCTCGACTGCCTGCACGTCGGCTCCAGCATGAGCATGCGAACCTTCGCGCGTCTCGGCAGCGTCTCTTCAGTGTTCGGCATGGCACGACTGGGATCGAGTCTTTCCCTACTCGATTTCGTTCATGTGGGTTCTGCACTTAGCATTCGATCCTTCGCGAGACTCGGCAGTTCCCTGTCCGTGTTCGGCATTGCCAGACTCGGCAGCACACTGTCTTTGCTCGGAAGCTGCGTGATGTGCAGTTCGTTGTCGCTGAGATCGTTCGCCCGCATGGGTCGAGCCGACCATCCGACGGGCACCAGCATTTACGGAATCTCCAGGCTCTCCTCCTCCATGTCGGTTCTGGGCTACTTCATGATGGGCTCTTCCTTGTCGATGCGCTCCTTCGCCCGTCTTGGATCCACGACCTCGGTCTACGGAATGGCGCGGTTCTCCAGCTTTGCGTCCATGCTAGATTGGGCACATTGCGGAAGCTGCCTCAGCTGCCGCTCGTTCTTGCGTCTAGGCTCCTCCTTGTCGCTCTACGGCTCGTCTAGACTGGGCAGTTTTCTGTCCGTGCTAGACATCTTCGGATTGGGTAGCGCTTTGAGCACGCGCAACTTCGCTCGCCTCGGCAGCAGCTTGAGCGTCTTCGGCATCAGCTACCTGAGCAGCGGACTTTCCATTTTGGATTGCATGCACTTGGGAAGCGCATTGAGCGTTCGCAACTTCGCACGTCTTGGAAGCTCCTTGTCGCTCTTCGGAACATTGCAGTTGGGATCCTCCTTGTCCGTACTCGATGTCCTCCACCTAGGATCAGTGATGTCTTTGCGTGGCTACCTCAGAGTCGGTTCTAGCACGAGCATCTTTGGCCTCACGCGACTGGGCAGCTCCTACTCCTGCTTGGACTATTTGTCGTTGGGGTCCACGCTCAGCATGCGCTCGTTCACGAGGTTGGGAAGCACTCTCTCCATATTCGGGATCGCATCTTTGGGAAGTTGTCTCTCGATTCTCGACGCCGGCTTGATCGGAAGCTCGCTGAGTCTTCGCGGCTACTCGCGACTCGGCAGCTCGGCTTCGGTGTACGGATTCGTGCGCCTCGGATCCATGCTTTCGCAGCTGGACTCGATTCAACTCGGATCGGCCCTGAGCTTGCGCTCCTTCTCGCGACTGGGCAGTGCGCTCTCGGTCTTCGGCCTGGCGCGCGTGGGCTCCGCGTTGAGCGTGCTCGACTTCGTCGGACTTGCTAGCACACTTTCGACTCGCACCTTCATGCGGATGGGAAGCAGCTTGTCTATCTTCGGCATCGGCCTCATGGGCAGCTCCGTCAGTGTCTTAGACTGCTTGCATATGGGCAGCGCCCTGTCCATCCGCAGCTTCTGCCGCGCTGGCAGCGCTTTGAGCACCTATGGCGTCGCCAAGCTTGGAAGCACCTTGAGTGTACTGGACCTCTTCCACGTGGGCAGTTCGCTGTCCATTCGGTGCAGCGCCCGACTAGGCTCCGCTCTGTCCGTGTACGGCCAATTGCTGTTGGGCTCGTCTATGAGCCTGCTGGACTTCGCGTGCTTCGGAAGCGGCATTTCGACAAGATCGTTTGCCAGGCTAGGCTCTGCGTCGTCCATCTACGGCTGCACGCGGTTGGGGAGCTCGCTGTCTGTCCTCGACATGCTCACGATGGGCAGTTCCTTCTCACTGCGTAGCTTCCTGCGTTTCGGAAGTTCGCTCAGTTGCTGCGGCCTAGCGAACCTCGGTAGTGGCATGTCCGTGTTGGACTACTTCACCTTGGGAAGCTCGGTCTCACTTAGATCCATGCTGCGCATGGGCAGCGGCGGAAGCGTCTACGGGATCACGGTTTTAGGGAGCTCGGTTTCGATCTTAGACATGACACATCTAGGGTCCGCCTGCAGCGTCCGATCAATGTTGAGGTTGGGAAGTTCGTGCTCCGTCTTCGGCATCGCCAAGTTGGGAAGCTCCTTCTCAGTGTTGGACTTCTTCTCCCTAGGAAGCAGCGTTTCCGTTCGAGGCCTCAGCCGTTTGGGTTCCGCACTCTCGGTCTTCGGCATCTCACGCATCGGAAGTTCTTGTTCGTTGTTGGATGCGATTTCCTTAGGGTCAGCACTCAGCGTGCGCGGCTTCGCGAGACTCGGATCTTCGCTCTCTCTCTTTGGAATTTCGCAACTGGGGAGCAGTCTTTCTCTCCTAGACGAATTGCAGATCGGGAGTTCTCTGAGTGTGCGATCGTTTGCGCGCGGTGGCAGCTCGTTGTCGGTCTACGGCTTGTCCAGACTGGGATCGAGCTTGTCTGTATTAGACTACGTTTGGGCAGGATCTGCTTTGTCGTGCCGCAGCTTCTTGAGAGGTGGTTCCACGCTGTCGATCTACGGCATCACATTGCTGTCCAGTTCCTTTTCGATGCTCGACTGCTGCCACATGGGAAGTGCTTTATCCGTGCGCAGCTTTGTGCGTCTCGGAAGTTCCGTGAGCACCTTTGGCGTAGCGCGGTTGTCGAACGCCTGCAGCCTGCTGGAATGCATTGAGCTAGGATCAGCGATGAGTCTTCGCGGCTTCGCTCGCCTCGGCTCCCGCTTGAGTGTGTATGGCGTGTCGAAGCTTGGAGGCAGTATTTCCGTCCTAGACGCGATCCAGTTCGGAAGCACCGTGAGCTTGCGTTCCTTCGTACGGCTGGGCAGCAGCATCAGCATGTACGGCGTCGCGCAACTGGGAAGTTCCTTGAGTCTACTAGCCGGAATCGAATGTGGCTCTAGCATCTCGTTGCGCAGCTTTGCGCGCTTCGGCAGCGCCTTGTCCATGTACGGATACCTGAGACTGGGCAGCGCCTTGTCCGTGGTCGACTGCTTCCACATCGGCAGCGCGATGAGCGTTCGCACGTTCTGCAGACTGGGCAGTGCGCTCTCCGTCTACGGGTGTGCACGCATCGGCAGCATCTGCAGTGTGCTCGACTTCGTCTCCATCGGGAGTGCGACTTCGGTCCGTAACTTCGCACGCCTCGGCTCAAGCTTGTCCTTGTTTGGCGTAGCGAGGCTAGGCAGCGCAATGTCGATCCTGGACTTCGCGGCCTTTGGATCTACGCTTTCCATTCGCTACATGAGTCGTCTAGGCAGCTCAACCAGCGTTTTCGGCATTGGACGATTGGGCAGCACCTGCAGTGTGCTCGACTCGGTCAGCTTCGGCTCTGCGGTGTCGTTGCGCAGCTTCTCGCGACTAGGCTCCTCGCTCAGTGTCTACGGCGCCAACCGGTTCGGCTCGAGCATGTCCGTTTTGAATCTGCTCACCATTGGCAGTTCGTTGAGTAGTCGCAGCTTCTCGCGTTTTGGCAGCGCCGTGTCCGTCTATGGCTTCACCCGGATGGGCAGCGCTCTGTCGGTGATTGACCAGTTCTCTCTGGGCAGTGCTTTGTCTCTACGCAGCTTCAGCCGACTGGGATCCAGCGTGTCGGTCTTCGGCATCGCACTTTGTGGAAGCTCAGTTAGTGTACTGGACTTCACGACACTAGGGTCAGCCTTGAGTCTGCGCAGTCTGGCACGCATCGGCAGTACCGCAAGCGTGTTCGGAACCATTCGTCTGGGATCCGGGATTTCCGTGATCGACTTCTTGAGTCTAGGAAGCACGATGTCGCTTCGTTCCTGCGCGCGCTTAGGCAGCACTACGAGTTTGTTCGGCTTTTGCCACTTGGCGAGCAGCTTGTCGATCCTCGACTGCGCGCACCTCGGCTCCATGCTGAGCGTGCGCGGCTTCACGCGCTTCGGAAGCTCGCTCTCGGTCTTCGGGACGAGCACGATCGGAAGTTCGATCTCTGTTCTGGACTTCCTGTTAGTCGGAAGCACGCTGTCAGGACGTTCTTTTGCGCGTCTGGGAAGCACGTTGTCGGTATTCGGAATCGCGCAACTGGGCAGCTCCATGAGCGTTCTGGACTGCCTAATCCTAGGTTCGTCTCTGTCGACGCGCAGCTTCGCTCGCATGGGAAGCAGCGTTTCCATGTTCGGCGTCGCACGACTCGCGAGTGCCTTGTCCATGCTCGACTTCGTTTCGGCTGGCTCTGCTCTGTCGATCCGCAGCTTCGGCCGCCTCGGCAGCGCTGCATCCGTGTACGGTTTCGTCTCGCTGGCGAGCACTATGTCTTTGCTCGACTTCGCCTCGTACGGCAGTGCCTTGAGCATCCGCAGTTTCAGCCGCTTAGGAAGCAGCATGTCCGTGTTCGGTTTCTCGTCTCTGGGTAGCACCATGTCATTGCTCGACTTTCTGAGTCTCGGTAGCGCGTGCAGTCTCCGCTCCGTTGCCAGGTGGGGCAGCTCCCTGTCCGTATTCGGGATCGCGCAACTCGGAAGTGCCTTGTCGATTTTCGACTGCGCCAGACTTGGTTCCGCACTGAGCGTGCGCTCGTTCACGCGTCTCGGATCATCCATGAGCGTGTTTGGGGCCGCGCGACTGAATGGTACGGCAGGCTGCAGCATCCTGGACGCCTTCTTCGTAGGAAGCGTCTTGTCGGTGCGCAGTTTTGCGCGAGTCGGATCTTCGATCTCCGTGTTTGGCACCATTCGCCTTGGCAGTTGCTGTTCCGTCATGGGGGCTGCGCTCTTAGGCAGCAGCGTATCCCTGCGCAGCATCGGTCGTTTGGGCAGCGCGTTGAGCGTCTTCGGGGTTACAAGTTTGGGCAGCGGCGTGTCCATACTAGACTGGTTCAACGCTGGCAGCTCCTTGTCGCTGCGCTCATTTTCGCGCCTCGGGAGTTCCCTCTCCATGTTCGGCTTCACGCGCCTAGGCAGCAGCATGAGCATCCTGGACTTCGCGCACTGTGGCAGCTCGACCTCGCTTCGAAGCATGGTCCGACTCGGCAGCTCCCTGTCGCTCTTCGGCATCGGGCGCATCGGTACTTGCCTTTCCGTGCTGGACTGCCTCAACCTCGCGAGCACCATGTCCCTGCGCTCGTACTTGAGACTCGGCAGTTCGCTCAGCGTCTTTGGCATGGTTCGTACGGCGTCGTATCTCTCAATTCTGGACTACATCACCTGCGGCAGCAGCATCAGCATGCGCTACATGCTCAGATTAGGCAGCTCGCTGTCGCTCTACGGGGTTCCGCGTCTCGGACAGACCTGCAGCATTCTAGACTACGTGATCTTGGGCTCGAATCTGAGCACGCGACACGTGTCTCGGCTTGGATCCTCGCTCAGCGTGTACGGCGTGGTCTCGATCGGATCCTCGCTGTCGTTGTTGGACTTCAGCCATCTGGGGAGCGTAGTGTCTTTGCGCAGCGTCTGCCGCTTGGGAAGCAGCTTCAGCGTATATGGGTTCGGCCGCATGGGCAGCATCGTGTCGCTCTTGGACACCTTGCACCTCGGGAGTGCTTTGTCGATTCGCAGTTTCTTGCGTCTGGGCTCCTCAGCCTCCGTTCTCGGCATGGCGCGTCTCGGCAGTGCGATTAGCGTCTTGGACCAAATCCAGATTGGAAGCTCGCTTTCTTGCCGCAGCTTCTCGCGTCTGGGATCGTCTATGAGCGTTTTCGGCGTCGCCCACCTTGGATCCTCCATGAGCGTCCTCGACTTCGTGAACTTCGGATCAACGATGTCTCTGCGATCGTTCACGCGCTTCGGCAGCACCGCTTCGCTCTACGGTCTCTCAAGACTTGCGTCAGGCGTGTCGATTCTAGACCTGCTTCAACTAGGAACGTCCATTTCCTTGCGCGCCTATTGCCGACTTGGAAGCGGGCTATCCGTATACGGGGTGTCCAAGCTTGGAAGTGCTTTGTCCTTGCTTGACATGATGTCCTTGGGATCCAGCGTCAGTCTCCGCGCCTGCGCCAGATTCGGCAGCACGCTCTCGGTCTACGGATTGTCCAAATTTGGGTCTGCGATCTCGATTCTAGACCTGGTCAACTGCGGCAGCACCATTTCAGTCCGAAATTTGGCACGACTCGGCAGTTCTCTCAGCATCTTCGGCTTTGTGTCCATGGGCTCCAGCTTGTCGGTGCTCGACATGCTCGTGCTCGGAAGCACGCTTTCGCTGAGGTCGGTCTCGCGACTGGGCAGCAGCTTCAGCACCTACGGCTACATGAAGTTCGGAAGCTCGTGCTCTGTGCTCGACGCGATCTGCTTGGGAAGTAGCTTCTCGTTGCGCAACGTGTGCCGCCTGGGCAGTGCATTGTCCGTGTACGGAACCGCACGCTTCGGCAGCGCGTTGTCCGTGCTCGACCAGATTTCCCTAGGAAGTTGTCTCAGTGTCCGCAGCTTTGCACGGCTGGGATCCAGCGTATCCGTCTTTGGCATTTCCCACCTGGGCAGCTGCGTAAGTGTGATGGACGTGCTAACTTTGGGCTCCACGCTCTCGTTGCGAGCGTTTGCGCGCTTCAGCAGCTGTCTGAGTGTGGTGGGCATGGCAAGGTGTGGGTCTTGTCTCTCCGTACTCGATCGATTCCACCTGGGCAGTGCGATCTCCGCGCGCACCTTCGCGCGCCTGGGCAGCACGTGCTCGGTGTTCGGGGTCTCACGCATGGGATCCGCACTCTCGATCTTGGACATTGCGATGTTGGGATCGGCGCTTTCCATTCGGTCGTTTGCGCGGTTGGCCAGTTCCATGTCCGTCTACGGCATCATGCGTGTTGGCAGCAGCCTCTCCGGTTTAGACGCTTTCGTGATTTCCAGCGCGCTTTCCTGCCGCTACTTCGCACGCTTAGGATCCAGTCTCAGCGTCTACGGCCTGGGACGTCTGGGGTCTTCCGTGAGCCTTCTGGATTTGCTTCAGATTGGTTCCGGCATGAGCGCCCGCAGCTTCGCCAGGATGGGCAGCTCATTTTCGGTGTTTGGACTCTCTCGCTTCGGCAGTGGCATGTCCATCCTCGACTGCATGCATCTAGGATCTACCTTGTCCGTGCGTTCCTTCCTGCGCTGTGGATCGACGTTATCGATGTTCGGCTGCTCGCGGTTAGGCAGCACTTTGTCCATCTTGGATCAGATTCACTTGGGCAGCGCGTTGTCTCTCCGTGGTTACGGACGCATCGGAAGCTCCTTGTCCGTGTACGGCCTGATGCGAATCGGCTCTTGCATGAGTGTCCTAGACAATTTGAGACTCGGCAGTTCGGTGTCAGTGCGCTCCTTCATGCGCCTCGGCAGTTCCTTGTCGCTTTTTGGCATTGCGACGCTCGGATCGGCCTGTTCGTTGCTGGACTACTTCCACCTCGGGAGTTGCCTGTCTCTGCGACAGTATGCGCGTCTGGGCAGCACGGTTTCAGTGTACGGCGTCACTCGCATCAGCTCTGCTGCGAGTCTGCTGGACTGGTGCGGATTCGGATCCGCGTTCAGTATCCGCAGCATGACTCGTCTCGGCAGTGCGGTTTCAACCTACGGAATCGTGCGTCTTGGATCGGCAGTTTCGCTGGTCGACTGGCTCTTAGCCGGGTCGAGCCTGAGTGTGCGCAGCTTCGCGCGCCTGGGCAGCACCACCTCCGTGTTTGGACTCACAAAACTGGGTTCTAGCATCAGCGTTTTGAATGTGATGTGTGTCGGGTCGTCGCTTTCCGCACGCTCGCTCTTCCGCTGTGGAAGCTCGTTCAGCGTCTTCGGCGTTGCGCGCATCGGGACATGTTTGTCGGCATTGGACTTCACGCAGATGGCATCCAGCATCAGTCTACGGTCGTACGCACGCGTCGGAAGCTCCTTATCGGTCTATGGCATGTCGCGTCTCGGCAGTTGCATGAGCTTGGTCGACATGTTGAACTTGGGCTCGGCTCTGTCCTTGCGCAGCGTCGTGAGAATGGGCTCCGCCTTCTCGGTCTTCACAACCTTGACAGTCGGATCGCAGTTGAGCGCACTAGACGTGATGCAGCTGGGATCTGCCTTGAGCATGCGATCTATGATCCGCTTTGGGTCTACGCAGAGCATCTACGGCATCGCCCGCTTCGGCTCCTTCTTGAGCGTTTTAGACAGCGTCATGCTCGGCAGCGGCCTCTCATTGCGCTCCACGGCGCGCATTGGTTCCAGCCTCAGCGTAATGAAGAAGGTCTTCGTGGGACGCACGAACGAGATCTCGGTCTTAGGCTGGGTCCACTTGGGCACGTGCTTGTCTGTTAGAACGTTTGCTCGATTTGGATCCTCCATGTCGACGTACGGCATCTGCCGGTTGGGCAGTGGCTGCAGTATGCTAGACTTCATGGCTCTAGGCTCTACCAGCAGTGTGCGCTCCCTCGCTCGCTTAGGCAGTGGACTCTCCTGCTATGGCGTTGTCCGAATCGGGAGTAGCCTTTCGGCACTGGACTTCCTGTCCATGGGCAGCACGTTTTCCATCCGGGGTTTGTCGCGGTTGGGCAGCAGTCTCTCGGTGTTCGGCATCGGGTATCTGGGCTCTTCCGTCAGCATTTTGGACCAAACGTTCCTGGGCAGTAGCTTGAGCTTGCGCGTGAGCATGCGCTTTGGATCCACGATGAGCGTGTTCAAGAAGACCACTTTTGGCAGCGCGCTTTCTATCGTCGACTACGCCGATTGCGGCAGCAGCTTTTCGCTTCGCCGCATTGGACGTCTCGGAAGCTGCTTGTCGCTCTTCGGCAACGTTTTTAGTGGATCCTTGTGCTCCGTCTTGGACGCCACGGAACTTGGAAGCTGCATGTCCTTGCGCAGCTACGTCCGCCTCGGATCCCGCTTCAGCGCGTTCTCGCGCATGCGATGCGGCAGCATTCTTTCGTCTCTCGACTTTATGCAACTCGGTAGCTCCCAGTCTTTGCGGACTTACAGCTACCTCGGAAGCAATCTGAGTGTTTTCTCGAGGTGCAGGTTCGGTTCGCAGTTCTCAGTCCTGGACTTCTTGGATCTAGGATCGGTGATGAGCGTTAGAAACTGCCTCAAATTCGGGTCCACGATGAGCATTTTCGGACAACAGCGGTACGGCTCAAGCTTGTCCCTTCTGGACATGGCGCACTTGGGCAGCGCACTCTCGGTTCGCAGCTTCACGGTTTGCGGCTCTTGTCTGTCCGTGCAGGGCTACACGAAGTTCGGCTCGACCGTCAGCTCCCAGACCATTGTGAAGGGTACCTTGCTCTCCGTACGATCGTGGGCACGATTAGGCAGCACCTTCTCGACGTACGACACTGTCCGACTCGGAAGCTCGCTTTCAGTCTTGGATTACCTTGCTCTGGGAAGTGAGATTTCGTTGCGACACATTCTGAAACTCGGTTCCACGCTCTCCTGCTTCCGATCGCTCGTGCAGAACCACCAGCAAGGCCAACGCAACGAGCCAAATGCAGTGAGCATTTATGCGTATTGCAACATGGGTTCGACCTTGTCCCTGCGCTTTGTCCAGCGTCTCGGCTCCGCTGTCAGCAGCTATGCAGCTTTCCGATACGGCAGCTGCCTGAGCGTGCTGAACGCGAGTCGATTGGGCTCATGCTTGAGCATTCGCGCATTCGCTAGGTGTGGGTCAGCGCATAGCGTCTTTGGAAAAACAAGGATTTGCAACGTTGCCTCTGTCTTGGATTCGCAAACGCTGGGATCAAACTTGTCCATCCGCAGCTTTGTGCGCATGAACAGTGCCATGAGCGTGCAGGGCACCACGCGACTCGGATCTACGTTGTCCCTGTTGGATCTGACGCACCTGGGCTCCGCTTACTCGCTACGAGGCATTGCGACTCTCGGAAGCGCCCTGAGCGTTTTTAGCCGCACAATTCTCGGCTCGTCAGCCTCTGTGTTGAACTATCTGCATTTGGGCACAGCCTTGTCGCTGCGAAGCTACAAGCGGGTTGGCAGCTGCTGCAGCCTCTTCTCGTGCGCACGATTAGGCAGTAGTTTGAGTCTGTTGAACCGAGTGGACTTCGGATCCTCTCTTTCGATTCGATCCTTCGCCAGATTCGGATCCGCGATTTCCGTTTTTTCGAAGGTCTCGTGTCCTAGTCTGGTCTCCATCCTCGACTGCCTACAATTGGGCTCTGCTCTGTCCGTGCGCAGCTTCGCTCGCTTCGGTAGTTCCATGTCGATTTACGGCATGTCCCGACTCGGAAGTTGCTTGTCCGTCCTGGACTTCGTGAACCTGGGATCGATTCAGTCGGTCCGCCGCTACGTGCGCATGGGCAGCAGCTACAGCGTCTTCTCGCAGTTGCGCTTCGGAAGTCAAATTTCCATGTTAGACTTCGCCGGTTGCGGTAGCTCTTTGTCTTTGCGATTGTACAACCGAGTGGGCAGCTGCATATCCATTTTTGGGGCGCAGCGGTTCGGAAGCAATTGTTCAGTTCTCGACAAGCTCGCTCTCGGAAGTGTTCTGTCTTTGCGCAGCTACTTCCGCATTGGATCTGTCATCTCCGTGTTTGGGCGGTTGTTTCAGGGATCCAGCTTGTCCCTCGTGGACAACATCAACATCGGCAGTTCGATGTCCATGCGCAGCTATGGACGTTGCGGCAGCGGCTTTTCGGCTTTTGGCGCTGTGCGGACCGGTAAAATCTTGTCGACGTTGAACTACGTCACGTTCGGCAGCAGCTTTTCAGTCCGGTTCCACACTCGCTTGTCGTCATCGATGTCCGTCTTGGACTACGTGAACATCGGATCAGCGATGTCCTTGCGTCGCTTCGCGCGACTCGGCAGTGCGGTCTCACTGTTCGGCGAGGCAAGAGAAGGAGGCAGCATGAGTGTCTTGAAATACGTGCAGCTCTCCAGCTCCTTGAGTGTCAGAGCTGTGTGTCGTATCGGCTCAGCTTTGTCCCTGATGAACCAGTGCCGATTGGGCAAGACCATCTCGGTTCTGAACTACCTCCAGATGGGCTCAGTGCTTTCTGTGCGTGCCGGAGCTCGTCACGGGTCGAACTGCAGTGTCTTCGGCCGTTTGGTCACGGGTTCTTGTCTGTCGGTTCTAAACGGAGCCCAGTTTGGTTCCGCGCTGTCGGTTAGACGTGCTTGCAAGATCGGCGGTGGCGTTTCCACGTACAGCCGCTACATGCTGACGGTGACAACGTCTGTTCTAGACTTCTCGTGTCTCGGATCGCAATTGTCTATGCGCAGCTATGCGCGCATCGGCTCTGCGACCAGCTGCTTTGGTCGCGTCACGCTCAGCAACGCCGGCTTCAGCGTCTTCGACCAAAGTCAGATGGGCTCGCTGCTCTCCTTGCGCAACTTCTCGAGGTTCGGAAGCAGCTTCTCGGTTTTCTCCAGAGTACAGTTTGGACGCACAGTATCGGCTTTAGACGCAGCTCAGATTGCCAGTTGCTTGAGCCTTCGCAGTTACATGCGCGTTGGAAGTGGAATGTCCATTGTATCTAGCATCACGATCGGGGACCGAAGCAGCGTCTTCAACTACTTGACCTTGGGGTCGTCGCTTTCTTGCCGCAACTACCTCCGCTTGGGTTCGGCCGTGTCTTTGACTGGCAAGGGCCGCATTGGCGCCATGTTCTCGATGTTGGACTTCGCGTCAGCGGGTTCGTCGCTCTCAGTACGACATTTCGCGCGCATCGGCTCCGCTTTGAGTGGATACGGACAGTTCCGCTTCGGCGGCTGCTTGTCCCTCTTCGATATGTTGCAGATCGGTTCGCAGCTCTCCTTGCGCAACTACTACAGGCAGGAGACGCACTGTTCAGTGTTCTCGAAGCAGTGCATGTCCGGATCCATGTCCATCCTGAACTGGGTTTCCGGTGGAAGCGCGTTGTCCCTTCGCTGTGTCTCACGGTTGGGCAGCTCGCTGTCGACTGGCGTCGCGCCTCTGTTCGTTGGCGGCATCATGAGCACGCTGGACCAAGCGCATCTGGGCAGTTCCATGTCCTTGAGACAGTTGGGCCGCGTAGGAAGCGCAACTTCTGTATTGAATTTCTGTACCATGTGTTCGAACCTCTCGCTGCGATCGTGCACACGTTTGGGCTCTGCGCTCTCCATCATGCGTGGTGGCGTAGTTGGCGAATTCATGTCGCTCATTGACTACGCGCATCTTTCGAGTTCGATCAGCATTCGAGGCGCGATGGAAGCTGGTTGCTCACGCGGTTTGAGCGTTCTAGACGCTGCGTTTGCGGGAAGCGCGATCTCGTTGCGCTCCTACCAGCGCATCGGGTCTGCATTCTCGGTTGTCGGCAAGTTCAACCTAGACGGCTTCACAGCAGTGCAGCAGGCGTCGCACAGTGTGATGGACTTCTTAGAGATGGGCTCATCGTGCAGTCTCCGTGCATTTGTGCGGTCTACGAGTTCGCTGAGCCTCTTCAGTCGGGCCAGACTTGGGGCCTTCCTCTCCGTGGTGGACGCAGGCTCCGTTGGAAGCAGCTTGTCCTTGCGCGGATTCGCTCGCTGCGGCAGCGCGTTGTCCCTGATCGGACCCCGTGGCACGCGTGCTGACATCGGTTGTGGCGCAACCTCAATCTTGGGCTATGCTTCGCTTGGAAGTTCCATCAGCGTTCGCTCCCATTGGCAACACGGCTCTGCGACGTCGCTGCTGTGCTTCGCAGCGCTCGGGGAGACTTTCTCCTTGCGCAGTGGCGCCAAGTTCGGCTCTGCGTTGTCCATTCTGGACTTCGCAAGCTGCGGCAGCTCGGTTTCGTTGCGCGCGTTTATGCGACTGGGCAGCACGCTGTCTGTCAAGTCCTTTGTGCGCATTAGCAGTGGATTGAGCATCTTCCGATCGTCGCAGTGCGGTGGTCGGTTCACGGTGCTGGACGCAACTATGATTGGGTCCTCCGTTTCCCTGCGCGCCTTCGCTCGTCTCGGTGCCACCTTCTCGTTGAACGACTTCGCGCAGTTCGGCTCTTGCCTCTCTCTGCGCGCCTCCGCTCGCATCTCTAGTGCTTTGAGCTGTTGCAGCGCCGCCAAGTTCGGCGCGTACATCTCCATCTTGGACCAAGCCCAGTTCGGCTCTAGCTTGTCCTTGCGCAGCTACACCCGATTGGGCAGCGCGATTTCGGTCTTAGGACACGTGATGATGGGCAGCAGCTTGAGTGTTTTGGATTCGTGCCACATTGGATCCGGAGTGTCGCTTCGCAAGTTCTTCCGCTGCGGCAGCACCTGCAGTTTGTTCGGTCGCGGTCGCTTCGCCAGCAGCTGCAGCGTCTTAGACTTCTTTCAAGCGGGCAGCGGATGGTCAATTCGCTCCACCGCTAGATTTGGAGCCAAAACTTCTGTCTTCGCGTTCATTGAAGTGGGCAGCTCTTTGTCCTTGCGATCCTGCTGTCGCATCGGCAGCGCGATCTCGCTCTACAACCGATTCAGTGGTGGCGACACCTTCTCCGTGCTAGATGCGCAGTACGTCGGCAGCACCTTGAGTGTGCGCGGTCTCTTCAGCCGGTTGTCGGATCACATGTCCGTCTTCGATCTGTGCGCTATGAGCTCGACTTTGTCCGTCCGTGCACAGGCACGTGCGGGTTCGAGTTTGAGTATCTACCAACGTATTCGCAGTGACGAGAAGATCTCTGTCTTGGACTACTGCGCTTTGGGAAGTGTTCTATCGCTTAGAGTGGTAGGCCGCCTCGGCAGTTCCATGTCCGTGGCCAACCGCACAAGGCTTAACCGAGCTCTGTCTCTCTTGGACTTCGTGCATCTGGCCTCCACGGTGTCCGTACGCCAGTCGTTGCAGTACAACCGCTGGGGCAACGAGTTGTCCATCCTGGACAGCACGACGTTCGGAAGCTGCTTGTCCCTGCGAACACATTTGAGGTTTGGATCATTGTTGAGCGTCTTCTCCAAGGTACAACTCGGCAGCAGCATGTCCATCATTGATTACTGGACTCTTGGCAGTTCGATGTCGTTGCGCGCTCGCGTCCGTTTAGGCTCGAGTCTCAGTGTCTTCGGTGCTGGACGCGTTGCGAGCACGGCATCCGTGCTGGACTATTTCAACGCAGCCAGCAGCTTATCCCTGCGTGGACACGTCCGCTTCGGAGAACAGGTTTCTCTATTCGACTACACGAGTTTCGGCAGTTCGCTTTCCTTGAGACAGTACTCGCGTATGGGTAGCACCCTTGAGGTCTTTGGTCGCACAATCATTGACTCGAAAATCAGTCTTTTGGATCATGCGACGCTAGGAAGTTCTCTGTCCGTGCGATGCCGCGTGCGCTTCGGGAATACCGGAAGTGTAGACCAAGCCGAGTTCAACAACTACGTGTCCTCAGTCTTCGACTTCTTGGCTTTGGGCACAAGTTTGTCGTTGCGTTCCTACGCACGCTTCGGCAGTTCGATGTCGGTCGCGCCGGTCGCACGCTTAGGCAGCAGTATCAGCTTGATGATGCACTGCGGTGCAGGCAGCACGTTGTCTCTGCGCGCGATTGGCCGCTTCGGCTCGCACGTCAGCGTCCTGTCGAAGGTGCAGTTTGGAGGAACCTTGTCCGTCCTCGATGCCACGAGCTTTGGCTCAACACTCTCTGTGCGCAGCTACGTCCGACTTGGCAGCTTGGTGTCTATTTTCGACAGACTCCGCGTCAGCCAGAAGGTGTCCGTTTTGGACCATACCAACCTCGGATCCTCCATTTCGCTGCGGAGCTTCTCAAGGTTGTCTTCTACGATGAGTATTTTCAGCAGTTTCCGCCAAGCATCGAGCATCTCCCTGTTCGACTTCTTCAACTGCGGCAGCACTCTGTCCTTACGTGTTTCCGCACGCTTTGGCAGTGCCTTGTCGCTGCAGTCCCGATGCTGGATGGGGCGCGCGATCTCCATTGCGGATTACTTCCACTGCGGCTCGACCATCTCGATTCGTAGTTACCTGCGTTTGGGAATGTCCCTATCCAACGCGGCCTCAGTCGAGGAACGATCCGATGCGGCGACACCTGTCTCCACCTTTGACTACACGAAACTCGGTTCAGGTTTGTCTGTGCGTTCCTACGTGCGCTTCGGAAGCTGCATCTCCGTGTTGCAGTGGAGTCGAGTGGGAAGCAGCCTGTCCGTGTTGAACTTCTTCAACCTGGGCAGCATGCTGTCGATCCGAGGGTACACGAGACAGGGAAGCAGCTACACATGCTGTGGATTCGGAAGGTTTGGAAGCTCCCTCTCCACTTTCGACATGATGGCGTTGGGTTCGACTCTGTCGATGAGAGCGCACGCCCGTCTAGGCTCCAAGCTCTCCGTCTTCAAGGGACTCACAATCGGCGACGACTTCTCGATCTACGACTTCTTTCAACTCGGAAGCTCCTTGTCTTTGAGGACAACGACGAAATTGACCAGTGCAATCAGCATCTTCGGACACCAGTCCATTCGCCTGCGACCGGAATTCTCCGTGTTGGACCAGTTCACCCTGGGTTCGATGTTGAGCGTCCGTCAGATGGTGAAACTCGGATCGGCTTACTCCATCTTTGGATACGTTCGATGTGCGACAAACGTGTCCGTGCTCAAATTCACGCATTTGGGCAGTCAAATGTCGGTCCGCAGCTACTCGAAACTGGGCTTCACGTGTTCGATCTTCAGTCGCGGTAACTTTGGCTCCTCATTGTCCGTCTTGGATTTTGCGCGCGTTGGCGATTTGAACCTTCGCGAAAACGCCTTCATGCGAATGGGCTCCAACCTGTCCGTTTTCTCGCGAACCATCTTCGCCTCCTCAATCTCGACTCTGGACTTCACCCACTTTGGTTCTTCCTTGTCATTGAGGGAGTTCATGCGACTGGGCAGCCAGTTGTCCCTGCTGAACACGTCGAACTTGCGACACCACGGCGGAACCTTGTCCGTGCTGGACCTGATGATGCTGGGCAGTTCCTTGTCCGTGAGGGAGTGCATGCGCTTTGGGGAGCACTCGTTCTCCGTGTTCGAGTTCGTCAACTTCGCTTCCTCGATGTCCATGCGGTCTCTGGCAAGATGCGGCAGCACGCTGAGCGTGAAAGCTTCTATTAGGCTCAGTTCCTCCATGTCCATCTTCGGACAAACGCGGCTCGGATCTTCCATGTCCGTTTTGGACATTCTGAGACTGGGTAGCACCATGTCTTTGCGTGCCAGCTACAAGATGGGCAGCAATTTCAGCATCTTTTCGAGGCTGCAAATGGGCAGCGGAGCCTCCGTTTTGAACATCTTCCAATTGGGCAGTACCTTGTCTCTACGCAACATGGTCCGTTGTGGAAGCACTTTTACAGTGTTCTCGACCGCACGTGTTGGGTCTAGTGCTAGCGTCATTGACTTCGTGAACCTGGGAAGTTCGGTGTCCGTCCGCGGCTTCCTGCGGCTAGGGAGCAACTTGACAGTGCTTGGCACGGAACGATGTGGCAGCAGCGTTTCGATCTTGCACTACCTGAACCTTGGCAGTTCCTTGTCTCTTCGTACGTGCGTGAGACTCGGAAGCACCATGTCAGTGATCACGAGCGGAAAGTTGGGAAGCATGGTCTCCGTTTTGGACACCGTGAACTTGGCTTCGCAACTGTCTTTGCGCAACACCGCACGCCTGGGCAGCACGCTGTCGGTCATGGCGCGTGTGCGACTAGCGGAAGGCGGCGTCTCGATTTTGAACTGCATCTGCTTCGCATCGAGCATTTCTCTTCGTCACGCCTGTGACCTGGGCGCTCAAGTATCTGTGCTAGACTTCTTGCAGCTGGGTACCACCTTGTCGCTGCGCTCTAGCATGCGTCTAGGATCTTCCTACTCGATCTTCGGTCGCGTGATGCACGGAGGTGTCGCAACTTCCGTTCTCAACTTCTTGCAGCTTGGTACAGCGCTGTCGCTGCGCTCCTTCTGCCGGTTGGGAAGTTCCTTTTCCCTGTTGCGTGAAAAGTCTTTGGGATCCTCACTTTCTCTTCGCGCAGTCCTCCGATTCGGCAGCACCTTGTCTACGCTGGAGATGCGCACAAGACTGGGAGGCGATTTGAGTGTCCTCTCGTGCGCCTGCCTCGGCAGTTCGCTTTCTCTGAGAAGCACCGCGAGGCTGGGCAGCTGCTTTTCCGTGATCGACTTCGTGCAGATCGGCAGTTCCCTGTCTATGCGTGATGCGCATCGCATGGGAAGTGGATTCAGCCTGATGAGCCAGATGAGACTGGGCAGTGAATGCAGCGCTGTGTCCTACCTGCACTTGGGCAGTTCTCTTTCGACTCGTGCAGTGCAGCGGGCCGGACGCTCCGTGTCTGTGTTCAGCAAAACGCAGTTGGGTGCAACCTACAGCATCCTGCAGCATTTTGATGTGGGAAGCAGCTTTTCGCTACGAACTGCGATCCGGTTTGGAACGCAAGTTTCGGTGTTCGAAGCTTTGAAGATTGGCGCTCGGCTCTCGATCTTAGACCACATCGACTTCGGAAGTTCGTTGTCCCTACGCGGTTTCGCGCGTTTCGGCAGCCACTGCTCTTTGCTCGACATGTGCACTCTTGGAAGTTCCCTCAGTCTGCGTGGCTACGCCAGACTCGGATCCGCATGCAGCGTCCTCAGCTACGGGCGCGTGGGCTCTACCATGTCCATGCTGGAGTCCGTCACGGCCGGAAGCGCCTTGTCGTTGAGGCAATTTGTGCGACTTGGATCGGTGCTCTCGATGCTCTCGCAAGTTCGCTTCGGCTCTTGCTTGACCGTTTTGGACTTCGTGTGCGCGGGCAGTGCCGTTTCCGTACGCAGCTTCGCGCGTGTGGGCAGCGCGTTCAGCGTTTGCTCATGCCTGAGGCTCGGCAGCGTCCTTTCGCTCCTGAACCGGGATCAAGTCGGTAGCAGCTTGTCGCTCCGCAGCTTCTGCCGCCTCGGCTCCAACATGTCGTTGCTAGATCGCGTCCGTCTGCACCAGACGATGTCTGTGCTCGACCAGTCGCAGCTTGGATCTTCTCTATCAGTACGTTCCATGTCGCGCTTCGGGGATTCCCTGAGCATGCTCAACTTCGCGGGTCTCGGTTCCGCATTGTCGCTTCGCGAATACACCCGATTTGGGTCCACAATCTCTTTGTTCAAAGCGAACAACGCCGGCGCCGGTTTGTCCTGTCTTGGCTTCGCGAACCTAGGTTCCAGCCTGAGTCTGCGATCCTACGTGGCCTGCGGCCAGGTCCTCAGCGTCTTGGACGTGGTCGCCATTGGGAGCGCTTTATCCTTGAGAAGCGCAGTGAGACTCGGAAGCACGATGTCGTGCTTCTCGAGGATGGCGGGAGACGCAATGTGCAGTATCCTCACCTACACGCATTTGGCCAGCAGCTTGTCTGTGCGCGACCAGTTCGTGTGTCGGGCCCCGACTTCGGTTTTGGACTTCTTCAACCTCGGATCCACTGTGTCCGTACGTGGAGTGAGTCGTGTGGCCAGTTCGCTGTCCGTTTTTAGCCGCGTTGTGTGCGGAAGCAGCATCTCGGTGCTTAACTTTTTGCATTTGGGCTCGACATTGAGTTGTCGCATCGCGGCTAGAGGAGGATCGAATTGCTCGACGTTCGATTACTTCCAGATGGGGTCTGTACTGTCCTTGAGACAGTATCTGCGCTTAGGAAGTTCGCTGTCCGTGCACTCGCGTTATGGGGTTTCGGCGTTATCCGAGTCCCTCTCCGTGCTCGACACCATCCGCATGGGCTCTGTATTGTCCATTCGGGCATTGGCGAGGTACGCGCAGGACTGCTCGGTCTTCGACCGGTTGCTCTTGGGCAGCACGCTTTCCGTGCGCTCGTGTCAGCGCATCGGCAGTGCAGCTTCGGTGTTTGGTCGCTTCGCTTGCGGGAGCACACTGTCTTTGCTGTGCAGTGCCTTCTTGGGAAGCACTTTGAGCATTCGCAGCAAGGTTCTACTGGGCGGGAAGCATCGTCCATCGGTTTGCGACCAGATCTTGGTTGGAAGCACTCTTTCGGCGAGGAACTTCGTTCGCATGGGTGACCAGTTACCGCTGATTGGCGGAAACGTGCTCATTGGACGCAGCGTCTCAGTCTTAGATGGTCTGCAATTGGGCAGCACTCTGTCAGTTCGCTCTGGCGCACGATGCGGCGACTCGATGTCCCTGTTTGATGCGTTCGCTCTCGGCAGTTCGATCAGCTGTCGGTCTGTTGCTAGACTCGGAAGCGCCCTCTCCATCTTCGGCGCAGTAGCGGTTTCCAGTGCTTTCAGCGTCCTAGACGCAGTTCGCGCAGGCAGTGCGGTTTCCTTGAGAGCGTTCTGCAGACTGCAGTCGAGCGCAAGCTTGTTTAGCCGTGTTGCGGTTGGATCGCAGCTGTCGATTCTGAACTTCACGCACTTGGGCTCTACAGTGTCCCTACGTGCGTTCTTCAGGTGCGGTTCCAACTTGTCGGTCTTCTCGAAGGTTCCGCTCACGCAGTGCTGCACCGTTCTAGACTACCTGCAGATGGGTTCTGCTATGTCGCTTCGCAGCTTCGGAAGGTTCGGCTCGGCCCTCAGCGTGATGTCGCGAGGGGTCTTCGGATCTGGACTTTCTATTCTAGACGCCACCAGCTTCGGAAGCTCCTTAAGCATTCGTGGCTACGTGAAGATTGGTTCGAGCATTAGCGTTTTGACGATCGCACGCGTGAGCGATAACCGTCAAATGCTCTTCTCAGTGATGGACATGTGCAATTTGGGCAGCAGCCTCTCCGTCAGAGGTGCCGCAAAGCTCGGATCGCGTGGAAGCGTCTTTGACTTCATGGAGCTCGGCAGCGCTTTGTCGTTGAGGAACTACTTGCGTGTCGGATCCAGTCTCTCCGTCGTGGAGCAAATCCGCACAGCAGCGGCCATGTCGATTCTGAGCCAGGTGATGCTGGGTTCGTCACTTTCGGTGCGATCCTATGTGCGTCTCGGAAGTGCGATTTCCGGATTGGACTTCCTACATTGCGGCAGCACGCTGTCGATTCGCAACTACGTGCGCGTTGGCAGTGGAGCCTCGGTTTGCTCCCACGCGCAAGTCGGAATGCGGTTGTCGGTTGTGGATTGCGCAAGTCTAGGGTCTAGTTTGTCGCTGCGAGCAGTCTTGAGACTGGGTTCCGCAGCTAGCGTTTTGCGCACCTTGGACATCGGGGCCAACGCTTCGGTGCTTGACTTCCTGCACTTGGCCTCCAGTTTGAGCATTCGTGGAGTCGCGCGTCTCGGCTCGAGCGCGTCCTTGTTCAGCCAAGTACGTGCGGGAGCGGAACTCTCAGTGCTGGACTTCATGCATCTGGGCTCCGCGCTTTCGCTGCGACAATTCATTCGTGCGGGATCCTCAATCAGCGTTCTCGGACGTGTACAGATCGGTAAGGCGCCGGGCCTGACCTTGCTCAGCCACCTTCATGTTGGTTCTTCGCTCTCCTTGCGAGAAGTTTCGAGACTTGGATCCAGGTTAAGTGTTCTTGACGAACTCTTGCTCGGTTCGAGCCTCAGTTTGCGCAACATGGCCCGCGTGGGGTCCGCCCTCTCGGTCATGTCGCAGTTGCGATTCGGCAGCAGCGCTTCTGTACTAGACCACCTGGCTTTGGGCAGTACTCTGAGTCTACGAAACTTCGTACGCATTGGCACAGCTGCTTCGCTGGTCTTCTCCGCGGTCCGCGTAAGCTCGTCCCTCAGCGTGCTCGACTTCTTCCAGGCAGGAAGCGCTTTGTCGCTGCGCCGCTTCTTGCGCGTCGGCAGTGCTCTTTCGGTGAACACAGCCGTTGATATCAGTGGAGCAGCCTCGATCCTCTGCTGGACGCATCTGGGCAGCTCGCTCAGTGTGCGTGGCGCCGTCAGAGCAACCGGATGGAGACCATCTGTCCTTAACGCCCTGCAATTGGGCTCCAGTCTGTCCGTGCGTGCGACAGTGCGTTTCGGTGACGTGCTTAGCGTTTTGGACTCCGAAGCTCTCGGCAGTTCTCTATCGCTCCGCCAGTTCTTGCGACTTGGATCTACGCTGTCCATTTTATCCGGCTGTCGCTCTGCACATGGAATGTCAGTCATTGACCTGATGAGTCTTGGAAGCTCCTTGTCTTTGCGAAGCAGTCCTGCCATGTGCGGAGACTACTTTTCGGCCTTCGACTTCCTGAAACTTGGCTCTAGCACGTCCTTGCGTTCCTACGCAAGACTCGGAAGTTCCCTCAGTGTCCTCAGCAAGACCCAAGTTGCAGCTAAAGCTTCGGCTTTGGACTTCTTCAACTTGGGCTCTTCGTTGTCGTTGCGGTTTACGACTCGTTCTGGCTCTACTCTGAGCATTGTCGGGACCTACGGCCGTTTGGGAGGTGCCACATTCTCGGTCCTGTCCTGCGCATCCCTAGGCAGTTCGCTGTCGTTGAGGAGTTCTCCAGCATTGTTAGGTCAGGCCATGAGCGTTTTGGACGCTACGACCATAGGATCTTCTCTGTCGCTACGAACGCACACCCGAATGGGCGGTCACGTATCGCTGTTCCGCAACGTGCGCTTCGGAGATACGGTCTCAACCTTGGACTTCCTAGAAATTGGATCTACGGTGTCGCTCCGCGCCTTCAGTCGGATTGGACGTGGCCATAAGCTGGTGACGTCAGTCTTCGGTCCAAAGCTTTTGGGCAGCTGCTTGTCGGTTCTCGACATGCTCACGCTCGGGTCCGCCTTGTCCGTGCGTTCCTTCATGCGGTTCGGCTCCTCGTTGAGCATCTGGGGTATGTCGAGGTTGGGCAGCACCTTTTCAACGTTGGACGTGGTGGACTTTGCCTCAACCATGTCTTGTCGCAGCTACTTCCGCATCGGAAGCAGTTTGAGTGTGCTCGAGAAGGCCTCGTTTGGCGAAAATGTGAGTATTCTAGACTTCGTGCATGTGGGAAGCAGTTTGTCGCTGCGCGGCTTCAATCGCTTGGGCAGTGGTTTGTCCATGTACGGCATCGCGCAATTCGGCAGTTCCATGTCGATCCTTGACACCATCGGCGTCGGCAGCTCTCTCAGTTTGCGGTGTCTTGCTAGACTCGGCAGCACCCTGAGCATCTACGGCTTGACGAAGCTGGGCAGCTGCGTTTCGACTTTGGACTACTTGGCCCTTGGAACGTCTCTGTCCTTGCGCCGCTGCTTGAGGATCGGCAGCTCCTTCTCGGTTGTGGGAAAAATCCTGGTCGAAACCAATCTCTCCGTGGTTGACGTGATGCGCTGTGGCAGTTCCATCAGCTTGAGGAACGTCTTCAAGCTTGGACGCTACTGCTCGATCCTGGACGCGGTTGCCCTTGCTTCGAGCTTGTCCTTGCGCTCCACTGCCTATTGCGGAAACAAAGTCTCCCTTCTCAGCTTCCTGCAGATGGGATCCAGCTTGTCCATGCGGAACTTCGTGAGACTCGGATCCGGCTTGTTCAGCGTCTATGGCGAATCCATCACGCCCTTTGGGTCGTCGCTTTCGGTCGTAGACCAGCTGCACCTGGGTTCCAGTGTGTCCTTGAGAGGCTCGATCCCGTATTGTCAACGCATTTCCGTGTTGGAGTGCGTACAGCTCGGCAGTTCCTTGTCCACGCGTCAATTCACGCGTGTAGGCCAAAGTGTGAGTGTCTACGGCGATCGCACGTTCATCGGGCGTGCGGGACAAGCAACCACGGCCACTTCCGTGTTCGGCTACGCACACTTGGGTTCGTCCATGTCGTTGCGCAGCATGTGCCAGTTCTCGCATCAGGTGTCGATCCTGAACGCTGTGCAACTGGGAACCACGCTCAGTTTGCGCCAGTACACGCGCTTGGGCACCAGCATTTCGGTCCTCGGCAAGCGATTGCTGCTTTCCGGTGACACCTTCTCGGTTCTCGAACGCGCTGCCTTTGGCAGCTCGATGAGTCTCCGAGCGGGAGTTCGTTTTGGCGATGCGCGCCACGGCTTCTCCGTGCTGAGCTACGTCAACCTCGGATCGACCGTTTCGCTCCGAGACTTCGCAAGACTCTCGTCTTCCGTCTCGATCTTAACGAAATGCGTAACCGGTGGAGAACTCTCCGTTTTGGACTCGAAGTTCCTAGGCAGCACCTTGAGCATCCGCAATGTCATGCGCGCAGGATCGCACATGAGCATTCTGGACTACCTGCATTTGGCATCGTGCATCTCTGTACGCTCTAGCACACGTCTCGGATCCGCGGTATCGGTCATGGGACTGTGCAGGTACATTAACTGCTTCCACTTTTTTAGATTGGCTTTTCTTGTGATGACATCACATGATCAACAGAAGCCGATGAAGTGTGGTTACTTATACACAATCTTGACTACATCAAATTCAAATTGATTCTAGTAGTCTTGCGTTTTCACAATCGGGTTTTACATTACTAGCCCCTCTACTTTATTCTGCAAACATGATCACGATTCATGATGATGATGTTGATGATCAAGATTCCACACCAACCAAACATCAACCTGAACCTTCTCACCTCACAGGTACATGGGTAGCACGTATGCGTTATCCGTGATTGACGTCTGCACGCTTGGTAGCAGTTTGTCGGTACGAGGAAGCGTGAAGATTCCGTCTACTTTGAGTGTGCTCGACGAGTTCCATCTTGGGTCCTCCCTTAGTGTGCGGAGCCGCTTCCGCGTGGGCGATACGCTGAGCGTCGTCGACATGGTGCATCTGGGCACCAGCTTGTCCTTGCGACAGTTCTTGAGGTTGGGCAGCAGTCTGTCCATCTTGGAGCCAAGACTGAAGAAGACGCCGCTCGACTCGACTTTGTCCGTGTTGAACCAGGTTTGCTTGGGTAGCGGCGTGAGTCTGCGAGGTTTGGGCAGGTTTGGCAGTGCGTTGAGTGTGCTGAACTACGTTGGATACGGCAGTAACCTTTCCTTGCGCAGCTACATGCGCTTCGGTTCAAGTGTTAGCGTGTTGAGCAAGATCGCGCTGGGAGAATCGCTTTCCTTGTTGCAGCAGCTGGAACTCGGAAGCTCACTCAGCATGCGCCAGTTCCTGAGAGCGGGAGCACCTAAGATCAGCGTCTTGGACATCCTGCATTTGGGAACCACCTTTTCGCTACGCGCGTTCCTCCGCGTCGGCAGTGCGCTGTCCATCGTCGAGAAAGTGCGTTGCGGCGCTGCCTTGAGCGTGATCGAATCAGTGAATTTAGGTTCGGGTCTTTCGGTGCGCAGTGGGTTGAAGATGGCCAGCTTCGCATCTTGCTTGGACTTCGTGCAGCTGGGCAGTTCCTGCTCGGTCCGCAACGTCGTTCGCGCTGGCTCGGCGACTTCAGTCTTGGCCTTCTGCGCCATTGGATCCTCGGTTTCCTTGCGACGCGTCGGCCGCTTCGGTTCCTCGCTATCCGCTTGCGGCACCTGCCGTCTCGGACAAGCCTTGAGCATTCTGTCCTATGCTCAACTGGGCTCGAGCATGAGCGTGCGCGTCGCTACCAAGTTCGGCAGCAAAGTGAGTTTCATGGACGTGTTGAACCTCGGCAGCTCACTGTCGCTCCGAAGCTTTGCTCGCATGGGTTCGAGACTGAGCATTTGCGGCACTACGGCACTCGCTAGTCGTGTATCGATGCTCAATTTCACGAGCATGGGCAGCTCGCTGTCGTTGCGGGGTCGCGCGTGGTGCGGCAACGCCTTGTCGGCACTCGACTCGATTCAATGCGGTAGCGCGCTTTCCGTCAGGAACTTCATGCGTGCTGGAAGCACCGTTTCGATCTACTCGCGGTTCCGCACGGGCTCTGAGGCCAGTCTCTTGTCCGAGTGCTTGATCGGTTCCTCTCTGAGTGTGCGATCGACCATGCGGTTTGGATCCGCGGTGAGCACTCTGCAGTGCATGAACATGGGTAGTACGCTCTCGCTGCGCAACTACGTTCGCGCTGGCACGACGATCACTGTGCGCGGTTTGACCAGGGTGGGCAGCTGCTACGCCTGCAGCGCGATCAATCAGGCCCATCTCGGCAGCAGCTTCTCTCTCCGTGGCTTAATGCGTTGCGGCTCGGACTTAAGCGTCCTTGACGCGGCCTCGCTTGGGAGCACGTTCTCCGTGCGCGTGACCACCAAGTTTGGCGGTGCTTTGTCCGTGCTCGACCTCGTTACCCTTGGCAGCAGCTTGTCCCTGCGCAGCATGTTGCGTTGCGGCTCCTCGCTTTCGGTAATGAAGAAGGTGCAGATGACCGGTGACCGCGTCTCTCTGCAAGGAGAGATCAATCTCGCCTCGTCTTTGAGCATTCGCTGCTTTGGTCGATTTGGCTCTGCTCTTTCGGCGCTCGACTACGTCAATCTGGGCTCCAGTATGTCCTTGCGGTCCTACGTGCGCTTAGGCAGCGCTTTGAGTATCCTTCGACGCGCTGACGTGTGCGAGCACGCTTCGGTGCTGGACGTCGTCACGCTGGGAAGCTCCCTGAGCGTGCGCAACGCCGTACCTTTCGGAAAGACCATGTCTGTACTACAATTCGCAAACCTTGGTAGCACCTTGAGCTTGCGCAACTTCTTGAAGGTTGGTTCCACCGTGTCCGTGCTGTCCACGACGACGGCAAGAGGGTCTTTGTCGGTCCTAGAAAAGGTCCTGTTGGGTTCTTCTTTGTCGCTGCGCGGACGCACAAGCCTCGGATCCCGCGAACTCTCAGTCGTGGACTTTTTGGCCTTGGGCTCTAGCGTGAGCGCGCGTTGCGGCGTCCGCTTCGGCAGTGGATTGTCCGTGATCAACTTCTTGCAGTTGGGCACCACGTTGTCGATTCGCGCAGCAGCACGTCTGGGAAGCTCCCTCTCCATTTTCGGCGAAGCGAAACAGCGCGCGAATTTGTCCGTTCTGTCCCATCTGCACCTCGGCAGCAGCATGAGCTTGCGCTCATCTGCGTTGCTCGGACATGGGTACGCGCGCTGCTCTCTGGTCGATCAGGTCTCCTTCGGCTCTGCACTGTCTCTTCGCAGCTTCGCACGCTTCGGCACAGTACTGTCGGTTGAGGGCAAGATGGCAGCCGGCGGTCCCGGACGTGTTTCAATCCTAGACTTCGTCCACCTCAGCAGTTCTTTGTCGCTCCGCTACAGTGGTTTACTGGGTTCGAATCTGAGTGTCTTCGATTCCGCAGCAGTCGGCAGCAACTTGAGCATGCGCAGCTTTCTCAGGGTGGGCTCGCACTGTTCCGCCTTCGGATCGATCCGCGCAGGCAGCACTCTGTCTGTTCTGACCTTCGTGGCCTTCGGATCCAGTCTGTCCGTCCGAGGAAGCTTTGGCATGGCGAAGAGGGTGTCCACCTTGAACTTCACGAACTTGGCTAGTTCGGTCAGCCTGCGTGCCGCTGTGCGCTGTGGATCCACCATCAGCGTCTTCGGCATGGGCATCTGCGGATCGGTCACGTCTTGCAGTGTCCTTCACGCTACCAGCTTTGCGTCCGCTCTGTCGGTGCGCAACGTGGTCCGCATCGGCTCGCGCCTGTCCGTTCTAGACACGCTGGTTTTAGGATCCGCGATTTCGCTGCGTTCCAACCTCGTAGTTGGCCTAGGAGGCAGCCTCAGCGTCCTCGACGCGACTCTCTGTGGCTCCTCGTTGTCTCTGCGAACGACGCTGCGACTCGGAAGCTCCTGTTCGGTGATGTCCCACGCTACCGTTGGGCTCGGAGCACAATTGGCTTCTGTACTCGCTTGCACACACTTGGGTAGCTCGCTCTCGGTACGTCAAGGCATGCGGTTTGGCGCGCCAACTAGCGTGTTGGACTACGTGCAGTTCGCGACGTCCGTGTCTTTGCGCTCGTACGCCAGACTTGGCAGTGCGCTCAGCGTGCACGGTCTCGCCACCATTGGAAGTGTCTCGAAGGTGAGCGTGATGCAGCAGGTGATCATGACTAGTTCGTTGTCTCTGCGCCAGTTCGTGCGCTTCGGTGACTGCGCCAGCATGCTCGACGCCTTTGCACTGGGCAGTTCCTTGAGCCTCCGCTCCACCTGCAAGTTCGGCTCCAGCTTCTCCGTGTTCGGAGAGAGAACGAATTTTGGCATGCAAGCCTCCTTGCTGGACCAACTGGCGCTTGGCAGTTCCCTGAGCGTCCGTTCTACGGCGCTGTTGGCGGGAAAGCTGTCTGTTGTAGACTTTTTGACGCTGGGATCCTCGTATTCTGTGCGTGGAATGACCCGATCGGGTGCCGCGGTCTCGGCGTTGGACTTCTGCTGTCTCGGAAGTTCGGTGTCGCTCCGTGCCTTCACGCGTGTTGGCAGTGCGGTCTCCGTGTTCTCCTCCATGACGGGTGGAGCAACGCTTTCGGTGCTCGACCAGGTCGTGATGGGCAGCAGCTTGAGCATCCGCAGTGTCTGCACGCGTGCAGGCGACGTCTTGAGCACCTTCAACTTCGTCTCCCTCGCAAGCGCGCTGTCGATCCGCTCCACGGTGCAGATCGCAGCCAAGCACGCTGGCGTCTCAGTGCTCAACTGTGTGCACCTCGGCAGCACGGTGAGCCTGCGGTCTTATCTGAATGCGGCGGACAGAATCTCTGTGCTCGACACCTTGCAGCTCGGATCTAGCATCTCGATGCGAAACTTGGCAAGGCTGCCTCGCTCCCTGTCGGTGCTGGACAGCGCCACCTTCGGTAGCTCGCTGTCTTTGCGTGCCTTTGCGCGCTTGGCGTCTGGCTTGTCGGTTGTAGAGATCGCAAGACTTTCCAAAGGACTCTCTGTTTTGGACCAGCTTCAACTGGGAAGCTCGTTGAGTGTGCGTGGCAACAAGTGCACGACGGGAGGCTCCTTGTCGACATTGCTCTTCGTGCAGATGGGTTCAGCTCTGTCGGTCCGTACCTACTGCCGACTCAGCAGCGGCTTCTCGCTGTTCGGAAAACAAACGGCTGGCGCAGCATTGTCAGTCACCGATTTTCTGCACATTGGCAGCTCGCTCAGCGTTCGCGGCGTCATTCGGTCGGCAGACTCCTTGTCGGTCGCGGACTTCGTCCCGCTTGGCAGCGCGCTCTCCGTACGACGCTTTGTGCGTTGTGGCTCCGGTCTCTCGGTGCTCAGCTCTGTTGTTCTGAGCTCCAGCATGTCCGTTTTGGACTACGCAGATTTCGCTAGCTCCCTGTCTCTGCGCGCGATGTGCACGATCGGCAAGGCCAGTTCCGTGCTGGACTTCCTACAGATGGGAAGCGGACTCAGTGTGCGCAATTGGGCCAGAATCAGTTCTGGGGTCAGCGTTTTGGGCCACGCGAGAATTGGCGCGGCAACGAGCATCCTCGGCTTTGCCCAGTTGAGCTCCTCTCTTTCTTTGCGCGGCTACTTCGCCCGCTGCGGTTCTTGCAGCTCCATTCTCGACATGCTGCAGCTCGGAACGAGCTTGAGTGTGCGCAGCTGGATGCGCGTAGGCAGTGCGCTCTCTGTCGTTGAGTGCACCAGACTTGCGGTTTCGCTCTCCGTGGTGGACATGGTAAGCCTCGGATCCTCCTGCTCGGTGCGGAACTACGCGCGTCTTGGGTCTAGACTCTCAGTTCTCAACTGCTTACAGCTCGGATCCAGCTTGAGCGTTCGCGCCGGACTAGACGTGGGTGGAAGATGCACAAGTGTTATTGACTTCTTGCGCTTGGGCTCGAACCTGTCGTTGCGCCACTTCATCCGATTGGGCAGTCGCTGCAGCGTCCAAGGCGCGTCCAAGGTGGTTCCCTTCGCTTCGGTCATGGACTGCTTAAGCCTAGGCAGTTCCTTGAGCCTGCGTTCGCACTTCCGCTTGGCGGATGCGCTGTCTGCTCTAGACTACGTGCACATGGGCAGCACAGTGTCGTTGCGAAACTTCGTACGTGGTGGAGATATGGCCAGTGTGTTCGACTTCGTACGTCTGGGCTCGACTTTGAGTCTCCGTACGGCGACTCGACTCGGATCGAACGTCTCGATTCAGGGTGCGCGACTGCGCCTGACCAATGAGTTGTCCATTCTGGACCAGCTGACGGTCGGCAGCTCGTTGTCCGTCCGGTCGATGGCTCGACTCGCTGGCAGCAGCCTCAGTGTCCTTAACTATGTGCAGTTGGGCAGCAGTTGCAGCACTCGCAGCGTCCTGCGTTGCGGACGCGAGGTGAGTGTTACTGGCTTGTCCAGAGTCTCTTGCGGCCTTTCGGTGGTAGATCAGATGCACCTCGGCAGTTGCTTGTCCGTACGCAGCGGCGCTTTGGCTGGTGAGTCCCTGTCGGTGCTGAACTTCGTATCGCTGGGAAGCGCTCTATCGTTGCGCGCAGCCAATCGCCTGGGCAGCTGCGTGTCCCTACGCGCTTACGTGCGACTCAGTTCCAATTGCTCGGTCTTTTCAAGGGTCGTCATGTCCGCCAAAACCGCGGATAGCACGCTCTCGGTGCTACAACAGATCCAGATCGGTTCTTGCCTATCGATCCGGCACACCGCGACACTGGGAAGTGCGCTAAGCATCTTGGACTTCATGAACATGGGCTCTTCTTTGAGTCTTCGGGACGCCATGCGCATCGGCTCTGGCCTCTCGGTCTTCGAGAAGTTGGCCTTGGCGCACAGCATTTCGCTGGTCGATTGCGTCACGCTCGGCTCCTCGCTCTCCGCGCGCGGAGGTTTTGCGCGGTTCGGCCAAAAGCTGAGTGTGTGTGACACGTGCGCGCTGGGTAGTGCGCTCTCCCTGAGAGCACACTTGAAGCTGGGCAGCTCGGTCTCCGTCTACGGCAAGTACATCCGTTCCAACATTGCGCCGATGAGCATCATCGATCGCTTCCACTTAGGCAGCTCGATCAGCTTGAGAACCGTCTCTCGCCTCCAGAGCAACCTTTCGGTGATCGACTACGTCGCTTTCGGATCTTCTCTGTCGATCCGCGATGTCTTGCGCTTGGGAAGTGGACTTTCCTGTCTCCACCCAGTGCGAAATCGTGGCGCGCGCTTCTCAGTGTGCGACCAGTACTTGGTCGGCAGCTCGCTTTCCACGCGCTCCAGGATCCGTATGGGCTCCAGCCTGTCTCTGCGTGGCTTTGTGAAGCTTGCATCGACGATGTCGGTCTTCGGCGTGACCAGATTGGGATCCGGACTCAGCGTGTTAGGCGTGATGACCTGCGGATCAGGCCTGTCTCTGCGCGCCTTCGGCCGCGCGGGCAGTGCACTCTCCGTCATCGACGTTTTGCAGCTGGGAAGCACGGTCTCGCTCCGTGCCATCGTGCGTTGCGGATCGTGCCTCAGCGTGAAGAAGAGCACCGACGCCGCTGCAGGCCTGTCATTGCTCTCTGCAGTAGCTTTAGGCTCCTCACTCTCGATTCGTGGAATCATTCGCCGCGGTGCCGAACCGGCACGCGGATGCTCGGTTCTGGACTATCTTGGTCTTGCCTCAGCGGTCTCTGTTCGCGCATTGACTCGTTGTGGATCCGGAGTCTCGCTCTTGACGACCATGCGCTTTGGCTCGAACCTTTCGCTGTTGGACAACGTCAACCTCGGTTCCGGTTTGTCGCTCCGAAACTTCATGCGAATGGGCAGTACTCTTAGCGTGCTTTGCAGCGCGCGTGCGGCGGGCCAGCTCTCTGCGTTGGATCACGCACAGTTGGCGTCTTCCCTTTCCGTGCGTGGATTCAAGGTTGAGTTCGGCAAGCGCGTCTCTATCCTGAATGCACTCGCTCTCGGCAGCTCCTTGTCGCTCCGCAGCATGCTGCAGCAGGCCAGCTCGGTTTCTGTGCGTGCTGTTGTGCGTCTGGGAAGCGGCGTCTCCGCGTACTACAACGTGCAGACGAACGGCGACACCTGTTCCGTGCTCTCCTTCGTGGCCTTCGGCAGTTCGCTTTCCCTCCGTGGCGTAGCTCGCCTTGGCGACACGGTGAGCGTCGCAGACTACTATTCGCTTGGAAGCGCACTTTCGTTGCGATCCTTTTTGCGTGCCGGCTCTTCCTGCAGCATTTTGCAGAGACAGGAGCTAGCGGCGACCTGCTCCGTACTCGATTGCCTGAATCTCGGCAGCAGTTTGAGCGTTCGCGCGCGCATCCGCTTCGCCCCACAGGCCAGTGTGCTGGACTTTTTACAGGTTGGTAGCTCCTTGTCCCTTCGCGGAACAGTGCGCATCGGATCGACTCTGAGCGTAGTCGAGAGTTGCCGCGCTTCGTCGATGAGCGTCAGCTTGTTGGATTCGCTCTCCTTGGGTTCTTCCTTGAGTCTCCGCAGCACGGCGCGATTTGGCGACTGTGCTTCGTTGCTCCACGTCGCGCAACTTGGCTCGAGTCTCTCTCTGCGCGCGTTCTTGCGGTCCGGCAGCAGCTTGTCGGTCATGTGTCAAACGAAGGCAGGAGATCGTCTTTCGCTGCTCGACCAGTACGACGCGGGCAGCAGCCTGTCCCTCCGCAGCTTCATGCGTCTCGGATCGCGGGTCTCCGTGATCGACACGCTGAACCTCGGAAGCTCCATGTCCACTCGCAGCTTCGCTCGCATCGGCAGCGCGCTGAGCGTGTTCGGAAAGGTCAGCAAGGGAGGCGACTCTTCGTCGACCGTTCTGTCGATCCTAGACACGATCCACTTCGGCAGCTCCTTGTCAACACGCAGTTTCACGCGGTTCGGCAGCAGCGCTTCCATCTTGCGCACAGCAACGATTGGGGCTTCTTGCTCAGTCCTTCTTCAAGTTGACGTGGGCAGCAGCCTGTCCCTTCGCAGCTTCGGTTTGTTGGGTAGTGCCCTGTCAGTTTTGCACTTCGCGAACATCGGCAGCAGCATCTCGCTACGATCGGTTGGGCGATTCGGGAGCAGTCTGTCGGTCCTCGACATGGTCTCCCTTGGGTCAGCCTTCAGTCTGCGAAGCCTCTCTCCGAAGTGCGGCGCCAGAATGAGCGTGATTGACATGCTTTCTCTCGGGTCTACTTTGAGCATTCGTTCCGTGACCCGCGAAGGAACGCACCTTTCGGTGATCGACTTTGCGGTCTTCGGCAGTTCGCTGTCTCTACGGGCGTATCTGCGCGCCGGATCTTCGCTCTCGGTGTTCCAGTCAGCCAAGGTGAGCAAATCTTTGAGTATGATCTCGCACATCGAAGTGGGCAGCAGCATGAGTTGCCGCAGTCTCATGCGCAGCTCCGATTCCATGAGCGTCTTCGACTGCATGCAAATGGGCTCTTCGCTCTCCCTCCGCAGCTTCTTGCGACTGGGATCGGGCTTGTCTATGCTGGACCCAATCAGAATCAGCCACGGCGGAGTTAGCGTTCTAGACGCCATCAACCTAGGCTCCTCCCTCAGCGTGCGCAGCACAACGATTGGCCTGGGCAAGCAGCTTTCTGCCTTAGACTTTGCGCAAGCGGGAAGCTGCTTCAGTCTGCGCAGCTTGTGTCGCTTGGGAAGCGCGGTTTCGCTCGCTTCGCGTCTGCGCATCACGGAGTCCCTCTCGGTTCTGGATCAAGTGCACCTGGGAAGCTCTATGAGCGTCCGTGCTTTCACGCGCTCCGCCGAAGCACTGAGCGTTTTGGACTTCGTCACTTTGGCGTCGAACATTTCGTTGCGAAACTTCTTGAGGCTTGGAAGCGCCATCAGCGTCTTCTCCTTGCTGCAAACCGGCAGCTGCCTTAGCTGCTTGGACACCACGTTGTTCGGCAGCACCTTCTCGTTGCGCAACTTCCTACGAATCGGATCCGGACTCTCGGTCTTCCGCAGCGCGCGCGCTGGCGCTCAAGTCTCGGTGCTCTCGTACGCGCAGCTGGGATCCTCCATGTCTCTGCGAACGCTTGCACAGGTGGGCAAGACGATCACGGTCTTGGACTTCTGCATTTTGGGAAGCTCGCTTTCGCTGAGAAGCACCAACATCCGCCTAGGAAAATCGGCGTCCATCATGGACTTCGTGCACCTGGGCAGCAGTGTTTCGCTCCGCAGCTTCGCGCAGTGCGGCCAGTGCGTGTCTACATTGGACGTGCTGAGACTCGGCTCCAGCGTCTCGGTCCGTTCCATGGCGAACTTTGGGCAACTAGGCGTCTCGGTCCTCGACTATGTCTCGCTGGGAAGCACTCTGAGCTGCCGCAACTACATGCGCTTGGGCAGCGGCGTCAGCGTGTTCTCCACAGGGAGAGTGGAGTCGCAGCTTAGCGTGCTGGACTTCTTGCATGTGGGCAGCAGTTTAAGCCTGCGCTCCAAGGGTGACTTTGGAGGACAGAATTTGTCGATCTTCGACTACTTGCAGTTCGGCAGTGGTTTGTCCATCCGCTCGTTCTTGCGAGTCGGCTCAGCCGGCTACTCGGTCTACAACTCGAACCGCCTAGGCATGTCTCTGTCGATTCTGGACGTGGGGCAGTGCGCGAGCTCCTTCTCCGTGCGACGCTTCGCGGCGTGCGGAGGTACGTGCAGCGTGCTCAACCTTAGCCAACTCGGATCCAACCTGTCGGTTCGTACGCTGGCGAGACTCGGGACGGACGTGTCCGTGCTCTGCTTCGCTAGTTTGGGCTCCACCTTGTCGGTGCGCCGCATGGTAACCGGCGCCAGCATCCTCTCCACTCTGGACTACGGGCAATTTGGCAGTACCTTGAGCTTGCGATCCTATGCGCAAGTCGGCGGTCACATCAGCGCCATCGATCTGTGCCAATTGGGCTCCTCCTTGTCTCTCCGCGTGGTCATGCGTGCTGGATCTAGGCTCTCAGCAGTGGACTTCTTGTCGCTCGGATCCTCTCTCAGTGTGCGCAGCCGCATGCGCGTGCGGGAGGAACTTTCGGTCCTGGCCGCTACCTGCGTGTCCAGCACCTTAAGCCTAAGATCCTTCTGTCGCATCGGCAGCGGCTTCTCCATCGTCGGAAAGGACGTCCGCGTCGCGACCAAGTTCTCAGTACAGGATTGGGCTACGCTCGGCTCCTCGCTCAGCGTTCGCAGCTTCTTTCGGCTCCCGGAGAAGGTGAGCATTATCGACCGTGTCGACTTCGGCTCCTCTTGCAGCTTGCGCGCCTTCATGCGCTTAGGCTCTACCATGTCGGTCTGCTTCCGTTCCACGCATGGTTTAGGTGTCTCGATTCTAGACGCCTCTGCTTTGGGAAGTTCGGTGTCGCTGCGCCACATGGCAAGGCTTGGATCTACGGTCTCCGTCGTCGATTACCTGTCCTTGGGCAGCACGTTGTCCGCCCGCAGCTTGCCGTTTGTGCCTCTGGGTGCAGGATGCAGCACCTTCGATGCCGTTCGCCTGGGCAGCTCGCTCAGTTTGCGTGGCATCACCCGGGGCGGCGGTCAGTTGAGCGTCTTCGAATTTACGCAACTCGGCAGCGCATTCAGCCTCCGAGCCTGTGGCAGCTTCGGCAAGAGTTTGTCGACCTTGCAGTTCGTGCAGCTAGGATCCGCATGCTCCTTGCGTCAGTACGCGCGCTTGAGTGGCAGTTTGAGCACCTTGGACTTCGTGTCCTTCGGCAGCTCGGTCAGTGTACGCGCACGCACGAACTTTGGAGACTCCATCTCCGTTTTGGACATGACCTTCAGTGGCAGCACGCTCTCGTTGCGCAGCTTCATGCAGGCGGGCAGCAAGCTGTCGATTCTAGGTGGCAGTTTTGCCCGCGGCGGCTGCGCTCTCAGCGTCCTCGACGCGGTGACTCTCGGGTCCTCCTTGAGCGTGCGCGCTCACACGTGCCGCTTTGGCTCGCAGCTGTCCTTCCAGCACATGACCACGCTGGCTTCTGCTTTGAGTCTCCGCAGCTACTTGAGGTTAGGCAGCTCCGCCAGCATGTTCTCAACATCGCTGTTGGGAAGCGGCTGTTCAATTCTGGACTTCGCGAACTTCGGACAAGAGTTGTCCATTCGTAGCGTGGCGCGATGCACAGGTCCGCGCTGCACGGTGCTGGACCAAACCGTGATGGGCTCTGCGCTCTCCACGCGCAGCTACACCCGCCTGGGATCTTCGTTCTCCGTCTTCGGCACGACGACGATCCAGAAGATGGCAAGCGTTTTGGACACAACGCTCTTGGGCTCTAGCCTTTCCTTGCGGAAAGTGGGACGCTTCGCAAGCGAACTGAGTGCCTGCGACTTCTTAGCCCTGGGCAGCACCCTGTCGTTGCGCCAGACCTTCCGCCAAAGCGATACGATGCTCTCAATCGCCGGTCGTTCGCTTTGCTCGACGCGAAACTACGTCAGCGTGCAAGACTCTCTGCACTTGGGCAGCTCCATGTCCGTGCGCAGTGTGCTCCGCTGCGGCAGCGCCGTTTCGGTCTACGACTGGGCACATCTGGGCTCCGCTGTGAGCATGCGCGCGGCCTTCCAGATTGGCAGTGGATTATCCGTGTTCGGCCGCAACCGCCAAGTGACGCAGATTGGAGCTACCTTGTCCGTTTTGGCTGCCATCGAGCTGGCCTCCAGTTTCTCGGTGCGCAGCTTCGCCAGGTTTGGTTCTAGTCTCAGCACTTTACAGTTCGTGCAGCTCGGCAGCAACCTGTCGCTGCGGGCCTCGGCTCGTCTCGGCAGCTCCCTCAGTGTGCTCGAGCGACTCTGCAATAAGGCGTGCGTCAGTCTCCTTGACTGCTTCCACATCGGAAGCTCGCTCAGCGTGCGCGCATTGACGCAAGTGGAGCAGGGCTGCTCCATTTTGGATGCCTCCTACTTGGGTTCCATGCTCTCCTTGCGCACCTTCATGCGCATCGGAAGCAGCCTTTCGGTACGTGACAGCACCGTTCGCACTGGCGCGTCCTTCAGCGTCGCACACTCGGCGCACTGCGCTCGTATGGGAAAACAAGTTTCGATTTTGGATGCCACGTTCTTCGGCTCCTCGCTCTCGATCCGATCGCGAACTGAGGTGTCCAAGAACCTGAGCGCCTTGCACTTCTGCACGCTGAGCAGCAGTTTGAGTCTGCGCAGCTTTGTTCGATTCGGATCACAGCTCTCGGTGTGCGGACTGATCGAGCAATTTGGCTCTCTGCAAGCCTTATCAGTCTTAGATGGTGCCAACTGCGCCAGCACGATGTCTGTGCGCTCTGTCGGCAGGTTCGGAAAGCACGTTTCGGCCCTGGACTTCGTCCAACTCGGATCCGCTCTGAGCTTGCGTGGCTTCGCCTATCTTGGCAGCCGCTTGAGCGCGTGCAGTGAGGTGAACGCCGGAGCACGTTTGTCGGTGCTTGCTTTGCACACGTTGGGCAGTTCTTGCTCAGTGCGCGGCGTTTCGAGATTCGGTTCTCAGATGTCGTTGCTCTGCATGAGCGCGTTGGGATCCGCTCTATCCATCCGTAGCTACGCACGGTGCGGCAGCGCGGTCTCCTGTGTGTCTACGTTGACCAAACTCGAGTCTAGGCTTTCGGTAATGCAGCAGGTGACGCTCGGATCCTCAGTCTCGGTGCGCAGCTTCACATCGCGGTCCACGATTTCTGGACAAGTGAGCGTTCTAGACTATTTGCGGCTCGGATCTTCTTTGTCGATGCGATCCACAGCACGTGTTGGCAGCGGCCTAACCGTTCTGGACTTCCTCCACGTCGGCAGTTCGTTGTCTCTGCGCGCCAGCTGTCGGCTCTCGAGCGCGCTCTCCGTGTTCGGACCACAGGTGCGCTTGGGTGGTCAGAGCCACGTTGTTTTGAGCATCGTAGACCAAGTCAGCTTGGGATCCAGCCTTTCGATTCGCCAGATTGTCAAGTTCAGCCAAGACGCCAGCATTGTGGACTTCTTGCACTTGGGCAGCACGCTCAGCATCCGCGGCGTCGCCCGTTGCGGCTCCGCCGTGAGCGTGTTGAGCCAGGCCTGCTTCGGTAGCAACTTCTCTTTGCGCAGCTTCGTCAGGGTCGGCAGCGTGTGCAGCGTCACGGGTCGCTACTTCGGCAGCACAGACACTCAACTCAGTATCATGGACGCGGCTGCACTCGGCAGTTCTCTGTCGGTGCGATCCTTCTCGCGGTTGTCCAGTGCCATGTCCTTGGTTGACTACCTGAACTTGGGCAGCACGTTGTCGCTCCGCAGCTTCTCGCGTGCAGGTTCCAGCTGCTCCGTAGCTGGAAGAGTGCGTTTAGGCAGCGTTGTGTCCATGTCCGTGATGAATTGGATCCACATTGGCAGTTCCGTCAGCGTTCGATCCTTTGTCCGTCTCGGGGAAACCTGTTCGCTGCTGGACCAATTCCAACTTGGCGCCGCTCTGTCGCTCCGCAGCCACGCTCGTGCGGGCAACCAGATGTCGGTGCTGCAATATTGCCACTTGGCTTCGCAACTGAGCATGAGGTCCTACACGAAGATGGGAAGTTCGCTTTCCGCTCTGGATGCCATTGCGTTGGGCTCCAGCTTCTCGGTTAGGGCCTTTGGGCGCTTCGGGTCTACCGCAAGCGTCCAGGACTTCTTCCAGATCGGAAGCAGCATTTCTCTCCGCGCCGCCTTGCGGTTTGGCAGTGGCTTGTCGGTCCATGTCGCAGCTGGATCGCGCGTCTACACACGATTGGGCGTCGCAGCGTCCGTTCTGGACTGCTTGCTGTTGGGAAGCGCGATTTCGGTGCGCCAAATGATCAAGCTGGGCGCGAACTTGTCCGTTCTGTCCTTCGCTAGCTGCGGCAGCAGCTTGTCGGTAAGGACGTTGATGCGATTGGGCAGTTGCTTGTCCACTGCGCAGAACTTCGGTATTGGAGGTGGCATGATTAGCATCTCCGATCACCTGCACGTTGGCTCAGCACTCTCTTTGCGCAACTACTGCGTCGTTGGCGGCAAGTTGAGCTGCTTGGACTACTTGACGATTGGCAGTAATCTGAGTCTCCGAGCCTACATTCGCTTGGGCTCCGCTTTGTCCGCCTACGGTCGAGCGCAAGTTTCTGCACCCCAAAAGCAAATGAGCGTCACGCAGAGCATCGAACTCGGATCCTCCCTGAGCGTTCGCATGTACGTGCGTGCCTCTCCAGCATCCCTGTTGGACTACATGCAGTTGGGCAGCTCGTTGTCTCTGCGAACAGCCACCCGCATCGGACAAGCGATTCAGCAGGTGACTAGTCTCCGCATGGCTGGAGAGATGGGATCCTGCTTGTCCGTCCGCGGCGTCGCAAGACTCGGCAGCATCCTCTCGATCTTCGGTCGTACGCTTGTGGGGTCGTCCGTTTCCGTTCTGGACAGCATTCTGATTGGCAGTTCAATGAGCATGCGGTCGATCGGACGTTATGGAGCCAAACTTTCGGTCCTAGACTTCCTGCAGATCGGCAGTTCTATGTCGCTCCGCTGTGGTGCGGCGTTTGGCTCTTGCCTGAGCGTGTACAGCCAAGTGCGACTAGCTTCCCATGCTTCCGTGATCGACACGTGCCAGCTCGGCAGCTCGTTGTCTTTACGCGTGAACACGCGTTTCGGCGAGAAGCTTAGCATGCTCGAGTTCATGACTCTGGGCAGCAGCTTGTCCGTGCGGTTGACGCAGTGCGGCGCACGCGCTTCGCTGTGCGACTTCTTGCAAGTGGGCAGCTCCATGTCCTTGCGCAGTTTCTCGAGACTGGCTTCTGGAATGAGCGTGGTGCGCGCAGCACGGTTGGGCGACACCCTGAGCGTGATTGACTGCGTGCAACTAGCTAGCAGCTTGAGCGTCCGCAACATGGGACGCTTCGGCTCGGCCCTGAGCGTTTTGGACAGCTCCTTCTTCGGCAGCACCTTGTCTCTACGATCAGTCTCTAGACTCGGCAGCACCTTGTCCGTGTTTTCCAAGACGGCGCAGGACATGTCCATGTCCATCCTGGACTACAGCAACCTGGGCAGCAGCTGCAGTCTGCGCAGCTTCACGCGCCTTGGATCAGCGACTTCGATCTTCCGGGAAACGAAGTTTGGCTTGCAACTGTCCATTCTGGATTCGATTACCCTGGGTTCTTCGCTCTCCATCCGCGGACGCGCCACGAAGTTCGCACACCAGCTGAGCACATTCGACTTCTCGACGGTCGGCTCTGCAGTTAGCCTCCGCGGCTTCGCTAGACTGGCTAGTTCGCTGTCGGTGGTCAACACCTACCGTCACGGCGGACCAAGCACTATCACGACTGCTGTCGTTTCTGTGGGCTCCAGCTCTCGCTTTGGATCGACTTGTAGTGTTTTGGGCCACGTTGCGCTCGCGTCGTCACTCTCCCTAAGGTCGTTCGCGCGCTTCGGTGCCGAGCTGTCCGCAGTGGATGCCACGTCGTGCGGCAGCGCCCTCTCGGTTCGCGCCTTTACGCGGTTTGGCTCTACGTTCTCCGTCGTCGGCGTGGCGCTCTGCGGCGCTCCGATCTCGGTGATTCAGCAAACAACAATCGGCAGCTCCATCTCCCTGCGCAGCTTCACTCGCGTAGGCGCTAGCCTGTCCGTGGTGAACATGCTCGCGTTGGGCAGCAGCTTTTCGCTGCGTAGCAACCTCAAACTAGTGAAGGACCTCTCGGTGCTGGACGCGATGAGCTTCGGCTCCACGCTGTCCGTCCGCAGCTATCTGCGCCTCGGCAGCGGCATCTCCTGCCAGGGCGCACCGCATAAGAGCTTAGGCGCGCACTTGTCGGTGCTCGACTTCGTGGCGATCGGCAGTTCCTTCAGCGTGCGCAACCAAGCGCAACTCGGCAGCCGGTTTTCGCTACTAGACTACCTTACGTTGGGCAGCAGCGTGAGCACGCGCTCGTATGCGCGCGTTGCTAGCGCATGCTCCGTGATCGGCGACTACGTGCGCATGGGCATGAGCTGCAGCTTGCTGGACTGCCTGCACATCGGCTCGTCCTTGTCCGTGCGCAGCCACGTACGCGTTGGCACGTTGGTTTCTGTGCTCGATTGCGTCACGCTCGGCAGCTCGGTCTCTCTCCGCAGCTATATCCGCATGGGGTCGGCAGTTTCGCTGCTGGACTTCCTCGCGGTCGGCTCTTCCTTGTCCGTGCGCAGCAAGGCGCTCACGCAATTGTACACTTCGGTGTTGAACTTTGCCTGCATGGGATCCAGTGTCTCGCTCCGATGCACCGCTCGTCTCGGCAGCGCTTCTTCCGTGCTGCACTTCGCGCAACTCGGAAGTTCCTTGAGTCTGCGACACGCAGCGACGCGAATCGGCAGTGCCATGAGCGTTCTAGGCATCATGCGCAACTTGGGCTCTTGCATGCGGCTCAGTTTGATCGATTCGCAGACGCTTGGCAGTTCTCTTTCCTTGCGTGGACGAAGAGGGGAACTTGGGCAGACCTTCTCCTTGGTAGACTGCCTGCACTTGGGGTCCACACTGTCGCTTCGCAGCTTCACGAGGATTGGATCTGCCGCTTCGGTGCAGGGTCAAACCCGCGCTTACGGTGCCACGTCCCTCCTCGAGCAGACGCACTTGGGCAGCAGCCTTTCTGTCAGATCGATGGCTCGCCTCGGCAGCTGTCTTTCAGCAGTGGACTTTCTGCATCTGGGAAGCTCTCTGAGTCTGCGCTCAACGGCGCGGTTTGGAAGCGCGCTTAGCGTCTTGGACTACGTGCTGACCGGTAGCTCATGCTCGGTGCGCTCTTGCGCCCGCTGTGGCTCCACCTTCTCAGTGTTGGGCAAGTGCCGGGTGCTTGGCGGACGCACGCTTTCGCTGCTCGACTTCGCAGAATTAGGGAGTTCTATCAGTGTGCGCACCTTCGCAAGGCTCGGATCCAGTTTGTCCGTTCTCGACTACGCGACGCTGGCAAGCACGATGTCGCTCCGCGCCTTCGTACGCACTTCGGAGGCGAGCCACGGCCTCAGCCTCCTCTACGCGGTTGAGCTCGGCAGCTCTCTGTCCCTGCGTAGCTTCGCACGTTGCGGCTCCGCCACTTCGGTGCTCGATGCAATCGGAATGGGCAGCTCCTTGTCTCTCCGCAGCTTCCTGCGCTTGAACAGCACCGTGTCTATGCTCGGGTTGCAGCAGAACGTAGGCAGCTGCTACGCATTGTCCATCCTGGATCACTTCCACCTGGGCTCCAGCATCTCGGTGCGCAGCTTCGTGCGCCTGGCCAGCAGCGTTTCGGTCCTCGACGCGCAACACTTAGGTTCCGCGGTCTCGCTGCGAACCTTCGTGCGCCTTGGCAGTACCGTGTCCATCCTGCGCGCCCAGCGGATCGGACAAAGCATGAGCGTCCTCAACTACGTCGAACAGGGTTCGAGCTTGAGCTTGCGCAGTTTTGCGCGCTTCGGCTCCAAGATGAGCTCTCTGGACTTCTTCCACCTCGGAAGCTCCTGTTCTCTGCGCGCCTATGCCCGCATGGGCAGCACCATGTCTGTGGTGAACGTCGCCGCAGGTGGTGAGCACTTCTCCGTGTTGGACGTTTTCACACTGGGCAGTTCCGTGAGCGTGCGCAACTTGGCGCGCTTGGGCAGCTGTCTCAGCCTGGTCGACATGGTCCAGTTCGGCAGCAGCATCAGCGTGCGCAGCGTGATGCGCATTGGTAGTGCAGCGTCGATGCTCAACTTTGCGCATTGCGGATCCTCACTTTCGCTCCGCGCCTGCGCACGAGCCGGTAGCGGCGTTTCCGTTCTCCATCCGGTAAGAGTCGGTGCCGCCATGAGCGTTCTCGCTTTCGCCAACCTCGGATCCTCGTTGTCGGTGCGTAGCTACGGACGCTTCGGTAGTCGTTGCTCGGTCTTGAGCTTCGCCTTCATGGGCTCTACACTCTCGGTGAGGGCTCACACGCGGTGCGGCAGCTCGTTCTCCACGTTCGGCATGGGCGGCTTTGGAAGCTACTTCAAAGCCTCGATCCTCCAGTTCACGACACTCGCAAGTTCGGTGTCCCTGCGCGTCTTCGGCCGTTTCGGCGAACGCATCAGCGTCTTTGACCGGTTCAACCTAGGCAGCTCTCTGTCGTTGCGCAGCTACGCCCGTTGCACGAGCACTCTCTCCTGCTTCTCGACTACGCGTGGTGCGGAGGCCATCTCGGTGTTGAACTTCATCACTTTGGCGAGCTCCCAATCCTTGCGACACTTCGCGACCACCAGTAGCAAGCTCTCGTTGCTCGACTACTACGCCATTGGGTCTTCCATCTCCGTGCGCAGCCACGTGAGAATGGGCAGCAGCCTGTCGGTCTTGAACTACGTGGCGACCGCAAGTTCTCTGTCCCTGCGCGCGTTCACGCGCCTGGGGAGCAGTTTGAGCGTCCTCGGACTGTTCTTGACGAGCAGCGTGCAGAAACTGTCCATCGTCGCTGCGGTGGAACTTGCTAGTAGTGTGAGCCTGCGCCGCTACGCCCGCTTCGGCGAGCGCTTGTCGGTTGCAGACTACATCGCCTACGGAACGTGTCTTTCATTGAGACACTTTGCTCGCATTGGCAGCACCCTGTCGGTGCACGGAACCACCATGATCGGCTCTTGCATGCAGACCAGCGTGATGCACAAGATCTTGCTGGCTTCCTCCATGTCGCTGCGATCCTTCGCACGGCTAGGTGAAAAGTTGTCGATTCTCAACTTTTTGCACATGGGATCGAGCCTTTCGGTACGTGTGTGCATGAAGATGGGTGAAGCGTTATCCGTTGTGGACTGCGCAAGCCTCGGCAGTTCCCTGTCGCTGCGGTCGACCACGCGTTTGGGCAGTGCTACATCGGTCTTGCACTTCGTGGAGATCGGCTCGTCTCTCAGTGTCCGCTCCATTGCAAGGCTCGGCAGCATGGTCTCGGTCTTGGATGCTTCGCACTTGGGCAGCACGATTTCAGTGCGCGCATACGCACGTCTCGGATCGATGTTCAGCGTCACAGGCCTAGTCCGCTTTGGCAGCGCGTTCGAGCTGAGCGTCATGCACAGTGTAGAACTCGGATCTGCGCTTTCGGTTCGCAGCTTCCAACGCCTGGGCGCAAACTGGAGCGTTGTGAACTACGTGCACTTGGCGAGCAACTTGAGCTTGCGCCAGTTCGTGCGCCTGGCGAGCGCGATGTCGGTGTACGGCGGCAGCGTAGCGAAGACGCAGGTGGGCGACAAGCTGAGCGTCATGGACTGCTTGTGCTTGGGCTCCTCCTTGAGTTTGCGGTCCACGGCTCGCGTCGGCGGCATGTGCTCCGCGCTCGACAGCACCAGCTTGGGAAGCTCCTTGTCGCTGCGGTCCACCTGCCGATTCGGCAAGCACTTCTCTGTCATTGACTTCTTGAGTCTGGGCTCTACAATGAGCATGCGCAGTCGCACCAAGTTCGGCAGTTCCTGTTCCGTGCTCGATTTCGTGCACTTCGGATCCGCGTTGAGTTTGCGCTACTACAGCCGCTGCGGCAGCAGTTGCAGCATTCACTCCTTGATCCGGCAGGTCGGCAGCTGCTATAAACTGAGCATGTTGGACAGCGTGACCGTGAGCAGCAGTTTTTCGGTCCGTTCCTTCACGCCGTTCGGTGCCACCTTGTCAGTGCTGAACTACGCGCAGATGTCCTCTTCGCTCTCGGTGCGCGCCGCGAGCCGCATTGGCTCTTCCATCTCACTAAGCGGTCGCCACTTCTTCCAGGAAGACAAGCTGAGTGTCCTCAACTTCGTCCACATCGGCTCTGCGATCTCGGTCCGCAGCTTCACCAGTCTGGGATCCCGCTTAAGCACCCTCGACCACCTGCAGATGGGCTCGGCGTGCTCTCTGCGCTCGTTCACGCGCGTCGGCAGTTCGTGCTCTCTCGTCGGCCAAATCCGATACGCCAAGAACTTCCGCTTCCACGTCAGTGTGGTGGACCAATGCTTGCTGGGATCCTCCTGCTCCGTTCGCAGCTACGCCAGACTGGGCTCCGCGTGCTCGGCTCTGGACTTCATCCACGCAGCTTCGTCCATTTCTCTGCGTAGTTTTGCGAGACTCACCAGTAGTTGTAGCGTCTTCGCGCACTTCAAGATCGCCTCCACATTGTCGACGTTCGACTACATGGCTTTAGGTAGCAGCTTTTCTGTGCGCGGCTTTGGCCGCTTCGCGGATCGCATGTCGATCTTAGACGCCAGTGCTCTGGGAAGTGCATTGTCGCTTCGGGCATTGGTGCGCTGCGGATCAAGCTATTCGATCACGAGCAGCGCCAACGGCTTGCTAGGAGCCAGACTGTCTTTGCTTGGCTTTGCCCAGTTGGGCTCGTCTCTCTCTGTCAGAGGAACAGCAAGATTGTGCAAATCGCTGAGCATCTTGCAGTACACGCACTTCGGCAGCAGCGTCAGTTTGCGGAACGTGTGTCGAGCCGGCAGCTGCTTGTCCGTGCAGGGCACGCACGCGCGTTTTGGTACGCGGATGTCAGTGATCGACATGGTCAATCTAGGATCCGCTTTAAGCGTGCGTGCTCACGTACGCCTTGCCGGTCACAAGTCGGTGCTAAACTTCGTGCACGTGGGCAGCACGCTGTCGTTGCGTAGCTACTGCCGCTTGGGCAGCAACCTCTCTGTGCAAGGATTGACGCACTTCGGCGACAAGGGCATGTTCTCTCTGTCGGTGATCGACTTTGTGCATCTCGCTTCGGCCATGTCCATGCGCGCATTCGGACGCTTCGGCTCCCGTGTTAGCGTTTTAGACGCAACCCACGTTGGCAGCTGCGTTTCTTTGCGTACCTTCCAGCGCTGCGGAAGCACTTTGTCCGTCCTGAGCCTGGTCAGGGCTGCAGACAGCTTCTCCGTGCTCAACTTCACCAACCTCGGGAGCTCGATCTCGGTGCGGGGTCGCGTAGCGCGGTGCGGCAGCGGCATTTCGGTCTTCGACTTCGTCGGCCTCGGCTCTGGCTTGTCGATCCGAACTCATCTCCGAATCGGATCCGCGCTCAGTTGCACTGGCTGCTTCCGTTTCGGCAGTTTGCACGTACTTTCTTGTGGCGCTAACGCCATTCTCGCAAAAGATTGCAGTGTGGCCAACCGCGTGGAACTGGTTGATGGCTTGTCCGTCTACGACTACTTCCAGGCAGGCAACACGCTCAGTGTCCGTTCCCCCGCAAAGTTTGGCAATCGACTCTCCGTCTTGGAGGAAGCATCCTTTGGTAGTTCATTCTCAGTTCGTGCGATGACGAGACTCGGAAGTTGCATGTCGATTGCCGGTGGCATTGTGATTCCTCGAGAATTCTCCGTTACCATGACGTGCTTCATGGGAAGCAGCTTGTCGATGCGCAGCTTCTTGCGAGTGGGCTCCCGTATCAGCTTCCTGGACTTCTGCCACTTGGGAAGCAGTTTTTCGCTAAGACAGTTTGCGTCACTCGCAAGCGGTTTTTCAGCGTGCGCGGCTCAGCCTAGCGACAAAAAGTTCCAGCTCGCAGGACGTGCGGGACAACCGGCATTATCGATCATTTCGCAGACGGAACTCGGCAGCAGCTTGTCTATGCGGTCCAGATGGCGGTACACAACGAAACTGAGCGTCCTAGACCACCTGCTGATGGGAAGCGTGTTGTCTTTGCGGCAGTACATCCGCTGCGGCAGTGCGCTGAGCATCACAGGATGCGGAATCGCGCAGAGCAAACTCTCGGTGGTTGACGCCGCGTTTTTGGGATCGGCGTTGAGCGTGCGTGCGATGTGCCGCGTCGCTGGTGGAAGACCTCACGGCTGCCACTCGATTCTCAACTTCATGGCCCTGGGCTCGAGCCTGTCTCTCCGCGAGGTCGCAAGATGCGGCGCAAGCGTGAGTGCTCTGGACTTCGCGTCTTTGGGCAGCACCTTGAGTTTGCGCTCCTGCCTGCGCTTGGGCAGCGCGTTCAGCGTGAAACTGGGATTCAACATTGGATACCAGCTTTCGTTGCTGGACAGCAAGCACTTGGGCAGCGGTGTCAGTCTGCGTTCCTTCGCACGTGTGGGCAGTGCCTTCTCCGTTCTAAGCAGCGTGCAGATTCGCGCCTCCGCTAGCTTGTTGCAACACTGCACGATCGGCAGCAACCTGTCTTTGCGTGGCCAAGTACGATGCGGCAACATGGTCTCTGTGTTGCAGTACGCCTGCCTCGGCAGCAGCGTGTCCCTCCGCGCCTTCGCACGGCTGGGCTCCGGCCTTTCGACCTTCTCGCAGATGAGCCAACGCCGCACCACCAACTTGGGCTGCAAGCTCACAGTGTTGGACGTGGTGCATCTAGGAAGCAGCGTCTCGCTGCGAGGCATACACGCACGTCTCGGAGAGCACGTTTCGGTCCTTGGTTTCCAGAGCATTGGCAGCAGCATGAGTTTGCGCCAGTTCGTTCGCTACGGCGCGAATCTGAGCGTCTTCGACTTCGCGCACCTGGGCTCCAACCTGTCGCTCCGCGAAAGCTGCCGATTAGGCAGCAGCATGAGTTTGTACACCGGCGCCTCGGGGTCGCACATGAGCGCTTGTCTCAGCGTGCTCCGCCACTGTGCACTGGGCTCAGCTTTGTCCGTGCGAGGCCTCGGACGGCTCAGCGCGAGTCTGAGCGTGGTAGACTCGGTCACCCTAGGAAGCTCGCTCTCGATGCGCAGCTTCGGTCGTGGCTGTGGCGCTTGCACCGCGTTTTCGATCGCGGATATGTCGAATCTGGGCAGCTCGCTCAGTGTGCGGCAGTTCTCGCGACTCGGTAGTTCGGTGAGTGTGCGGGGCCTGTGGCAGAACCACTTGGGAAGTTGCTTCAACTTGTCCGTCGTGAACGCGGTAGAGCTCGGCAGCAACCTATCTCTCCGCAGTCGGTTCCAACTTGGGGAGAAGCTTTCGGCGCTCAGCTTCGCCTCGGTCGCGAGTGCCTGTTCGGTGCGTTCCTTCGCACGGTTCAGCGACACTTTGTCGATGCTGTGCGGCATTCACTTGGGCAGCAGCCTTTCGGTGCGGTCCTTCATGCGCGCGGGCAGCAACTTGAGCTGCTTCGGCATGTTCCGTTGTGCGTCCTTGGGTACGCTCTCGGTGGTCACGCAGGCGGAACTGTCCTCGACATTGAGTCTTCGCAACATGTCTAAGGTAGGACATCGTTGCTCGGTTTTGAACTACTTCCAACTGGGCTCGAGTTATTCCATTCGCGCGTTCGCGCGCCTCGGATCCTCGCTCTCGGTCATGGGCGTGACGGTTCTCGGCTCCGTGCGCAAGGTGTCGGTGCTGAGCTACTTGACGTTGGGCAGCTCCTTGTCCGTGCGCCAGAGCACGCGATTTGGATCCAACTTGTCAGTGCTGAACTTCGGCGTCTGCGGCAGCTCCATCTCGCTCCGGTCCTTTGGGCGTTTGGCCAGCATGACCTCGATCCTGGACGCCCTGAACTTCGGTAGCGCGTGTTCCATGAGAACCTTCATGCGCATCGGCAGTGGTGTCTCCGTGTGCTCGCGCACCCGGCTCGCAGCTTCGGTCTCCGTGCTGGACGCTATTGCGCAGGGAAGCTCGATGAGCCTGCGCGCCTACGCCAAACTGGCCCAGAGCATGAGCGTCTTGGACTTTGCGCAGACCGGAAGTGGAATGTCGCTTCGATCTTTCGTTCGTCTCGGCAGTTCCTTCAGCGTGTTCGGCAAAGCGTGGCTCTCCTCGATCAACAAGCTTTCTGTTGTGGGCTGCGTGAATCTGGGCTCTAGTTGCAGCGTGCGCAGCATCGGCCGATTCGGTTCCCGATTCTCGATGCTGTGCAACGCTGCGGTCGGCTCGGCGTTGAGTGTGCGTGCCTTTGTGCGCATGGGCTCCGGCCTCAGCGTCTTCAAGGGTCCGAACTGTGCGGGAGCGCGTGTTTCGGTGCTCAGCTTCCTTCTGTTGGGGAGCTCGTTGTCCGTGCGCGCCTCGGCGAACATCGGCTTCGGCGGCGCCTCCGCGCTCAGCTTCGCGCACCTCGGCAGCAGTTGCTCTGTACGCGCGTTTGTCAGGTCCGGGGCAAAACAGTCTGTGCTGGACTCCTCGACCCTCGGCAGCAGCTTGTCATTGCGTTCATGGGTGCGACTGGGCAAATGCATGTCCACACTCGACTTGGTGGACCTCGGCAGCGCCTGCTCGCTCCGCAGCTACACGCGCTTCGGCAGTGCCTTAAGCATTTATGCAACTGGCGTGTTAGCGGGAAGCAGTAACAAACCAAGCAGCCTCAGTGTGCTGGACTACGTGCAGACCAGCAGCAGCTTCTCTGTCCGCTCCTGCATGCGTTTCGGCAGCTCCATGTCGGTGATTGACTTCACCCACATGGGCTCTAGCCTGTCACTGCGCCTCTTCGCGCGCCTCGGCAGCTCGCTCTCGCTGGTTGGGCTTGCAACTCTGGGTTCCTGCCAAACGTTATCCATCATTGACCGCACCACGCTCAGCTCGAGTTTGTCGATGCGCTCGTACTGCCGCTTGGGCCGACACTTGTCCGTGATGGACGCCATGGCGTGTGGTTCGGTGATCAGCTGTCGCAGCTACGCGCGGTTGGGCTCCGCCGCGTCGGTCCTAGGCTCAGCTCGTCTCGCGGCCGACCTCTCGGTGCTGGAGTTTGTGAACCTGGGCAGCTCGGTGTCCATGCGACAGCACGCAGCCCGCCTCGGCGAGAAGTGCAGCGTCCTGAACATGGTCACTTTGGGCAGCTCGTTCTCCGTGAGGAGCGTCGCACGACTCGGATCTAAGCTGTCCGTGATCCAGTTCGTCCACCTCGGTAGTTCCTTGTCCCTCCGCGGCCAGCCCGGTTCCCGTTTGAACTTGTCTCGCACGGTGTCCGTGCTGGACTTCTCCGGATGCGGAAGCGCGCTTTCGCTTCGCAGCTTCGCACGCTGCGGCAGCAACATCAGCGTGAAGGGCACAGTCACCCTGTCGTCGATCATCGCGGTGAGCGTCGTGTCCTTCGGACACTTGGGTAGCAGTTTTTCGGTTCGCGCCTTCGCCAAGATGGGCTCTTGGGCGTCCATCCTGGGTTTCGCAACCTTAGGCAGTGGCCTCTCGGTTCGCAACTGCGCTCGCATTGGCAGTAGGGTGAGTATCTGGAGACAGGCTCGCATTGGACTTGACTGCTCCGTCTTGTCGCACGTGAACATTGGGTCTTCCATGTCGTTGAGGTCGCAGGGCCGTCTCGGCAGCGCTTGTTCCGTGTTATCGTATTCGGCGATCGGCAGCGCGCTTTCCCTCCGCAGCTTCGCGCGCGTCGGCAGCGCCTGCAGCGTGCGTGGCATAGTCACCGTTGGTTCCGTCCTCCGCATGTCCGTACTCCACGCGACGACCATGTCTAGCTCCCTTTCCATGCGTAGCTTCGCGAAGCTCGGCAGCCAAATGTCGGTCCTCGAATTTGCGAACTTGGGAAGTTCCTTGTCCGTGCGATCGTTCTTTGCGAAGTTTGGATCGGCAATGAGCGTCTTCGACGCGCAGACGTTGGGAAGCTCCTTATCTCTGAGGTCGTCTTCGCGCCTCGGCAGCAGTATGTCCGTGGCCAGCCACTTGATGGGTAGTGACATGTTCTCTACCCTGAGCCACGTGCGCCTGGCCAGCAGTTTGTCGCTGCGGTCGCACGCACGATCCGGCAGCAAGGTCTCCGTGCTCAGCTTCAACATCTTGTCGAGCAGCGTCTCTTTGCGATCCTTCAGTCGCGTTGGCTCCACCCTGAGCATTACCGGCTACTCCATGTTGGGAAGCATCTGCAAGCTGTCGGTGCTGCACCAGTCGGAGCTGGGCAGCAGCGTTTCGCTGCGCTCCTTCTTGCGCTCCGGACACCGCTTGAGCGTGTTGGACCTGATCTCCCTTGGCTCCAGCATGAGCGTCCGCAATTTCGCGAGACTCGGCAGCAGCTGTTCCATCTACGCCGGCGCGAGCCCGCTGTTCCAGGGCAGCGAAGCCTCGAAGCGCGAGTCTTTGTCGGTGTTGAACTACGTTTCCTTCGGTAGCTCCTTGTCCACGAGGTTCGCAAACCGATTCGGCGAAAGATTGTCTATCCTGGACAGTGTCAGCTTCGGCTCTAGCTTGAGTGTGCGCTCGTTTGTCAGACTGGGCAGCACCGCAACGGCTGTCGGAGGCGTCCAGAGCTTTGGATCGCTTGCGCGCATGTCCATCATAGGAACAGTGAATCTAGGTTCGTCGTGTTCGATTCGGGCTTTTGCTAAGATGGGCAACCGTTTGTCGGTCCTGGACTCCGTGACCTTGGCCTCCTCCTGCAGCGTGCGGTCCTTCTCCAGGTTGGGCGCACTCTCCGTGCTCAGCTTCTCGCAGCTGGGTAGCAGCTTCTCCGTGCGCAGCTCGGCAAGCGTGGGCATGGCCACGAGTATTATGCAGTTCTGCCACGTGGGATCCTCCTTGTCGCTCCGCAACCAAGCCAGGCTCGGAACAAACCTTTCCGTGTTGAACTTCGTGAAAGCCAGCAGCTCCATGTCTCTGCGCAGCTACATGAGGTTTGGTTCCGCTTTGTCGGTGCTCGACTTCACCACGCTTGGCTCCTCGTTGTCCTTGCGCAGCTTTGGCCGTGTGGGCAGCACAGTGAGCGTGCGTGGCGCCGTGATGTGCGGTGGCATGAACGAACTGTCCGTTGTGCGTTGCGTGCACCTGGGCAGCTCGCTGTCGGTGCGAACCTTCGCCAGACTCTCCTCGTGCATCTCCGTATTGCAGTTCACGCATGTGGCGTCCTCCATGTCCTTGCGCGCCATGGCCCGCATTGGCAAGCACGCCTCGTTCTTGGACTTCACCGCCCTCGGCAGCGGCTGCAGCATGCGCAGCTTTGCCCGGTTCGGCAGCGCCCTTTCGGTGCTGAACTACGCCAGCTTCGGATCCAGTATTTCGTTGCGCAAGTTCATGCGCAGCTCCAGTGCGTTGTCGGTATACGGTTCCGACACCGTTCTGCAGCGGCAAGCCAGCATTCTCGACTACCTGGTCCTCGGCTCCTCGCTCTCCGTGCGCAGCACCGCAACCTTCGGAAGCCGTTTGAGCGTGCTGGACGCGATTCAACTCGGAAGTACGCTTTCGCTACGAGCGTTTGCGGGTCTCGGCAGCAGCGTGTCCGCGTACGCGGGTCACGGAAGGTTGGGCAAGTGCTTGAGCGTTTTGAACTTCGCGCAGCTGGGCAGCGGCATTTCCGTCCGCAGCGGCGCACGCCTCGGCATGGAGATGAGCGTCCTCAGCTTCATGTCGCTCGCTTCGAGTATTTCGCTCCGCAGCTGTTCTCAGTTCGCTTCGAACGCGTCCGTGCTGGACTTCGTCGGAGTGGGCAGCTCGCTGTCCGTTCGCAGCATCACAAGGTTCGGGAAGGCCCTCAGTGTGCTGGAATTCGTCCACTGCGCCAGCGCGTGCAGCCTGCGTTCTTTCGTGCGCATGGGCTCCACTCTGTCTGTACAAGGCATCGTCGCGTGCGGATCCTGCCAGCACGTGAGTATCATCCAATACGTGCAGTGCGGAAGCGCGCTCAGTTTGCGCCAGTTCGCGCGCCTGGGCCACGGCGCCTCCATCATGGCCTTCGCAAGTCTTGGCTCCACGCTCAGCATTCGCGGACGTCGCGGTGCCTGCGGTGCGCAGTTCTCGGTGCTGAACTACATGTCGCTCGGCAGCTCCTTGTCGGTCCGCAACGCCGGTAGAGCTTGTGGCGCGAGTCCGCTCTCGGTGCTTGATACCTTCTGCATCGGCAGCAGCCTCTCCGTCCGCTCAACGGCTTTCGGTGGCAGCAACGCCTCGGTGCTCAGCTTCGCGAACTTGGGCAGCGGCTGCAGTTGCCGTAGTTTCACGCGACTTTCTGACGCGCTCTCCACTCTGGACACCATGGCGTTGGGCAGCTCTCTGTCGCTCCGCAGCTTCCAGAGACTCGGCAGTTCAATGTCAGCCCGTGGCGCTCTGGCTCTGTCCTCTGGCGTACGCTCGGCTTCCGTAATCTCCTACGCAAATCTCGGCAGCTCGCTTTCGTTGCGCTCGTCCGCCAAGATGTGCGGCTTCCTGTCTATCCTAGACTGCGCTCATCTCGGCAGCACCGTCTCGGTGCGCCAGATGCTGCGCTGCGGCAGCGCGTTCTCGGTCTACGCCTTCCGCACGGATGCGGCTGGCGAACTGTCGGTTCTCGATCAATGCAAGATTGGGAGCGGAATTTCTCTGCGCAGTTTCGCGCGCTTCTCGAAGTGCCTCTCTGTGCTCAGCTTCACCCATTGCGGCAGCAGTTTGAGTGTGCGCACGTTTGCACGTCTCAGCAGCGGCTTGTCGGTGGCACCGGCATCGACGATGAAGAACGTGTTGCAAACGAGCTCGGCCTCGGTGCTCAGCTACCTGCGCCTGGGCAGCGCACTCAGTCTCAGAGGCGCGTACGTGAAGGCCAGCAACAGCATGAGTGCTTTGTCGTTCGTGACCATCGGAAGCAGCATCAGCGTTCGCGGCGTCGCGCAGAAGCTCTCCAGCCACTTGAGCGTGCTGGACAGCGTTCGCATGGGTTCCTGTTTCTCGGTGCGTTCCGTGGCACGCTTCGGAAGCGCGATGTCGGTCTTGCCGTTCGTCCACTTGGGATCTAGTGTGAGCCTCCGCGCCTTCACCCGGGCGGGCTCCAGCCTCAGCGTCATCGGCGTGATGGGCATCGGCAGTTGCCAAGCCATCTCGGTGGTGCACATGACTCAGCTTTCGTCTTCGATGTCCTTACGCAGCTACGCGCGCCTCGGCAGCCGCGTTTCCGTGCTCGACTACCTGCAGTTGGGATCCTCCTTCTCGGTGCGCGCGCACTGCGCGTGCTCTCGCAGCATGTCCGTCTTGAACTACGCACAGATGGGTTCCGCGCTTTCAACGCGCTCCTGCTCTCGCGCGGGCGCGCGACTGTCGGTCTACGACTTGTGCGCGCTCGGCAGCTCGTTGTCAGTCCGCTCGCACACGCGCGTGGCCGGTCACTTGTCGGCGATCGGTGGCTTAGCAGTCAGCGGATCAGTGCTTCAGATGTCTGTTCTCAACACAGTGCGGTGTGGCAGCTCTCTAAGTGTGCGCACGATTTTGCGACACGGCGGACGCGAGGTTTCCGTCTTGGACTTCTTGCAGCTGGGCAGCTCATTGTCCGTGCGCACGCATGGCCGTGTGGGCAGCCGACTCAGCGTGCTCGACTGCTTGCAGATTGGGGCCAGCTGCTCGCTGCGCGCCGCAGCGAAGATGGGGTCCACAGTTAGCATGCTCAACTTCACGGGTATGGGCTCAGTGTTGTCGCTCCGCAGCTTCTTGCGCTGCAGCAGCAGCCTCTCGGTGATTGGGCTCTGCGCTTGCGCATCGGTCTCCAAGGTCAGTCTCTTCGAGAACTGCAACATTGGCAGCTCCCTCAGCTTGCGAGCCTTCACGCGCACGGGCGATCGCCTTAGTGCTTTGCTCTTCGCGCACTGCGGAAGCTCGCTTTCGCTGCGCGCCTTCTCCCGCCTCGGCAGCGGCCTTAGTGCACTGTCGACCGCAGTCGGAGGGGAAAACTTGTCGGCGTTGAGCTTCCTACAGTGCGCCAGCAGCTTGTCGGTGCGCAGCTTCACGAGGTTTGGAAACGCCCTTTCGGTGATCAACTACGTGCAGGCGGGAAGCAGCACTAGTTTGCGCAGCTTCGCACGATTTGGGAGCAGCCTTTCAGTCGTAAGCAGCAGTCGGCTCGCGATGGCCGGCGAGCTCTCCTTGCTCGACAAGGTCACCTTCGGCTCCTCGTTGAGCGTGCGCGGACGCAGCATCCGTTTAGGACAGGGGCACTCAGTGCTGAACTACGTTTCGCTCGGCAGCTGTCTGTCAATGCGCGCCACGGGACGACTTGGAGACGCGCTTTCGGTCGTCTCGTTCGCAACACTGGGATCTACGATCTCTCTCCGCACCACTGCTCGCATCGGCTCCGCATGCTCCGTCCGCGGCATCTGCGCAGTCGGCAGCATCTTGGCGCTGTCGGTGATTGATTCGGCCAACCTCGGAAGCACCTTGTCGGTCCGTGCGCAGTCGCGCTTCGGTTCTCGGCTCAGTGTGCTCCTCGCTTGTGAAGCTGGCTCGTCGCTCTCGCTGCGCGCCTTCGTGCGCTTGGGCTCGCGACTCAGCGTCTTCGACCGACCCGCCAGGGCAGGCGACAGTCTCAGTGCCTTGGACTTCGTGCCGCTTGGATCGAGTTTGAGCGTCCGTTCCAAGACCCCCTTCCGGCGCTCCCTCTCAGTGCTCACCTTCGTCGACGTCGGGTCCTCCGTCAGCTTACGTGCCTTCGTGCGTCTCGGCAGCACAATCAGTCTCGCGGGCCGTGCACAAGAGCACTCGTCGATTTCGGTGTTCGACTTCTTGGCCATGGGCGACGCGGCCGCGAGCATGCGGTCCTACGCGCGCATGGGACACCACGTATCCATCCTGAACATGGTCACGCTCGGCAGCTCTCTCTCCGTGCGATCCACCGTACGGCTTGGCAAGTGTGCTTCGACTGTGGACTTCGTCAACTGTGCCTCGACCTTGTCGGTCAGGTCCTTTGCCCGCTTCGGAGAAACGCTTTCCGTTCTGGACTTCGCAAATGCGGGCTCCTCGATCAGCTTGCGCTCGTTCGCGCGACTCGGTTCCGGTCTCTCGGTAACCGGACTCGCCGCTTGTGCCTCGTTATGCCGCTTATCGGTGATCGACGCAGCGCATTTGGGCAGCAGCATGTCCTTGCGCAGCCGCGTGCATGTCGGACAGGCACTGAGCTCGCTCAGCTTCATGAACCTTGGATCTTCGCTTTCGGTCCGTGGACGCAATCTGGTGTTGGGAAGAAATGCCAGTGTGCTCGACTGCCTCAACCTGGGCAGCTCACTCAGCGTGCGCTTCCCGGGTCGCTGCGGAAGTCGTTTGAGCGTGCTTCATGCACTTCAGATCGGAAGTTGCATGTCTTTGCGCGCCATCTGCCGCTTGGGTAGCGCGTTGTCCGTGAAGGGCGTCCTTGCCATCGGCAGCTTGAACCGAATGTCCGTGATCGAGATGCTACACCTTGGCTCTTCGCTCAGTGTGCGCAGCGGCGCGCGCCTCGGCGACAAAAGCAGCGTACTCAGCTTTGCACATTGCGGCAGCGCGCTTTCGTTGCGTTCCGCAGTTCGCCTCGCCTCCACCTGCAGCCTGCATGCCGTCGCACGGTTCGCGGACAAGCTAAGCGTGATCGAGCAGGTTTCTATCAGCAGCAGCCTCAGCTTGAGGTCCACCACGCGGTTCGGCAGCGCGCTCAGCGTTCTCGAATACGCGAAGATGGGTTCTTCCTTGAGCTTGCGCAGTTACACCCGGTTAGGCAGTGGTCTTTCGCTCACGTTGAGCACGGGACAGACTGGTGTTCGCCTCTCGGTCTTGGACGCGACCACCCTTGGAAGCTCGCTCTCGGTGCGCAACGCGAAGCGCTGCGGCGCTAGATTCAGCGTTCTGGACATGATGGCGCTCGGCTCTGGACTCAGCATTCGGTCCGCGGTCCGCCTCGCGAGCAGCTGCAGCGTGATTGGAACGACGATTCGCTTCGGCAGTAGTTTGAGCATTCTTTCCGGAATGGACGTTGGCTCTTCGCTTTCCCTCCGCACGTTTGTCAGGGTGCAGGATGCGTTCTCGCTGCTGGCGCACGCCGCGATCGGCTCTTCCTGCAGCTTGCGCGCGTGTTCCAGAATCGGCAGCACCTTGTCGATCCTCGCGCCTGGCAGCCAGTCGGGTAGCGGATCGCAGTTCTCTGTGATGAACTATCTGGTGCTCGGTAGCTCCCTGTCTTTGCGTGGTGGGCGCACGATGCAGAGTGGATCGCGGCTCAGCGTTCTGGATTTGCTCCACATCGGCTCGTCCGTGAGCGTGCGCGCACGTTCTACCGCGTACGGCGGAACTTCGCTGTTGCACTTCTTGGAGCTTGGATCCAGCCTTTCTTTGCGGTCACACCAGCGCATTGGCGCCAGTGTCTCGGTTCTTAGCTACGTTGACAGCGGCAGTTCCCTGTCCATCCGACAGGCCGTTCGCATCGGGCGGCACCTCTCGTCCCACGGACTGGCGGCTTGCGGTTCCGCACTGCAGGTCTCGGTGATCCACTGCGCCAACTTGGGCAGCACTTTGTCGATCCGCAGCTTCGGCCGTATGGGTTCGGCACTGTCGGTGCTGAGCTACGTCCAGATCGGCAGCAGTTGCAGTCTGCGCAACGTGGCCAGGCTGTCCAGCTCTCTCTCTGCGGTGGGACCAAACGCACGCTCGAGCAACGCCTTGTCGGTTATCGAGCAAACGCAACTCGGAAGCTCGCTCTCGATGCGCAGCTTCCTCCGCTTCGGTGCGACGTGCAGCGTTCTCGGCTTCGCAACGTGCTCGTCCTCGCTGTCCCTGCGTTCGTACCTGCGTCTCGGCTCCGGGCTTTCGGTGCTGGCGTCCACCACCGGTGGTCTCAGCTGCTCGGTCATGGAGCAGGTGCGACTCAGCAGCTCACTTTCTGTTCGCGCGATCTCCCGCTTGGGCAGGTCCGTGAGCGTCCTGAATATGCTAGCGCTAGGGAGCTCGCTGAGCCTCCGCAACACGCAGAACATGGGTGCAGCGGCGTCCATGCTCCAGTTTGTGCACCTAGGATCCAGCGTGTCGGTGCGCAGCTTCGCGCGCTTCGGAAACTCGTTGAGCACTCTCAACTTCGTGAACATCGGAAGTTCTTGCAGTTTGCGCAGCTTCACACGGCTGGGCTCGAACGTCTCTGTCGTGGGTCTTGCACACCTCGAAGGTGCGGAGGTGCACGCATTGAGCATTCTCCAGCACACAGAGGTGGGGTCCTCACTGAGCATCCGAAGCTTCTCCAGAGCAGGCAGCGTTCTCTCGGTTTTGTCCTTCGTCGGATTGGGCAGCTCGCTGAGCGTGCGTTCCGAGCACGGAGCACGCTTCCGCGCGCAGTTTTCCGTGATTAACTACGTGGCCTGCGGCTCGTCTTGCAGCGTCCGCAGCAGCATCCGACAGGCCGGGCGTTGCTCCAGCTTGATCAACATGCTGGCCTTAGGCAGCACCTTGAGCTTGCGCGCAGTGTCGCGCGTTGGCAGCGCGCTCTCCGTTGCGGGTCTCACAGCCTGCGGATCGCTGTCGCAACTATCGGTGATCGGCAGCGTGAACCTCGGCAGTTCCTTGTCGGTGCGTCACCGCACATCCGCACGCTTCGGTGCGCGCTTGTCGGTGGTCGACTTCCTGACCCTCGGCAGCAGCATTTCCGTACGTCACGGAACGGCGCGTCTGGGCCACGACTGCTCGGTCCTCGCGTACACCAACCTCGGCTCCTCGTTGTCTCTGCGCAGCGCCACGCGATTCGGCAGTGCCTTATCCGTGCTCCGGTTCTCGCACTTCGGCAGCGTCTTGTCTATCCGCAAGTTCTCGCGCATTGGCAGCTCCATGTCGGTGGCCGGACACCAGATCCTTGGATCGCTGCACGCGCTCTCCTTGGTGGGAATGACGAATCTGGGCTCCAGCCTCTCGATGCGCAGCTTCGTCCGCTGCGGCAACGAGCTCTCTGTTCTGCATGCTTCCTGCTTGGGATCGTCGTTGAGTGTGCGACGCTTCGCGCGTCTCGGCTCGGCAGCCTCGTTGTACAAGAGCATGTCTTTGGGGGATGACCTCTCCGTGCTCCTGCACACCGAAGTCGGCAGCAGTCTGTCTGTGCGTGGCGTCTTCGCGGCACGCGGTCTCCGTTCGCTAAGCTTGTTCGACGCGTTGGCGCTGGGCTCTTCATTGTCGTTGCGCAGTTTCGCTCGCAGCGGATCCTCGCTCTCAATCGGAGGCACCGCCACAGACGTGGGCGCCCGTGTGTCGGTGCTCTCCGCAGTGGAGATGGGATCGACGTTCTCGGTCCGTTCCCATGGACGCTTCGGTGCGAAGATGTCCGTCTTGAACTTCGTCACCGTTGGCTCTTCCTTGAGTCTCCGCAGTCAAGCACGCTTCGGCAAGGGCTTCAGCATCCTGGATGCGGTCGCACTCGGAAGCAGCTGCAGTCTGCGCCGCTTCTCACGATTAGGTAGTACTTTGAGTGTGGCCGGCGTGACACGGGTTGGCAGCGTGACGCAGCTGAGCGTCGTGGAGCACGTCAATTTGGGAAGCACGCTGTCGGTCCGAAGCTACACGCGGTTGGGCAGCTCGCTTTCTGCACTGAACTATGTGACGTGTGGCAGCTCCTTCTCTCTGCGTTCGCTCCTCAAGCTGGGATCCCTCTTCTCGGTGCAGGGCAACGCCCGCCTCAGCTTGCCTACGAAGCTTTCGGTGCTCGACGCCACCACTTTGGGCTCCTCGCTCTCGATACGCGGCACGGGCGCGGAGGCTCGCACGAGCTGTTTGAGCGTGTTTGACTTCTTGGCACTGGGCTCGGTGTGCAGCCTGCGCGCCGTCGCAAGGCTTGCCTCCGGATTGTCGGTCCAAGGCACGCAAACTGTCTTCGGAAACCCCCAGGCACGATTATCCCTGGTGCATTCGACCACACTGGGAAGCGGATTGAGCCTTCGAAGCTTCTTTCGCGCCGGCGATAACCTAAGTGTGCTGCATTTCGTTGCAGTCGGGTCCTCATTGAGCATCCGATCCAATGCACGCTTTGGTACAACGTGTTCGGCATTGCAGTTCGCAAACCTCGGATCCTCTCTCTCGGTGCGTGCGGCCACTCGCATCGGCAGTCGCGCCTCGGTGCTCGATTGCCTCGGCCTCGGCTCCACCTTGTCCGTCCGAAACTTCTCGCGCATTGGCAGCGCCACTAGCGTCATTGGCCTAGCGCGTTGCGGTAGCGTTCTCCGAGTCTCTGTTCTCACACAGTGCGAACTTGGTTCTTCACTGTCGGTTCGCGCTGTGGCTCGTTTCGGCTCAAGGGCCTCTCTGATCGACTTCTTGACGCTGGGATCGTCTTTGTCTTTGCGTGGTAACGCAGCAAGAGTCGGATGTTCTGCTTCGGTGTACAACTTTGCTTTGTGCGGATCCTCGCTGTCCGTGCGTGGTTTAGTCCGATGCGGCTCGCGCGCATCCGTGCTCAGCTGGCTGCACCTCGGCTCAACGATCAGTGTACGGCAGTTCACGCAGGTGGGCAAGGCGCTGACGGCACGCGGCCTCGCCGCTCTCGGCTCGTGCCTCAACTTGTCCGTGATCAACTTCGTGGGGGTCGGCAGCTCCTTGTCCGTACGCGGTGCTGCGGTTCGATGCGGCTCGCGCGCGTCGATGCTCGAGTTCATTTCTCTCGGCTCCTCCATCTCCCTCAGGTGCTCGGTTCACTTGAGCAGCGGCTGTTCGGTCTTCGGCACCGCTGTGAAGCAGAGCACGCTGCAGACCAATCTTGTATCGGTACTTGACGCCTCGCACCTGGGCAGCTCGCTTTCGCTCCGCTCCTTCGCAAGGTTCGGGCAGCACTTGTCTGCGGTGGATTCGCTTCACTTCGGCTCCTCTCTGTCGCTGCGCCACTTTGCGTGCGTCGGTTCGAACCTGAGCGTTGCGGGTACCAGTGTCGGCCGGTTGCCGCTGCAGCGCACGCTCTCGGTGGTGGACAGCACTTCTCTCGGAAGCGCTCTGAGCGTACGCAACAGTGCGAGATGCGGTTCACGGCTCTCCGTGCTGGACGTCCTTAACCTCGGTTCGTCGGTCTCCGTACGATGCCTGGCGCGCTTGGGCAGCTCGCTCAGCATTGGTGGCTCCCTAGTGATGCGCGGAGCCTACGGATTGTCCGCAACGGACGCTTGCACCATCAGCAGCAGCTTGTCCTTGCGCAGCTTTGCGCGGTTCTCCGATTCCATGAGCGTCCTGGCGTTCATTGACGCTGGCTCCTCCTTGTCGGTGCGAGCCTTCGTCTCGCTGGGTAGCAACATGTCGGTGCTCGGCACAACTGCCCGTATCGGACAGGGCCTGAGCACACTCGACTACACGGTGCTCGGCAGCAGCCTGAGTGTCAGATCGGCCGCCTGCGGATTCCAGTCAAAGCGAACTGCGGTTTCGGTGCTGGATTTCTTCCAGCTAGGTTCGAGTCTCAGCGTACGCGCAACGAGCCGATCTAGCGGAAAGAGTCTCTCAGTCCTAGCCTACGCCTCCGTCGGAAGCAGTCTTTCGGCCCGTGGACTGGGACGTTGTGGAAGCCGCTTCTCTGTGGTTGACACCTTGCAGCTTGGAAGCTCCGTGTCCATCCGGTCGTTCCTGCGCCTCGGCTCCGGGATCTCGACCGCGGGCATCGCGCGTACCATCAGCAGCTGCCTCAGCTCGTCGGTGATCAACTTCGTGCACATCGGAAGCTCCTTGTCGGTGCGTGCGACCAGTCGATTCGGGGCGCAACGCTGCGTGAGTGTGCTCAACATGCTGGCTCTGGGCTCTTCCCTCTCCGTGCGCGCGGCGGCTCGCACAGGGTCTTGCCTCTCGATTTCCAGTGGACGTCTGATGGCGCAAGGCGCAAAGGGCTTTTCGATGCTGGGCTTCTCGCATCTGGCCTCCTCGGTCTCCATGCGGTCCTTCGCGCGCTTCGGCAGTCGCGCCAGCGTCCTTGAAATTTCGCATTTGGGTTCTGCACTGTCCGTGCGTGCCTTCTGCCACTTGGGCTCTTCGCTCTCCGTCACCGCGACGCAGGTGCGACTGAGCATGACGCTGTCCGCGCTCGACACCGTAAGCTTAGGCTCGTCCCTGTCGGTCCGTAGTTTGGGTGCTCTCGGAAGCCGAGCCAGTGTGCTGAACATGCTCACGCTCGGTTCCGCGTTGTCCTTGCGATCTCGATCTGCGATTGGAAACTGCTTGTCGATGCTCGATTGCTTGCAGCTGGGCAGCAGTCTGTCCGTGAGAGCGCGGGCAACCTTCTCTGCGCAACTCTCGGTCCTGAACTTCGTGGACATCGGAAGCGCCTGTTCCACGCGCAGCTTCATACGCCTGAGCTCCACGCTCAGTGTACACGGCCTTAGCACCGTGGGCTCGCTTGCGTCGCTCTCGGTGGTCCAGAATATTTCTTTGGGCTCGTCGTTGTCCGTCCGCGCGCACGCGCGACTTGGATCGCGGTGCAGCCTCCTCGACTCGCTGCACTTGGGCAGCACACTGTCCATACGTGCATTCTCACGCATTGGAAGCTCCTGTTCCGTACTGGGCCTAGCCCGCGCAGGAGGACCGGAGTTCTCGGTTTTGGCGCGAGCGGAAATGGGAAGCTCGCTCAGTGTGCGTGCAGTTTCGCGTTGCGGTAGCCGCGCTTCAGTGCTCAACTACTTAACCCTCGGCTCCTCTCTGTCGTTGCGCGGAGTCACGCGCAGTGGCAGTGCCTTCTCGGTGCGGGGTGACACGCGCGCAAGCTCCAGCGTGTCCGTGCTCGACTTCGTCCACTTCGGCAGCTCCGTTTCGCTTCGTCGCTTCCAGCGGCTTGGCTCGGCGGTTTCCGCTCTTGATGCTATCATGCTGGGCAGCTCCCTGAGCTTGCGGCAGTACTTCCGCGTCGGTTCGGGTCTCAGCGCTCGTGGAGTTCTGGCGGCCGCGAAGGCCGTTTTGTCGGTCGCGAACTACGCCAACGTGGGCAGCAGCTTGAGTGTACGCGCGGTTCTTCGTGCGGGAAGCCGCGCTTCCGTCCTGGACTTCCTCAACCTGGGCTCGTCCGTTTCGCTCCGCGACATGGTGCGCCTCGGCTCCGGAGTGTCCGTCCTCGGCAGTGTCGGAGCGGGAAAGCCGCTTTCGATGCTCAGCTTCTTCGAACTCGGAAGTTCGCTCTCGGTGCGCGCCAATATGCGTGGCGGCAGCCGGGCCAGTGTGCTGGACGCCATCTGCTTGTCCAGCACCTTGAGTCTGCGTGCGCACACGATGGTGGGAAAGAGCCTCACGCTTCGCGGCCTCGCCACCATCGGCAGCGTCTGCAACGCTTCGGTCATCAACTTCGCGCACATGTCCTCGTCACTCTCGGTTCGCTCCTTCGTGCGCTTCGGCAGCGCGATCTCCGTTCTGGACTTCGCATTGACGGGCAGTTCAGTCTCGTTGCGCAACTTCTCGAGGTTTGGAAGCTCGCTATCGGTCTTCTCAACCAGCGCAGGGAAGACGCTTGGACTGCACACGGACCTGTCAGTGTTGGACGCAGTCACGCTGGGCTCCTCGCTGAGCGTGCGCAGCCACATGCGCACGGAAAAGCGCGCCTCGGTGCTAGACTGCTTGTCTTTGGGCAGCTCGCTCTCGCTGCGCGGGTTCACGCGCGTCGGATCCGCCTTTTCGGTCCTTGGCGGTTGCCGTGTGGACGCCGGAAGCCGTCTCTCTGTGATGGACGCAGTCAGACTGGGCTCCTCGCTCAGTGTGCGAAGCCTCATGCGCTTCGGCGCCGAAGCCTCGGTCCTGGAGGCGGTAGCACTGGCTAGTTCATTGTCTCTGCGCAGCTTCACGCGTCTCGGCAGTTCGCTCTCGGTCTCGCTCGCTTGCCATCTGGGAGCGCAGCTCACAGTCCTGGACCACACCGCGTTGGGTAGCAGCATCAGCGTGCGCGCCGTTTCGCGCCTCGGTTCTCGTGCCTCCGTGCTGGATACGCTGGCTTTGGGGTCGACGATATCGATGCGAAACTTTGTGCGTGTGGGCTCGAGCCTCAGCATCCAGGGCAGCCTCTTCGCCACCGGCACGCGGGTGTCCGTGGGCAGCGGCCCGTCCGCCAACGACGCCTCCTTATCCATTCGCTCCACTGTGCGCTGCGGAAGCAGCGCCTCCATCTTCGACTGTTGCAGACTCGGTTCCTCGCTGAGCTTGCGCGCCTTCGCCCGGCTCGGGTCCACGCTGTCGGTGCGCGGCCTCACTGAGTTCGGCTCGGTTGCGAAGCTCTCCGTGGTCACCTACGTTGACTTGGGCAGCAGCGTCAGTCTCAGGGACTACATGCGTCTGGGATCCTCGTGCTCCTTGCTAGGAAAAGCCCGCTTTGCGGGAGAATTGAGCGTGCTTGACCGCACCGCGATGGGCAGCTCTTTGAGTGTGCGCTCCACAGCGCGTATGCGCAGTTCGGCGTCCATCTTTGCTTTCCTAGCGCTGGGAAGCAGCTGCAGCGCACGTAGCTTTGTGCGACTCGGCTCGTGCGCCTCTGTGCACGGCTTGATCCGCTTCGGCTCCTGCGCACAGCTCTCCGTCATCGATCGCGTCAGCTGCCGCTGCGGCAGCTCGTTGTCAATCCGCTCTACCTCACGCTTGGGTCATTCACTCTCGGTGCTGGACGTTGTCAGCATTGGCTCTACAATCTCCGTCCGTGCCGCGCTTCGATTCGGCAGTGCGCTCTCCGCCTACACGGGAGCACAAGTTGGCGCGCGCTGCTCGGTCCTGAGCCAGCTCACGCTCGGTTCCGCACTTTCGGTGCGCGGACGAGCACTTGGTGGAGCTCGCGTCAGCGTTTTGGACTTCCTGCACCTCTCCTCCTCGATGTCGCTACGGGATGCTGTGCGGCTGGGTTCCTCGTTGTCCGTTGTCGACGCGTGCCGGAGCAGCAGCAACGTCAGTCTCCTGCAGTACGCGCAGCTCGGCTCGTCGCTCTCTGTGCGTGCCGGCTCGCGCCTAGGAATGGGTCTTTCCGTGCTTGAGTACGTGGGTATCGGCAGCTCCTTGTCCGTTCGCAGCACGAGCTCTCTTTCTAGACGCGCTTCTGTCCTCGAGTTCATGCAGCTTGGAAGCAGTGTTTCGTTGCGAGCGGTCTCACGTTTTGGATCTGCGCTCTCCGTGCTTGCGAGCGTCCCTGGTCAGGGTACGCTCTCGATCCTCAACTCCGTGTCGATGGGCAGCAGCTTGTCGTTGCGCAGCTGCGGTCGCGGTCACTACGTGAGCAAGCGAATCAGCGTGCTCGACTACTGCCAGATGGGCAGCACATTGTCGCTCCGTCGGCACTGCGTCGTCGGGTCGCATGTGTCCGTCTTGGATCTCTTCGAGAGCGGCTCGTCGCTTTCGGTGCGCAAGTTCGTGCGTCTCGGCTCCTGCGTTTCCACGCTCTCGAGCGTGCGCCTAGGAGCGCAGTTCTCGGTCTTGCAGGGCTGCCTCATCGGCAGTTCCTTGTCCGTGCGCGCGACGAGCCGCGTGGGCCAGCGCTTCAGCATCCTGGAATGCCTGGCGTTGGGCAGCAGCTTGTCCGTCCGCGCCTCGTTACGCATGAACACCGTCTGTTCGTGCCACGGCGCCGTGAAAAACACCCTGGGAAGCGTCTTGCAGGTCTCCGTGATCGACCGAACGCTTTTGGGCTCCTCACTCTCCATCCGGTCCACAGCACGTATAGGAAGTCGCGTTTCGGTGCTCGACTTCTTGCAGGTCGGTTCCTCCCTCAGCTTGCGCGCGCTCGCGCGCCTCAGCAGCGGCGTCTCGGCCATTGGCGGTCTGCCTTCGGGCGTGCAGGGCACGTTCAGCGTGCTCAACCAGGTGACCTTGGGAAGCGCACTCTCGCTTCGCAGCGTCCTGCGCCTGGGCTCCCACTGCTCGACGTTGAGCTACGTAGAAATCGGGAGCGCCATGTCCTTGCGCAGTATGTCACGATGTGGCAGCAGCTTGTCGCTTAACGGGAAGTTTCCCATTGGCGATTCGCTCAGTCTAGTAGACCGTACGGCGCTGGGCTCGAGTCTAAGCATCCGTTCCGCATTGCGTGTCGGAGCGCGCGCTTCGGTCTTCGCGTTCCTCGATTTGGGCAGCAGCGTGTCCCTACGAGCGATGAGTCGGTTCGGCTCCTCCTTCTCGGTCAGCGGAAGCGCCGTTTTGCAGGCCGGTTTGTCCCTGCTGGATCACATTAGCGTTGGCAGCTCTCTCTCGGTGCGCTGCAGCGGTCGATTGGGCGCGCGCGCGTCCGTGCTCGACCTGTGCACGTTGGGCAGCACCCTGTCCGTGCGCCAGTTCACGCGTGTGGGCTCCGCACTTTCGGTACGCGGTCTAGCTGCAGTCGGTTCTTGCCAGCGGCTCTCCGTGATCAAGCAAACCGAACTGGGCAGCTCCTTGTCGGTGCGTTCGCTTGTGCGCCATGGATCGCGCTGCAGCCTGGTCGACTTCCTCTGCTTGGGATCCTCGATCTCGACGCGATCCCTCGTTCGGTCCGGAAGCTCCGTTTCGGTGCTAGCAGGTGCTCGCATGGGCATGAAGATGTCGGTTCTGCAGTTCGCGCATCTCGGCTCCTCACTATCAGTTCGCGCAGCGACGAACCTCGGACATGCGACTTCTGTTTTGCACTTCTTGCATTTGGGAAGCTCGGTGTCGCTCCGCGCCGCCGTTCGGTTCGGCTCCTCGTGCTCCGTGCTGGGATCGCTCCACGCGGGTGGGGCTTGCAGCGTCGTGCAGCAGGTAAACATGGGCTCTTCGCTCTCGGTGCGTGCCGTCTCTCGCATCAGCGGCAGCCGCGGCGCTTCGGTCCTGCACTTCTCCGAACTCGGCTCCTCGTGTTCGATCCGCGCGTTCGTGCGCCTGGCCTCCGGTTGCTCCGTGATCGGCACAACGGCATTCGGCAGCTGCCTCCGACTCTCGGTTCTGAACCAGGTGGACTTGGCCAGCTCCCTGTCCGTGCGATCACACGTGCGAATCGGCAGCCGCGCCTCCGTATTGCACTTCCTGCATCTCGGCTCCACGCTCAGCGTTCGCGATATAGTCCGCGTTGGCTCCGGCATGAGCGTTCTCGGACACAGCCGTTTGGGCGCGGGCGTTTCGGTGGTGGGCTGCGCGCACTGCGGCAGCACACTCAGCGTCCGCAGCTTCATGCGCTTCGGCTCGCAGTGTTCCGCACTCACCTTCGTGTCGCTCGGAAGCTCGCTTTCACTGCGCAGCTTCGCTCGCAGTGGCAGCTCCCTCAGTGTCCTAGCAGAAGCTCGTCTTGCGACTGCTCTCTCGACGTGCCAGTGCGTGCACTTGGGCAGCTCGCTTTCGGTGCGCGGCGGTGCCAAGGTGGGCAAGGCCTTGTCCGTGCTCGACTTCCTCAACTTGGGCTCCTCGATGTCGGTCCGCGCCTTCGCGCGTCTCGGCAGCAGCGTAAGCGCGATTGGCGTGATGGAATTTGGATCACTCTACCGGATGAGCGTGCATGACCACACGCATCTTGGGTCCTCGCTCTCCGTCCGCAGCACGCATCGATGCGGCAGTCGCTGCAGCGTGATGGAGTTCCTGCACTGCGGCAGCTCCGTTAGCTTGCGCGCGGTCTCGCGCATGGGATCCGGCCTCTCCGTGTGTGGCGGCCCCTTGCGTTTGAGCGTCGATCTCTCCGTTCTGGATTCAGTCACGTTCGCCTCCTCCTTGAGCGTGCGTGGCTACGGACCCCGGCCGGGCGGTTCCAAGGGCGCCTCCGTGTGTCAGTTTGCAGCACTTGGAAGTTCGCTTTCGATCCGTTGTGCTGCGCGCGTAAGTTCGCGTGCCTCGGTGCTCCAGTACCTGGCGTTGGGATCGTGCCTGAGCTTGCGCCAGATGACACGTGCCGGCAGCAACCTATCCGTGCTCCTCGGCGCACGGTTGCAGGCCCAATGCAGTATGTGCCACCACGCGCATCTCGGCAGTTCCTTGTCGGTTCGCAACAATTTCCGCCTAGGCAGTCGCGCGTCCGTCTTGAACTATCTGAACCTGGGCAGCAGCATCTCGATTCGCAGCTTCATTCGGTACGGCTCGTGCCTCTCGCTCACCGCGGACGACGAGATCAACCGCGTCTCGGTATCGGACCTGATCGCCTTCCAGGGCCAAGCCTCGGTTCGCGCGTCCACCAAACTCGGCTCCAGACTGTCTGTGTTTGACGCCTTCGTGTTGGGCAGCAGCGTCTCGCTGCGTGCGGCTCTGCGCCTGGGAAGCACCGTGAGCACCCGCGGCCTTGTCTACGTGCCAAAGGTGGACAACTCAGCCTCCGTGATCAACTTCGTGCACATCGGCAGCTCCCTCTCGGTGCGCGGCCGCTCCAAGGTATCGGAGCGTGTGTCCGTATTGCACTTCTTGCAGCTGGGTTCCGCGCTCTCCTTGCGGTCCTTCTGCCAGGTGGGCTCCGGTCTCTCCGTTCTCGGCGCTGCGAAATGCAGCATGACCGCGAGCGTGCTGGACTCCGTCCACATCGCGTCCTCCTTGTCGCTACGCGGATGCGCGCTAACGTCGGCAGCGCCCACGCGCGGTTGCTCCGCGATCTGCTACGTGCACATGGGCAGTTCGCTGTCGGTGCGCAGTGCCGTTAGAATCGGAACGCGACTCTCGGTGCTGGACTTCCTCTCCATGGGGTCCAGCCTCAGTTTGCGCGATTGCGTGAGATTCGGAAGCGGCCTCTCGCTCTTCAAGGGCGTCGACTCGGTTACCCCGAACTGGAACGACAAGTCCATGAAACTGGGTGGCGACTTGTCCGTGTTGAACGCCGCTTCTTTGGGCTCCGCGCTGAGCATCCGTGCCCAGCTCCACGTCGGCGCGTCGCGCGGAAGCACCAGTGCGTTCGAATGGGTCACACTCGGATCCTCATTGAGCGTCCGCAACGTGTGTCGACTGCGCGCAAGAGTCAGCGTGTTGGACTTCGTGAACATCGGAAGCTCGCTTTCGCTTCGCAGCGGGTCCATATTCGGCCAGCACATTTCTGTCCTCGAGTATGCGCAGTTGGGATCCTCGCTCAGTGTGCGCGGCGCCGCGCGCGTTGGACGTGGTGGTCGAGGCAGCTGCTCGCTGCTCACGTTCCTGCAGGTGGGAAGCTCGCTCAGCGTTCGCGGCATCACTCGATGCGGCAGCCGGGTTAGCGTGCTCGACTACATGACGCTGGGTAGCACGTTCTCGGTGCGCACGCACACGCGGCTTGGCAGCGCAGCCTCCGTCTGTGGCAGCGTCGTTGCGCGCACCGCGGGACAGGCCATCTCGGTCTTCAATTTTGTAAATGTCGGCAGTTCGC